CTGCGGCGCCCGGGCCGGCTCGAAGGATCCCGTCGAAGTGGGGGTGCCGTACCGTCCGCTGGCACTGGCAGTGGCAGCCTTCCGTCGACATCGCTTACTCGAGCCTGACAGTGAGTGGCTGGCCCCGGCGCCGAGTACGTCAGCGCGCAGCCCGCCGGTCTCGCGTACTGTACGTCACGACGTCGACGGGAAGGGAAGACTCAGGCTCGCCGCCGGGACCGGGGCGCCTGCCAATTCATGAAGCTCGGCAAACTGCCAGTGGGCTTCTGAATCTTCTCCCAGTCAGAGTCGGTGGTGGTTGCCGCCGGTCGGTGGGTCGCCGGATTATGCATGACCAGTGCCTGGCGCTGGGTTGCCGACGGTGTATGGCGGGCGGGCAGCCTCAGGGACGGATTCGATATTCGATATGCGATATTCGGTGGTTGGTTCTCCAGTTTCTGGTAGGAAGTTTGGGATGCTGATTCGGACTGCGCGTTGGAATGGGAGAAGGACCCGCGTTCGGCTGTGTGTGTCTCGCATTCAAGTTCTCGGGGGCGCGCGGGCAAGTGGGACTCGGCAGGCTCTGATCCACGATGAGCGACCCACTGTGCTGGTTGACTCAGACTTGGAATGGTCTGTGGAACGTCTCTCGACGCTGGATCGCCGCTGGATCGATTCTGATTCTCCTGGGCTCATTCTGCTCTGCTCTGTTCTAGACTCGCGGGGGCGTTGGTCAGCAAGCGAGGCTCGAACGGGTGGTCAACCAGCTTTGTTTGGACAACTACTGTGTGCTGGCTGACTCGCTCAACTGGCAGGCCTGCACTGGTTCGACCCTTCTGGCTTCTGGCTGCCTTGCGTCCGGTCTCGTCTGCTCTAGCTCGACTTATCTCGTCTTGGGAAGTCTTCCCTGGAGTTCGCTCTCTCTCTTGTGACACAGGGTGGCTGACGCTTCAAGTTGGGCTACGTCGACTTGGGCGGCCTTCCTTATTTTCCTCTAATGACTCCTGGTCTACCTCCCGCATACGAAGTGCTCACAGCGGATCTTGTGCTCCGACTGGTCAGCTCCAGCTCGACTGTCGTAGAAGTGTGAAGACTCGAGCCTTGACCGCGTCTAGAATCCCCACTTCTACCAATCGGAATATCTGGTACGTTGTTTCGTGTCTTCTGGATCGAGAGCCGCTACTTAGCACGTCTGCTCTCGAATGAGATAGTGCTGTCCCCGCCAGAAGGCCGGACGACTCATCAGCTGATGCAGACTGCCATGGACACGCGTGTATTCCCTCTGGCTCGTTGCTGTGCTCCCCACAACAGTCTATGTCTCCCCGTGGTGCGCATTCCACGCCAGCGTTGTTTTCTGTCATGTCATTCAACAAGTTCGACGCATCCTTGATGGCACTCGGATACTTGTGATGTCACTTCGGGGCTTCGCTGATCTCAAAGGAGGGTGCCCGTACGACCTTCGAAAGCGCATCTCGTCATCCAGGCCATCCGCCACGGGACTAGTGGCGCGACAGTCTATTTTCAATCTCACACGCATCTCGAGTTCTCCATCTGGCTCAGGGTAGGCATGCCGAAGTGTTCGGGGTATCACACTGTATTGCGGACTGGCAGCGGGAAGTGATGCGCCTTCTAGCCTCTGCTAGTGGATGCAAGCCCTTCGATCGGGCAGGCAGGTCAAGCTGGTCTAGCGGTGCGTCTTCTGTTAGCTGGTCAGACAGTACATGATCCCAGCCTCATTGGGACTGACGAAGCCAAGCATGTTGCAGGACGAAGGAGAGGTGGCACTGACGTCCACGCTAGAACCCTAAGGATCTCTTCCGCACGTCCACTCCGCCCGAAAGCCCCGTCGTTCTGTGTGAAGCTAAGGGTTTTCAGCAGGCTGCTCCGTGACAGCAGGGAGATTCTGCTATCGAGTCCTGCGCCATTGATCTCGGAATTCGACGTGTCCATGCTTGTCGCCCGTACCCGGACTGCTGCCCGCTTATTCCATCGCAATGACACAGCACCCTCTGCCATGCACATATCCGGATAGCCCAACGCACGTACCGACCTGCCCGGCGTCGTATGCAAAGGGTACCTCAGGCGCCCGCAGTGCAATCCCATCAAGAAGCGAGAAGCAGATATTCCGGACCTAGAAGCAGGCGTACGTAAGACCCATCGACGTGTGCACGCCGCCTCCCTAATCCCCAATCCACACGATCTAGCTAGTAGCTGCGATAATGCGACGACGCGCTCTGGCGACATCTGGCGGCAGTGGATGTTCGATACGGCTCGGGGAGGGCTCGGGGCGAGCGAGTAGGATATTCCCCGGAGATTCGTGAATACCTCGAGTCGGTGACTTTCTGAGCCATCTCCACACTCTGTCACCGCGCTCATACACTCTGGAAGAAGAGAAGTAGACTGCTTCGCGACTTCGCACCTCAACTTGGGCCTCCTGCGGTTCGATGATCCTTCCGCGCACCCGCAACGATCCGTCCTCTGCGAATGTGAAGTTTACTATTGTCATCCGACCTGGCGAGCAATACACGTCTCACAAGTTTAACTCTGAATTGCGTGCGCAAACCTAGTTTCCCCACGTCACGTTCCGCATCTACTCCTCCTGATAGGCTGCCCAGTGATTTGTTCTTCCGCCAGGCCGGCCCCTACTCCGTGATGCACCCAACGAGCTGGTGCTGCGCTCACGGGCAGGTCGTCCGCGGGCACGAGCCCACGCTCACAGTCATACAGGCGTAGGTTACGTCGACGGTTTTCCAGAGTCGCATTCGACGACGCGGCACAGGCAATGTATCACAGGAACCCCCAAGAACCCACTTCGCTAGCTGTTTTGAGCTTGCCGAGGCAGGGGATGTGCGTCGCCGTGCGTCTGAAGCAGGAAGACATGGTTCCGCCGCCGACGTGCCCGGGAGCTGCAATGGCGAGCTCTAGATCCTTGCCGCGATGGATTGAGGTCTATGTGAAGTACTTGAACTCGCCGGTCAGCGTTGCGACGACACATCTTAGCCTCGACGAGTCGAGTATAGCGGATCGTCAACTGCTGTGTCGTTTCTACTGACCAGCGAATCACTCTAGTGCACGCATTGTCATCCTTGCGGCATTGTATTCAGTTCCTAGACCAGCTCACGCTTGCAATGCGGACTTACGTCGCCTGCCCATGGCCGTCGTTATCAGATAACCCCTCGGACTCGCAGCCACTCAGCACATCCGTGACTCTCAATACCAACTCGCCGCGGAAGTTGTAGGCCCAGGCCCGACCTAAGGAATGCGGAACACGGAGCGCACCTCCCTCCTGCCGAGGCCTGGCATATCCAGATGCCGTGACTTCGGAGGCAGAATTTGAAGATCGCGCGCACGAAGCCGGAGATACAGGATCCATGGGAGCCTATATGTACTTGTATGTCAGGCTCGCCACGCCCGCGCGGAGGCTCAGGACGCACGCCTTCTGCATGTGTACATGGACGGCGGGCGATTGAGTTCCTCCGAGGGCGAAGCACGGGCGCGAGGTGTATGCAGGACATATTGTTACGTGACTGACTTACTCAGTCGTCGGTGACTGCATTGCATGCGCGCACGCAGCAAGCTCAGGTCGCCGGTGTCTTGACGTGCCTGTTGCGTACCTGGGCGTGAAGGCGTGAGTAGTAGGAAGCGCAGCATCTTAGGTGCGCATTGGGACGGCGGAGTAGATGCGTCAACTGCCTGCCGCTCAGCCGGATGTTCGCTGCTACTACTGCATCTACCGGACGTCGACGTCGCGGGCGAACCTGGCCAGCGACCTTGGTGACCCTCATTTCTGCATGGCATGCAGACCACTTACACATCGGTGCGTGTAGAAGTTACGACTGTCTATCCAAGGTTCAACTCGCAGACGTAGGTGGATCTTGCTAGGATGTATGCCTGTTCCGGAATTCTCACAGGGCTAAGAATGGATGTAAATCACTTCATCACGCGAATGCGAGGACATAGTACGTGGAACAGACCGAGAGCTATTCATTCGAATGATGCCCATGACTTTCCGGTGTCATGGTCCTGATGGGACCTAGAGAACACAGTGAGTCTGGTGCATCATCATCCAAGATGTGGTATTGACTAGGACAACGCACACAGTACAGGAAGAGCTCTCTCATGCATACGGCACGAACTATGTACGCCATTCGAAATGCACGTATATTCACTGCTTCCGTTCAGCTCGCTGGTCCTCACGAACTCTCGATCGTTTCCACTCAGGAATGCACGAGAGCCTGAGGCGTGAATCGCGTCCACCGCACCTGACCAGAGTGGAGACATTGCCGACGGGGCCTTGGGCGCAACTATACGGAGGGACTGCCCATGTGTCAAGCAGGTCGCCGATGTCTTGACGCAGTTCGGAGGGCATGAGTTCTACTTTCTTAGGAAACATCGACATCATTCCAAGTACACTCGCCATGCCTGCAACCTGTACCGGATAGATGCCCAACTTGGTTTCATTCATTCATGAACCAATGCAGGGTCGAAGCTCGGTTTGGCCCCCGATTCCCGATCTACATTCATGTCGTTTGGATTCAGGCTCAAGGTCGAAGACTGCACACAACCGGCGTGAGTGGATCCAATGGGCAGCACATACTGGCCCTCTCACGCCCGTCGTATGCCTCACTTTCCGAGTTGACGATTCCCCATGTACATGGATGTGTACGTTCAAGAGCAAAGGCCAACACGACTTCGACGACGTGCATTCCACGATAACCACTGGTCCATAGTAGTAGCGAGAGCTTAATCACCGTTATCTGACGCACCGAATATGGTTCACTACCATGGTTCATATAGTGTGTGGCGGTATAGGAGACAGCCTCACTCCAACGTTGCATACAGAGGTAGCGTCGGTGTCGTTCAGGGTGTTCCCTCCGACGGAATGGCTTTCGGCGGTTTTTTTGCATGTTCGGGCGAGCTGAAGCTGGATGTGGTGGGGCACGAGCTGCAGTCGAGTTTGGACTAGTTGATCTGGTAAACCGTGTGCACTTTGAGCAATGGTTGTTCTTCTCTGACCAGTATGACAATGAGTCGACGAGCCTCGCGCGTCATAAACCACCAGGATCAAGAGACGTACTGACAGGACTTGGCGTTTTGGACCCGAGGCTTATATAGCGACCTGAAGTGTAACTTACCTGGGGTGATGTCTTGATGCAACACGATGTATGCGCTCGCAGTCAATGGAAAGACAACCTAGTATGTACCATCGAGTAAAGGCTATATCGCATGACAAACGCGCGTTAGAAGAAGCACCCTCCATGGAGCAGAAGACCGACGCACTCACATAACGGGTAGATTACGTGCAAGAAACGCCGTACGCTATAGATACTCAATAAGCTTTACCATCCGACCGCGAACTCTGCCCTCTCCCGTCATGGCTCGTCGCCCCTCGCCCCTGCAAGCCCTACGAACCTCTCCGCTTCCTCAGCGGGCATCTCGTAGCTCTCGCTGGCCGATGGGAAGCTGCGGTCTCGCACCGCCTGCACGTACGCGTGGACCCCTCGCTCGACCTCGCCGCGCACGTCGCCGAACCGCCGCACGAACTTGGCCTTGTGCCCACCCCAGGTGCCCATCAAGTCGTCCCATACGAGGACTTGCCCGTCCGTTTCCCAGCCTGCTCCGATGCCAATCGTAGCCGCATGGTGCAGGCGTCTCGTAATGTGCGCCCCGACGGCGTGTGGGATAGCCTCAAGCACGATTGCAAACGCCCCAGCCGCCTCCAGAGCCAGCGCACTGTCCACCAAGCTCAACGCGCCCGCCGCGCTCTTGCCTTGTACCCGGTAGCCAGACTGGATGGCCTGCCGCTGGGGCATCAACCCGATGTGGCCCATGACCGGGATCCCGACGGTCGTCAGCCGCTTCACCGTATCCACGACCTCCACGCCGCCCTCGATCTTCACCGCATCGACGCCGCCCTCGCGCACGAGCCGGACCGCGTTTCGCACGGCGTCGTCCACGCCGGCCTCGTACGTCCCGAACGGCATGTCCGCGACGAGGAACGGCGCCTTGCTCCCCCGCGCGACCGCACGGCAGTGGTGGACCATCTCGTCGAGCGTGAGCCGCGTCGTCGCGTCGTAGCCGAGGCAGACTTGCGCGAGGGAGTCGCCGACCAGGGTGATGTCGACGCCGTGCGCCTCGCAGGCGCGGCCGGTCGGGAAGTCGTAGGCGGTCAGCATTGCGATGGGGGTGTGCTTCCGCTTCATGTTGAGAAGATGCTGGATCGTGATCTTCTTCCGTGCTACGTCGACGCTTCGTGAGCCGAACAGACGCGAGGCTGCGAGCTTCGACTTACTTACTTTCAGGAGCCCTCTCTTCGGGCCGCACGCTCATCCACCGACGGCCACTCGCTATCTGGTGCAGTCGAGTATGTCGGATTTGCTGTCTGGAGAACATCATGAGCCAGATCGAGTCGTCGAGCAGATGCTGGTGAGACCATGTTTGAGAAATATATCGTCGGGGAGGAGAGGTCGCTTGAACGAGCCCACGACGGTGGCTAATTTCGGGCTAATCCTAAATCCGCCCGTCGGGTTTTCACATGCATGTGCGCATGTCATGATATCCTCCCCCCTCGCCTCTCGATAACATGATGAACGACGTTCTCGCCAGCACCCAGTCTTTGCCAGGCGCGATTGCAACGCTCTATGGCCCTGTCGAGTGTACGGATCGTCGGGCTATCCATGTGTATACCGACGGCTCATATTTCAAGTTGCCGGATGGGTCAGAGCGTGCCGGAGCGGGGATCTACTGGGGGTATGGCTCCCCGAAAAACTGTGCGTTGATGGTCCCTACCCCGGTCTCAAACAACCGGGCGGAGCTATATGCCATCCTCCGTGCGATCACTGTCGCCGACCCTTGTAGGACGCTGCGCATCCACACAGATTCAACGTACGCCATACACTCGATCTGTCACTGGGCACCTAGGAACTCAGCGCTGGGATGGCGGAAGGCAAATGGAGACCTACTGCGCAATATAGTAGACCTAATCAAGCGACGGACAGCCGCTGTCGTGTTTATCTGGGTGAAGGGCCACTCCGGGAATGCCTCTAATGAGGCAGCCGATGAACTGGCAGGCTGGGGGGCATCGATGCAAGGGCCGCTACTCCCATTCGTTCCAGTGGTAGCGGAATGGGGAGCCTCCTCGTGCCCGGGGATCAACACGGAAGGCCAGCAAGGAGAGACAATGTACCTCAAGGTCCACACTGCGCTCCCCGAGCAGAACGCACCCCGTCCGGAGGCTCAAGCCGGCACGGCATCCAGTCTAGTTGCTGTTCACAGCGATGATGATGACCGGTCACCGGAGGGCTTCAACCTGCGACAGCTCAGAGAACGACATATACGCGACCTCTTAGAGAACGGTCGGGCGGATGCTAGCTTCTGGAAAACGTACCGTGGACTGGTGGATCCCCGGCCCCGTAACCCCCGGGTAACGGCTGCTCAGCTGCAGGTCGCTTTTGAACCACGGATGAACCCACCGTCGACACTCCCCGAGCACTGGGACCCCACGCGTCACCGTATCAACCGCATGCTGCTCGACTCTCTACCACAGCCCACGGTGGATTCAACAGAGCAGCAATACTTCGCCCGCCCCTGGGCTGTTAGCGAGATCGAGGACGCAAAAGCGCACATATTGGAGCACTCGCTGGGCTCCGCAAAAGGACTGGACCGGGTAGCGTATGAGGAGGTTCTTCGGGTGCCAAACGAGGAACTGCTGCGTCTGTTCCAGACCTGCGTCGACACATGTGATGCCCCTACGTCATGGTTGGTCGCGTCATTGACCGGCATTGGGAAGCGTGGCAAGGACCTTGGCGAGGCGGATAACTACCGGGCGGTGGGCCTCGAAAGTTGCATGTTGAAGATGCTGACGTTGCTGATCGAGAGGCGAGTCCGCCAATGGGCGGAACAGAACGGACATTTGCCTATGTCCCAGAATGGATTCCGTACGGGACACCGCACCAACAATAACGCTTTTGTCCTCAGAGCGGCGATCGAGAAGGCGCGAGCGAGGGGAAAGCAGCTCTATGTTGCGTTTGTGGACCTGTCAAACGCGTTCCCATCTGTGGACCAGGCCACCCTGTGGACAAAGCTGTACACCGCAGGGTTCCGAGGACCGCTTTTTGATTGGCTACGCATGCTCTACGCTCGACTGGGATACGTCGTGAAGTACGCGTCGTCGAAATCAGAGCTATTCAAAGCGCTAGCTGGGATTCTCATTGGGGACCCAGCGTCACCAATCCTGTGGAACCTCTACCTCGCCGACCTCGTCATCCGCCCGCACAGTGACGATATTCTCCTCGGTGGTGTATGTCTCTCACACCTCGAGCAGGCTGATGACATTGCACTGTTCTCCACTTCGACCATCGCACTGCAGCAGAAGCTCGACGATCTGGCGACCTGGTGTGCCCTCAACTTCGCACTGATCAACGCCGGGAAGACACAAGTGATGGTCTTCGGTAGAACAGGAGCAGCGACGCTGGGAGGGCCGCCGCGGCTATATGTCAACGGGAGACTGATCGCCGTGGTGGAGTCCTACACGTATGTGGGAACCGTCTTCTCTTCGGGGCGTGGCGACCTCTTTGGACCCCACACAGACAGCAAGGCGAGCACGGCACGTAAAGTCGCGAATGCGTGTCTGTCGGTGGAAGCATACGTGGCTGAGCTGCCGCCGTGGGCCGCTCTGACGTTGTACCAATCGCACGTTGACCCCCATCTCACCGGCGGCGCGGAGGTCGCCCCGTATGTACGGTTGTCCTCGTTGACGCTCCTCGAGTCCGTCCAGCATATCTATCTCCGACGCATGCTGGGGCTCAACCCTAGAGCAATGACAACTCCGCTGTTCACGGAGACTGGCCTATGGCCGATACGGTACCGCCGCCTGGCATTGGCGCTGCGGTTTGCCCTATACATAATTTCCCAACGCCCTCCGGTTCCCCTAGCAGCCCTGGCCGAGGCTCGCGCTATGGCAATTGCAGGGGCTGATTCATGGCTGGGTGACCTTCATCATGCTCTGCAGAGCCTACCGGTTCCGGTGGAGATGGACAAACATGCCGCTCTGACCGATGACTACATCTCCAACATGCTAGAACGCCTCCGCATCTCCCTGGTGGAGCATCTACGACAGGAAATCGCGTCCTCACAACGCCTCGTCATGCTCGCCGCCCGCGCGTCGCGTGAGCCAGTACTAGAGCGCAGAGATTACCTGTCAATCACGAGGCGAGAGCACCGTGCGGCCCTCATCCGTCTGCTCGTGTCCGACCACCCGTTGGCGGTCGAACAAATGAGGCGCCGGACTCCGCCAGTGCCTCGGGAGTGGAGAGTATGTCGCTTCTGCGCGCGACGTGGGTCAATTGAAGACGAGACGCATACCCTGCTGCGCTGTCCGGGAGCGGCGCTGGTGGAACCACGGAAACGGTTCATGGCCCAAGTGCTCTCGGTGCGCACATCTCTACGTGTCTCGCTGGCGACCACGCCTCTCGCCTTCCTTGCGGAAGTCACGCGGGATGCGGACGCCGTCACTCATCTCGCGGAGTATGTCCATACCGTGTTTTTGCTCTGCGAAAATGTCCCCATGGTGGTGATCACTTCAGAGGAACAGCTCCTCCAGCTCTCGTAGCGAGCGCCTCGCAGTGCTGTCCCGCGTGAGACTACATCATCGCTGCAGCTTATGGAACGTATGGGCTACACTACTACAAGGTACAATGGTCTCGGAACGTCGTCACTGCGATCTTCGACCGATCTCATCCCGTGCGTTAGGTACCGTCATGCTTGCGCGTCAAGCGCACGGGGGACCTCAGGACAGCCAATGTTGGCCGACTTTCGCCTGGAACTGTGTGAGTTATATCAGATGGACGGGGGACCGCCACTGATGCCTGGAGGTTTTTCAGTATTTTTCCTCCCTGGTTTTAACACGGAAATCCCGCCCAGCCATGTGTGGCTAGTGGGCCAAGGCGTGCTCTCGGACGGCCGCGTCGGAAGAGGTGGTCTCTAGGGGCCTGTCGAAGATGGTGATGATTGGATGATGTCTTGTACTGTTCATGGTAGTGTAGCCGGTAGTACTATGGGTCGTGGTGTTGTAAATAGTGAGCGCTGTCACCGTCAAGACGCTGAGGATCGCACGTGCGCCTACAGCCGGTGGCTAAATGGATTCCTCCTCCTCCTCCTCCTCCTCCATGACATGACAGCCGACTTGACAGAATAGTACCACTCATGGTAGGAATAATTGTGCGAGTCGCGCGAGAGTTGGGATATTTTTCGCGAGCCAGCCTATGCATTGCCACTGCAGCCAGCACAGTCACAAGTAGAGGAGAGGCCGGTCTTCTCTGCACAACCGATACCGCCCGCATCACCCCTACCGTCGCAGACCAACCTCGACCCCAAGTGGAAAATACGCCCTACTCGGAGTGTACTCGAAGGCCATCTCACAGACCCACATTCACACTGCAACTGTTTCCTCTATGTGGTATGCGTATATCTGTACGTAGGGATAAGAGAGATAGGAGGAAGCTTAGCAGAGCAATAGATAAGCATCACTAACTAACTAACCAACGACGAATAGCAAGAGTCCGGGCTCATCAGACAATGAGAGCAAGCGGAGCCGGGAGGACACGTACGATAAGTGAAGGACAGCAAACAAAAGAGGGCAGCACGTAACAATGCAAGAGGGAAAGGGGCAGGAGCATGGAGATGGAGGGAGGCTGGGAAGGGAAGGGAAGGGAAGGGAAGGGAAGAGGGGATCCGGAACGTCTATGAGGATATCGATGTAGATGTAAGGCAGCCAGCAAGTGCTACATGCAGAATCGTCGACGTCATGTACATACGGGCCTAACAAGTTTCGTGCTCGCGGGGGTATGGCGGTCAGGTGGGGTAGGGTATATCAGGGTAGCGATGTATGCGCCAACGTAGTAGTGCGCGGTACTGTGTGTGGATGGGAGGGGCGCAGCGAAGCGACCCGACCGGGCGCGCGTAAATCATGTGTATATGCAAAGCAAAGTCAGTCAGTCAGTCAGTCAGCCAGCCAGCCAAACATTCGAGCCGCGGCTGTGGACTCCGGAGGCACACCCGTCCTCCCCAGCGCACGTCACGCTCAGACACTCGTCACCACCGGCGGCGGCAAGCCCCTCCTCTCGTTCGCCACAGCCCCACACCCGCTCGTCGGGACCGCCGCATTGACCGCGTTCCACGCATCCGGGTACTCACACCCCGCAATAGCAGTCGGCGCACTCCTCCTATCGCCCCCGTCCGCCCACCCACTGCCCGTGCCCACCGTCGCAGCGGTGTACGTGCTCGCAGGCGGGAGGCTCACGACGCTCGCGGTGGGCGTGTACTGCGGGAGGAAGCCGGTGCTCGCCGCGGGCACGTTGTTGATCGAGCTCGGCGGCCAGACGCCGTACGCCGCGGCGGACGACGCGGCGACCGCGTTCGCGCCCGCCCCGCCCGTCGCGTACGACGCGTACGACTGGTTCCACGCGTTCGGCGCGACGCCGAGCGACTCGCATATCCCGTCGGCCTCGCGCGGGTCGCGCGGGATCCAGCCTTGCTCGAGCCCGAGCTTGTACGACCAGAGCGGAGACTCCACGGTGCCGCTCGTGGACGAGCTGTCAATCTGCAGCGGGGGAGCGGCGCGTCAGTGGGTAGCCCTCGGGCTGGGCAGGGACACGACGCACCTTCCATGTCCAGAAGAACCAGTCGCCGAGGGCGTTCATGCTCGCCAGGGCGAACGTCTTGAGCCCCGCCTTGGTCTCGTCGCTCCACGACTCCCATTCCGCCCAGTAGTCGCAGTTGCCGACGTACGCCGCGCTGATGTTCACGCCGCGGACCCAGAGACCACAGTCGTTGATGCCGTTGCTGAACTCGCCCGCGATGGTCACGCCGAATGCGCTTCGGCTAGCATCGTGCCCCGAACAGAAACAAGATGCAAGCGGAGATGACTGTCAGCCCTATGCCACAGATACCAATGCAGCGCAAACACGCGCACGCGCGACGCACCTAGTGTTCATGCCCGGGCCCCAGGAGCTGCACGCCATCTGGGGCCACTGCCCGCCATAGACGGACGCGTCGGTCGTGCCGTTCGCGGTCACGTTGACCGGCTCGTTGTTCGGCTGGTTATCAAACGCAAAGTACGGGTGCGTGTCTGTCACAAGTCAGTCACACAGCAGCCAAACAGGGGCGCGCGCAGCCATTTCCATTTCCATTTCCATTTCCATCCCGGTGCCGGCGGGCATGTGAAGTCGAGAGCGCGGGCCAGGCCAGGAGACACGCAGTGACAGGGACGCAGTACGAAGATCACGGAGCGAAGACGACCGAGCGCGAAGACAGCCGGGGGATCGCGCGGCGTCGTTGTGGTTCGGAGCCGACGATGACCCATCCACCGTGACAGGTACGTCGAGCACGCCCAGCGCACGCCAACGCGCAGCAGCGCAGAGGCAGACGAGAACGTGATCCGGGACGCGTACCGATCGGGGGCACCGCAGCAAGGAGAGGACACGTCAGGCACAGTGCGGATCACCGCCCGGACGCGGATGCGAGCCGACCGATCGGTACGACAGACGGAGACACGGAGCGTGCGGGGCGTCGCGGGAGGACAGATGCGCAGTCGGAGGGCCCAGACCGCGGCCACGAAGAGAGCAAGTAGAGAGAAGACAAGAGCTCCGTCAGCAACACTTCCGGATCCAAACCACACAAGGGACGCACCGAGGATGATCCGGTCGCTGCCCTCCAGGAAGCCCGCCCAGTACGCGGTGCCCATGAACCCGTCGTGGATCGCGATGTACGGGCCGTTGCCCTCGCCGACGCCCGTGATGTTGCGGACCATCCAGTGTGCATTCAAGTAGCTGTGCGGCCGTCCAGTCTCAGTACGGGACTCATCGGTATCACAGCTGTTTCCAAAACGATCGGCCCTGTGGGGAGGGCGGAGCGTATCGGTCTGCCCCTTCCCACCAAGACTGTAGCGACGAGGGCGGACCAGACCGTCGCAACTGAACGGCGCCGACGGTCAAGTACGCCTTCTTGACGGGCCAATCGTCCTGCGAACAGCCGAAAGCAGTAGAAGCGAACGTACAAAGTCGTGAGCACAGGCAGGCTGATCGTCTGCAGCAGCGCCTCGTTCACAATGCTGAAGATCGGGATGAGCGGCTGGTACTCCGGCTGCAGCGTCGACCGTCAGCAACGCCGATCGCCTCTACCAGACGAAGAGCAGCTCCTACCTGAGTGACGAACTCCGTAATGACCCGGATGTACTCCAGCGCCCGCTCCGCATTCGCGATGCCCATCATCCCGTTCAAGAAGTTCACCGTGCCCAGCTTGCCCGAGTGGTTATACCCTGCCACCGCCCGCCTCAGCCAACAGAACCACCGCACGAAACCGCAGAGACTGACCGTTCTGGCTGCCGGGGATGGTGTGCAGGTCGAGGTTCACGCGGATGCCGTACTTGCGCGCCCACTGGAACACCTGCAGGATGTACTGCCAGCACATGCGCGCGACGAACGGCTCCGCGACCGCCGTCCCGTTCGCGACGCCCACGTCGCTCCACGTCTCGATCGCCCAGAACGGGATCGGCATCCGCACCCAGTTCAGGCCCGCCCCTGCGCGCACACGGTCAGCCCCGTCCCCGCGCGCAGCCCACCGCTACGCTGCACTCACCGGCGATCTCAGCGATATCCTGCTCCGTGACGAACCCGCTGTAGTGCTGCTCCATCACCTCCGTGATGTTCGCCTTCGCGCGGAACGCCGTGTCGAGCGTCCACTCGTCGATCGCGCCCTCGGCCGCGTACTGCTGGTAGTACTTGGGCGTGATGAACGGCTCCATGACGAACAGCCCGCCGAGGTTCACGCCGTTGATCCTGTTCGTGCTGAAGTTCCACGCCTCCGAGAGCGGCGGCGTCCACGCGTTCGGCCGCGCCGAGTTGTTGAAGGGGTCCGCCGGGTCGTACACCCCTGCGCGCGGTCAACGTTCAACGGCGATCCCGCCCGGACGGAAAGACCCACTTACAGTACCCGCCAAAGTTGTTCGTATACGTGAACGTCGTGCCGTTCGCCGTCGTGATCGTGCTCCCGTTCCCGCCCGTCACCGCGCCCCCGTCCGCACCGCCCGCACCCCCGCTCGCGCCCGGCCCTCCGCGGTGCGGCTTGACGGCGACGAACCACACGGGGAGGACGACGACGAGGACGACCGCCGCGAGCGCGAGGAAGCCCACGAGCCAGATCCACGGCCGGCGGTAGTGGTACCACGGGCGCGCCGCTGCAACACCCACCGCGCCCGCGCCCGCCAACGCCTCCTTCGACCCGGCGTTCGTGTCTTTGGCGGCGGCGGCGGCCTCCGGGTCCGCGGTGGCGGGCGGGATGAACGGGCTGGTCTCCGCGGCGGCGGGGGCGAGGGCGGGGCTGGCGTACGCGCCGACGGGCGTGGAGGGCTCGGAGGGCTCGAGCGCGGTGGTCGTGCCGGGGCCGGGGACGTACGGGGCGTGGGTGGCGGAGTCCGCGTAGGAGTCTGCGCGCCCGACGGAGGCGCGGTCGCCCGATAGAGGCTGGGGCGGCGCAAGGCCGGGCTCGCCGGGGCCGGAGGACTCAGAGGACATTGGTCGCTGGGTGGGAGGCCGTGGTGGGTGGCGCTGGACGATCTACGGGTGGAGGCAACTTCGGTAGCACTGGGAACAGAGTTGGAGGGGCAGGCGGGGAGCGGGGAGGGAGATGGGGAAGGAGCACGCACAGCTTGAGCGAGCGGCCGCATGCATGCACCAGTTCTTGAGGCCTGCCCATCGCTGCACGTGACCGCCCTGCAGCAACCAGGATCTGGGGAAGCGCAGTCGCGTAGCTTTTAGGCAGGATATGGCGTCATAGACGACGTAGGGAGAACGTGTTGCGCCGCGCTACCGCCGCTGTCAGACAGCCCGCCGTCGGGCCGGCTCTGCGATCTGCCCGCCAGCGATCGTCGGCCCGCCCCGCCCGCCCCAGCTCGCCGTGCTGCACTCTCCTCGGTGGACGACCACGGCATCGCGCTCGCCCAGCGCACTTCGGGTGCACGCTCCCCAGGCCCTCGACACCTCGGCTCATCTCTGGAAGCGCGTCACGGCAGGCGGCAGGCAGCTCGGATCACGCGCTTCGCCCGAACCTTGTTTCGACGAGTCCTTCGCTCGCTCCGAGTCGCTCTCCCCGCCGGCTCCTCCTTCTCTGACGGTCGGTCTCCCCGACGCCCGTTCCAGCGTGCAAACCGCCGTGCTCTGCACCGCCAAGCCTCCCCGCGTCGTCCCCACGTATGCTCTCGCCGGGGTCGAGATGCGATAGCGACGAGGTACGCTAGCCTGTCGGTGCGCTATCTATTGATAGGACAGCTCACAGGCGTGCTCCACAGGGCCCTCACGCCAGAAGTAATAGTATTGCTCGCGCTCAGGGCACTCAGCTGGTCTGCAAATCCCTGCGCGCTGTACTTATTCTCAGCGTAAGACTCGTAAACTCAAGTTCGCGCACTATCGTGCGGGACAGTCGCCGGCCAGCCATCTGAAGTCCTCGTCTGCGAGGTTCGTACGGTGCTCACAAGCCGACTCGCAGATGCCTCTGAACCCCGGACGTAGCGGCCGTCTGCAACACGTCCTGTCCGTGCACCAGTTGACTCGGAGGCAGCCCAGTTGACCATCGCAACGTTAAAACAGCTCAGCTCCTCACTCACACAGCCTGGATATTCGGCCGGTGACCTCGTGTATGGCGGGCTTACGCCGGGGCCGATGCGATACGCAAGCTTCAGCTTCAGTGCTCGAACGCTTCGTTGCGAGTCAGCGCGTCGCAGAGCAAGATTGACAACAACTCTGTCGCGAGATCCGCGGCCCTACGAGGAGACGTCGCCCAGGCAGGGATGCCGGTGTTGACAGGGAATCCGTCGATGAGCGGGGAACATGTACACCTAGGAGAACGTACGTCCTGCGCTCGAGCGATGTTCTGCGTTATTGGTGCGCAGGTCCGAACTAGATGGTAACGTTGCGGAGGTCTCGGCACCGACGTATATCGATGCTCGCTGCGAGTGTCCGCGCGCCGGCGTCGTGCCCTTCCTTTCACGGCGGACGTGCAGCCCCCTCGTTGCTCGTCCCCGCAGAGTCGGCCCGTCGAAGGATTCCAGCTGCCGTAGGGGGAGGTTCGAGTGTGGGTGAGGAGGCGGGACAATTCCACGCGCTCTACTAGTCCCTGTGCTCCAACAAAAGAATGGCGCGCCTTGTCTCCGTCTACTCACCGACTGAACGCGTTGAGTACCTCTGTTTGCTGTGGCAGCGATTAGTTGCGTGTGACCATCATCGCAGTTGTTCTCAAGCCTGACGCTGACAGGCCGAACGAGGGTCAGCGCGAGACATTGGCTACGTTATGACTGCGCTGATTCTAGGGCATAGACGTTGGGGCGTCGCTGGTACGTAGGCTCTCCCGAGGGTTAGCGCTGACGCTGCTCAGTGCATCCCAGTACCAACACGGTCGCCTACGCAGGTCGACGAATTCATTGGCAAAGCATTGATGAATGCTGGACCGTCCACTCCATGCATACTGTATTCGCCTTCTCCGTCATGATGCAATTGTACGAGGTCCTTCAAATGTAGTAGCTACAAGCAAGCAAGATAAATGGTCAGAGCTGAGATCAGAGCAGTGGACAAACAGACGTGGATTGATCGGGACGCTTTGCTCTTATAAGGGCATCGTGCGCGTTCGGAATGCTAGGCAAAGCCCATCGAGTAGTCACGGCGACACAGAGACCACGTCAGCGGCCCCATGATGGGTGGACCCCGTGTCGCCGCAACCTCGATGGGCTCTGGCATCCCGACCCGCGCAACGCGAGCAAAGAATCCCGAACGCCACGGCACATATCAGACAGTACATGTCGTACGTGATGATCAAGTCAGACTTCAAAGGCCAACTGCACACGAGCCGGTAAGCATACACGGAGACCTCGAATCGGCGAACCACTCACCTGGTCAACGGCGTCCATGGCCTGTCCACCATACTTATCATAGTTATGTATCAACTCCAAGATGTCCCCATGCCGGCCGTTCCACGTATGCAAGCAGGACATGAGTTGCTGAATATGCGCGGGCCACTCGCCCCCCAGACCCAGCGCCCGCGGCAGTGGACCGGCGGCCGTCCACTGGCTCGGACGCACCCCCGGGCTCGTCGCCCCCGCGCGCGCCCACGTAGCGTGCAGCGAGTAATGGAACATGGTCGACACGTCGTGCGCGTGCCAGAACGTATCGTAGACCTCCTGCTGGTCCACCGCCGCGTGCAGGTACAGGTCGTCCATGAACGCGCGGCGCGCGCTGATGACGTTCCGGCGGCATTTCTGGCGGTACCGGAGGAATCGGTCGTAGCAGCTCGCGGGGACGAGCTCCATCTCCGGGCAGTACTCGTCCGCGGGGAGTAGGACCGCATGTCGTGCCGCTCGCTTCGCTTCTTCCGTCCAGCCCTGCTGCACGGCGATGAAGTACGAACGCAGCGGCTCCGTCGGGATCTCCTTGACCCATGCACGCTTCGCGAGCTCCGCCGCCCTCACGAGTTCGTATTTGTACGCTGTCAGCAGGACGTGGGTGAGGAGCTCCCAATCCCGTATATGAGGGCTGACGACCGGGTATGTCAGTTGTAGGAGGGGAAGGAGGATGTTGGCGTCTTCGGGAAGGGCGAGGACGCGGTAGCCGTCGTGAGACCTGGGACTGCTGTCCGGGGCGTCGTGGAGGAGGGATTCAAGCTTGCTCGAGGCCAAGGCTAGAATGCCCTCGTTCACGTAGAAATCGACCTTGTCGTTCGAGCGGATGATGATGTTCGCATGGGCGGACGGCCGATTGAACGGGCTGGGTACGGTGAACGTCGCGGTAGGCTCCGGCGCAGAGCTCGCGAGGACACTGGGAGGCCGCGTAAAGCTGTAGTTCTCCGAGATCTCGCCTCCTCGATTGAGCGCATCGCAGAAATGGAGCAGCCGGAAGTACGTCGCGGATGGGAGAACTGTCATTTCCGGAACATACGTGTCTTCGAGGTCGAACGCGTTTTCCTGGCACCACTCGATGGCGGCCTGATACGCCACGTCCTCGAGATCGGCGAGGCATCCTACGATGAAGACGCGGAGAGGGTCATCGAAGAGCGAAAGCTGTCTCTTCAAGTATTTGACCACATCATCCACCTGGTATTTGACTGCTGCGCACAAGACGTCTCCGATCCGCATGATATCGTCGATGGCCGGTTTGTCGCCGCCAGGATACATGAAACGCAACAGCGCGTCTAGCGTCGCGCTGTCCTCTTGGACGGGAATGATGGCCCGTTCGCTGCCGCCGGCAGGCTGAGGCATCTTCTCCATGTCTTCGAAGAAGCCAGATGTGAGGCCAAGGACGACCCAGTGAACGTGGAAGTGAGTCCCATCCAACGAACGCAAGATGACGTCGGCGTTTGGCTTGTTGAACGGGTCGCCTGCGACCTTGTATTCGGTGGGAGAGGCCATCGCGACGCCCGAGGGCCGGGGAGATGTGCGGACTGAGGACGGGGAGGGGCTGGGAACATCCGTACGTACTGAGCCACAATATGAAGAACAGGCGAGCACGGAAGCTCCCGGCATCGTACCAGTACTCAGAACAAACATTACCTTTCGGTGCTACAAGGTTTGATTGCAAACCTACTGGGTAATGGGCATGCCCGGATCAGCGAGGCGACCGCGAGCCTCCCCGACGCGATGAGCACCGAATCTTGCGAACGGACGTGCTGATAAGAATCATTGCCGGGTGCGCCAGTAGCGCAGTTTAGCATCCCCGAGGGTTAGACAATGCTTTCAACGCAGACGGGCGAGTACTCGCAGAGCCGATGAACTCACCATGCTCTCGTGACTCAATCAATGTAAGCGCATGATGCATCGACTTCATACAAGAACTTGAGAAGACACACACCAAAGAACCATCGCACAAGTCCATGTTCCGTACATTCAAGACCAAGCGACAAGCCCACATGATACCGATCGTCCACAAGGTTTCCAGTCATCAAGTCCGTTGCGTGAGTCCATTCATAATCGTGTCCAGTTTCAAGGAAGAGTGAGCCAGAGAGCCAGCAGCTTCACAAAGTTCGGGGTTCCCACACCCGTGGCGGGGTCCCATCCAGGCTGTGCATAGAAGCCCTCCGTGCCGCAGCCAGGGTTGGAGCCTGTCGTGATGTCGTTGAACGCCGCGCTGAACAAAGGCGTGTAGATCTGCCATAGACGTGAGCAATCAGACAGCGGTGAGTGTGTAACGAGGAAACGCACCGTAGGGTTGATGAACCCAATCGGCGACTTCCCGATAGCAAGGCGGGCGTCGTTGATCGCGGAGAAGATCGCCGCAGAGACAGGAGAAGAACATGATGTGCCGTAGACAAGGTAGTACTCGCCCTGCACAGCGACTACGTAATTTGCACTGAGAAGCCCCACGTCAGTTTGCGGAACCTTCGTAGAGGACTGCGCGACTACACGTACCCATTTGCGGAAATATCAGGGTAGGCACGCGACCCAGAGGTGTTGTAAGTGCCGGCAGGGTAGCCAGGAGGGTAGTTCGTCAGGTAGTGCTCGACAGCAGATGCCTGGTACGAGGGCATGGGGAAGACATTTGAGAAGCCTCCACCAGAGTAGATGACCTGCCCGCAGGCGCTCTCGGGCTCAAGGACCTTTGAACGAAAATGAGCACGATACAGCACCAAAGAGTACGACGCGCACGTACCGTGGCGTTGGGGTTGACCTGCGTCGCACCGACCGCGGTGACATACGGGCAGTCAACGGGGAAGCCCGGCGCAAACACGTCACCATAGTAGTCCTCCTGGCCGTCAGCGTCCAGACAGACACCACCATTCCCCGCGACACCATAATCTCCAGACGAGTAGAGCACCGTGATGCCCAGCAGCCCAAGCTTCGCATACTCGGCGCATTGCCTTTGCTCATACGCAGGCGTCAGATCCGCCTCCGTGTACCCATACGACGTCGACATGATGTACGCCGGCGTGACGGTTCCACAGTCTTCGGCACCCTCGTAGCCTCCGTACGGATCCGGATACGTCGCGTCGAATTCAGAGCTGTCACCACCCTCGAACGTGCAGTACGATGCGTCAAGCGCGTCGAGCAGATTACCGAAAGACGCGCCCTCATAGAGGTCGCCCGCCTGGTAGAGCTGCACGGGCTGGCGCGACCCGACGAGGGACATGGCGTACTGCAGGTCAAGGTTTGACTCGCCGTTGTAGTCGAAACCTCCGTAGTCGGTCTGAATGTAGCCACCGTCGATACTGTAGAGAACGGGACGCTGGCCAACCTGGCTTGGAGAGAAGTTGCCGAAGAACATGTCCAGATCGCTTGCGACATATGCCTGAGGAGTGTACTCGACTACAGTGCCAGTCAGTGCCAATGTGCGCCATGGTAGAGTATACGTTATGCTTACCAATAGCCAGCGAGTTCTTGTCCGGGACGAGAGGATAGTACTCAAAGGAGTATAGGGCCCGAAGACAGTCAGGGACGATCTGTTCATCGCAGTTCTCCAACTCGTTGATGATGCCCTGGAAGGATTGTCACTGGGATTGCTCGAACAATAGACAAAGACGCAGCTACCTCGATGGTACCCTTGGTCTTCGGGAAGCTCGTGCCGAAGCCGGGCTGGCCAATCGCATGTGCCGCATAGGTCGAGTTCGAGGTCGCGTCGTCCCTGCTACCAACCTTCTGCCACTGTCCAGCCGGACCACGAGGCTTCGCGTCGAAATGGAGAGTCGGCGACACGATCTCGACGTGCTTCGAGACGTGTTCCGGAAGGTGGTACTTCTCGTGGCACGCGACGTGCGTGTGGCTCTCGTCCTCACCGAACTGGTAGACGTAGTACTCCGTGCCCAGCAGACGTTCCGCCTCATCGACCGTCACATTCACTTTCATCCAGCTCCCACCCGTGCCTGACTTGACGCGCTCGGCCGCGATCCCGCTCTCAATGAGCCAGCCACGCACGGTGTCCACGGACTCCTTCGTCGGGCGGAACGTCGCCGCAACCTTCGCTGGGGTCCAGTGCTTACCGTAATTCGGCGACTCCGGGTGGGACACGTCCATGATGTACTCCTCGATGTTCTCCAGATTGGGCTGCACAAGACCAACGCGGAAGGGCAGGACCATGTCTGGCTCCGCCCGTCGCACTGGGGCCCATCCCCGCGGGACGCGGTCGCGTGCCTCGTGGACGACATGACCTGCAGGGGAGGGGAAGGCAACGGCGCAGACAGCGAGGACGAGGAAGGCGACCAGGCGAGTGGAGAACATCATCCTGGAGATGAGGACGCGTTAGTCCACGGGGAAACTCGTCTCGGTGGTTGTGCTTATTATACTCGCGCGCGGGGCGCACGACGTCTAGACGGGGAGCCATATCCGTCGCCAAGGAAGTGTTTGTACGCAATGGCGGCATCAAGAACCGCATGGGCAAAGGACGCTCGGCCTGCAAAAGCCTGCGAGTCGCCAGGATAGACCAAGGATAGACGCATTCCAAGTTCTGCGTTGGTCGGCTCATCACGTATCCGCTGATGGCCCTTGAGCTTGATCGTACTCAGCGCTATCAAACGCTGACGACACGAGGATAATGCTAATCGTTGCGCAGACTAGCCCATTCTAGCACCAGCAAGGACTTGAAACAGCTTTACCAGATGCCTGCTGGGGTAAAGGAAACCCATGACTCCCCGCTACCGGTACCCCAGGCCGGGCCAGGTAAGGTCTGGTAAGGTGTGTGTACCGATATCGTGGCTTGTAGGCGGTGCAATTACATCTTTCCATCGCAGGGTGTCCTTGTTCTTCGTGCCTTTCCGTTTCCACACGGCCTGTCAAAGGCGGTCAGCTGAAGCTACGAACAAATGGACTTCTGGTGACTCGACGAGATGCAAACTCACGCCTCTGTCCGTTCACCGGGCCAATCCAGACACGAAGGTGACGGAGGCAAATCCTACTCGAGTTAGTGAAATCCCGATAAGTCCGTATGGCAGATGTAGCATAACCACTGTTTGCATCCGAGGGAGAGATTCGGGATAAGAGGACGACATATGTAGAAGACGGCCGGTAAGTAGAAGACTGGTCGAGGACCAGTCTCCTACCCAACCGCTGAGGGAGGTAGGGGGCCCCGTGTCGATGGTCAGTACAATGCGAAGTGTCGAAGAGCCGTTCGATGCTAAGTCCAGCGATCACGTGTTCTGTCTTATGTAACTTCTCCAAACCTTATTCCCCTCTACCTCCCTACAGCGGCTGGCAGAAAACATGTGTATACACCGGCGAGCGGCGTCCCACGCCCTCCATTTGGTAGTGCACCGGCCCCGGAAACCAATAAATCTATATGTTTTTCCGGGAATATTCGACATGATGAGGTAGCACATTGCAGTGAGCCATTGAACCTGCCGCGAACGCACGAACCATCAGCAGCCTCCCCGCGATGCCCCCCAGTGCTGCAGACCCAGTACCGAAAGTCCCTACACTTGAAGAAGTCTATGCGAAGACTCTCGCTGGTCTTGGACGGCGGCCATGTCGATGGCAGGCAGAGTCATGTCGCGCCGCGCTGAAGGGAGACAAGGATATCATATCCATTGCACCGACTGGTTCAGGGAAGACACTCACCTTCTGGATGCCTCTGCTCTTCCGAGAGGATGGGATACAGCTGGTAGTCACGCCGCTCAACTTGTTAGGCACTCAGAACGTCACGGAGCTAAAACAACATGGTATCAGCGCGTGCGATGTACGCGCGGATACGGCAACTGCGAAGCTCTTTCAGGTTCTGTCCCTCATGTAGCTAGCAGATATAATGCATTGGCTCACCATCACACCAGGAAATCGAGGACGGACGATACCGAGCGATCATCACAAATCCCGAGGAGCTCTTCAAGGAGGGCGGCGGCTTCGAGAAGCTCTGGAAAGTCCCAAAATTTACGTCGCGGCTGATCTCGATCATCTGGGACGAAGCACATTGCATTAGTACGTGGAGTTCCTTCCGCGCAGACTACAAGAAGGCGTACCGGCTGCGCTACCTGTTGCCACATACACGGTTCTTGCTGGCCAGTGCGACGTTCAATGACCAGCTCAAGGTCAACACTCTAAAGACAATGCACATGTCCTTGAAAGACTGTATCGTGTTTCAGCGATCAAACGACAGGCCAAACGTACACATTGAAGTACGCCGCATTGAGCACTCACTGCGTAGCTTTGAAGACCTGGACTTCCTCATCCCACCTGACTGGAAGCCTGGCGACGAGACCCCAAGCTTCCTGGTCTTCTTTGACAATATTGAAGACTCGATTGCGGCCGCGGAAAGGTTGCGAAGCCGCTTACCTCGCGACTCAAAGTCGAAGGTCATGTGGTTCAACTCTCGGATGACGTCTCTGTTCCGCGAAGAGGCACTGAAGGCGTTCAGTAATGGTGAGCTGTACGGCCTGTGTTGCACGGACTCTTTTGGGATGGTAGGTGCTCACCGTGTCACCCTCCAACATGCTACTCATGTCTCCATAGGGAATCAACGTCGCAAAGATACGGCTAGTGGTCCAATGGCGGCTGACGTGTGACTTGAACACGTTGTGGCAGCGCTTCGGGCGTGCTGTGCGGGACCTATTGTTGGACGGTGTTGCAATCTTTCTGGTGGAATCCAAGTACTTCGATGACGAGAAAGCAAAGGCCTCCGAACGCGCGGAGAAAGCCAAAGAGACTAGAAAGCGTAAAGCTGCAAACGTGCTTGCCCCGTCCCGCTCCGCAAAGGCTGCGCGGCTTGCCAAGTCGCAGGTCGGGCCGCTCGAGCCCAGCACACGTAGTGATCGTCCTGCAACGCCGCGCAGTGCAACAGCACTCGGTGATCATCCCGCAACCGCAAGCAACTCAAACTTGCTTGGTAATCGAACTGCAGGAAGTGTACACGACGCGAACTTGCAACACGATCGTCCAGCAACCACTTTGAACACGCATAACAATCCAAGCCGCGCCACGCCGGCTGCACGCATTCCAGACGCGCACAGTGATCGTGACGTGGTGGAGAATCCTGTACGCCCGGAGCAACCGGCAGGTTCAGATGCACGTCAGAAGTCTCCGCTGAACGATGTCACGATACATACCCATAATACAACTCCGGCATTGCAGGATCTTGCCATGCTGCGCTTGGAGTTCCGATCGGAGGAGAAGCCAAAAACGCAGCAAGCAGCAAAACGAACGGCTGAAGACCTGCTCACGCCCGAGATGGACGCGTTCATTAACGCAGGAACACGGCCGTTCAAGTGCCATAGGAAGCCCATTATGGCGTTCTATGCGAACGACAAAACCGGTATGTTGGACCCGTGTTTGCATATGTGGGCGCTGCACGTGTTGACGCTCTCATCAGTCTCAGACCATCAGTTATGCCGCCCCGACCTGCCCGCCGGATGCACTCGCTGCGTTGCTCGTACCTCTTCAATCTGCTGTATTCTCTGCTCGCCAGAACACTCCATCTTCTCGCAGTATCGGCGGCATCAGGGCAGTGCTGTGGCGCCTGGTACCGAACCAGTGGCCCCTCCGAGTAGGGCATCTAGACTTCCGAAGGACGCTGGCATGCTCGATACCAGACGCGATCTTACAACGGCTCTGGACGCCTTCCGTCTCAAATGCGCTGAAGACGAGTATGGTTCGTTAGCTTACACTCTGCGCCCTGATCTCATCCTACCCGAGTCTGTCATGCTGCGCTTGGTCGAGTGCGCGCGTGCACAGAAAATTGGCTGCCTGGACGACATCAAGCGGGAGACGAAGTGGCCGGCACATGAGGTTGATAGGTATGGGAAGGGTGTTTTGGAGATTATCCTGCGGTGAGTCTCAATACGTGGCCTTGTACTGTGGTTTGACTGACGTCTATTAGCCACTTCCCCCTCAACCTTCCGTTCACTTCGACACCACTGCCTGCTCGAGGACAAGGCTCTAGCGTGTCCGAAAGCCCTGCAACACCGCGCGTTCCTGACGCTGCGCACGCAACGCCGGCTGTTGTGCAACAACGGAGGTGTGGTATCTGCAGGCAGCTAGGGCATAACAGTACGTGATTCGTTGTAGTCTGTCATCTGCGTGCGACTCAATTGATGACTGTTTGCTAGAACGCAGTTGTCCAATGCGAGAGACAACAGATCAAACAGCCCCGTTGCCCGCGCAGCTCAGTTCTACGGTGTCAGACGCATCAGACAGCAGGAACGCTCGTCCCGATGCCGGGCCACTTGTCCGCCCTACCTCGTCCACCCTTCCTGCCACTCCCACTGCCACACAGCCTGCGCGATCATTGCATACATTCGACGATCCACTGGCGTCTCTGCTGTTCTCAACCCCGAGCTACCGTCGCAATGCACAGGTCAAGACTCTTGCTGAGATCATCGCAGAGCGTGAGCGCGAAGCTAGCAGTGCGGGGCCGGCGGGTTCTGTGCAAGCGATTGCAACTGAAGGTGAGAATGTTATTACTGTATGGACCATACAATGTAATCATGCGACTGCAGGGACAACAGCCGGGCTGTTGGCCCCTATACCTCCGCGACACTTCTATAGTGATAGTGCCAATGCTACTGCAGGTTTGCGTCGCTGAAGTCTACCCGTCTACGTTCATTATGTCCTCCACATTCACTTGATTGATCACACCCCCGCTTGTTCCAGTCGTCTCGCCCGTGCCACCACCCTCGTCTGCCATGTCAGTATCCTCCGTAGAATGGCCTAATAGTACCATTGTCTCTGTACCCTTTGCCACGGTGTCGGGGATGACGTAGTTGCTCTTCCGTCCCGCGATATGTTCGTTTGGTTTGAGTTCGCCCGCCATGCGCGAAGCAAGGGCCGCGAATGTCCTTGTCATGTCGGGAGAGCCGCGAGCTGTTGTAAGGCCAGTGAGGATGTAGTTCCGCTCGGCGTTCGCAATACAGCTTCGGTATGTAAGAATGTTTGGTGACTCGGTGATGATACGGTTGATGGTGTAATTAGAATTCTCTCCGCCATATGTGTCCTTTGGGGGTAGCAGGTCAGTCTAAGCTCTGGCTATGCAGATCATATGATGAGTACCTTTGTGAGGAGGTTATTGAACTCCTCGACCCAATCAACACCTCGGAAGGAGTCAGGCTTGCCCTTCGGGTTTACGAGCATGTTCAACCGAATTGCTCGCCGTAAACGTGGCGGGTATACATAATGGACATCGGTGAAGAACTTTGTCATATGGTGGGCGTACTTGTGTTTGCCAGTCTCCTTGAAGATGGCTATCCAGGACGGTAGGACTGTCTCAACCCGGCCAATGTCACCGGCATTCATCGCCCAGCTAAGCTCTTCGTACAGCAGCAAGTGCTCATGAAGGAGAAGTGTATTCTCTCGCTGCTCGTCCCGTTGTGCGCCCTGCCGCCGGAGGTTAAACATCCGTGGACCGCCGACCTCCCCTGCGACGTAGGTCCGAGCAAGGCCCACAGCCAGCGCAAATATTTCGCCTATGCTTGGCTTCTCTTGTTCGGCCCACGTCTCAAGGGTGATATCGTTCTTCAGTTTCCTCGAGACCTCCACGCGCCAAGCATCCAGGCGCAGCACTGTCCCGACATGTTGAATTCCTTCGTGCATCTGTCGGAACGTGGGATTTGAGCTGAACTTGCCCGTTTCGAGTGGACGAAGGGACCCGATATATTGTAAGAAGGTGTTATCGCCACGAGCGTGCTTAGGTTTGATCCAAATACGCCAGATGCCATCCGCGGCGGCCATTTTGAAGTGAAAAAGCCCCGGTACGAAGACGACAAATTGTAGCCTGGCCCAAGGTGTGTCCTCGATTGAACGTGCCTTAAGTGCGGACACAACCCGCTCCATCGTCCCTAGGTCACCATGGAACAAGACGACATACTCAGAGATGTCTGTCTCCTCGCCCGTGGCATAGATCGCCGTTGGATCGCCGATCCCTGCCTGGGCGCAGAGTTGCTGGATCGCCTCGATGTTCCCATCAACGGTGGAGTTGTTGACATCCATTGTTCGAGCGGGATGGTGACGAAGCTTCGTGACGGGGATGCACTCGACAGGATGTGGTCGACCAATCTCTGAGGTGAACTGACGAAAATATGCCGGGCCGAAGTGCGTGAGGTCATACACGAACTTCCAGGAATTGAAAAGCCCTTTGCGGCTTAGTCCACTCGCATGCGGTGTCTCGGGGTGCAGCATCAGCAAGTCTTTGAATCCACGCGGCTGCAGTGTTGCTGATGCTGCAGGATTAAGAAGTGAGGTAGCCCAGAGCACCTGAGAGCAGCGAAGGTCTGCTGGGACCACTCCGTGGTCCAACTGAAAGATGTCTCCCGATGTGAGGTGCTTGAGGTCCCCGCCAGGCTTCTCAATGGTTGGTGTGTTTGTATGGAGCTTCAACTCGAAGTTGTCGTACGCAAACGCAGCTGTGAGAGATCGACCGAGCTCCATGATCGACACAGCACTCTCCTGCGACAGGGATCTCACGGCATTGTTGATCGCATCCGGGGAGACAGAGACTCCCATATGAGCGAGGGCCTTGAGAGCCTTGTCTGGCATGACAGACGCGTGGAAGAAGCCACCGTTCACGGCACCTAAAGCATTGCATTGCTGATTGATGGTCTGCATGACTAACGACAAGATCACAGCAGCTCTCTGGAAGAAACGGTCAGCTCGTCGCATGACTTGAGAGAAGGCAGTGAGACTCACAATAACCCGTAAACCGCAGCGCCGCTGTTGCACTATCCTCGCTCGCCGTGTCTGTGGCGGCTCGTCTGGCCTCGCCGCGTCAGGTGCGGGTTCCCTATCATCCCCAAGAGCCACCCAGTACTCGTCTTCATTCATCTCCCCACTCGCCGTGTCCCCATCCTCGCTCCCGAGCGGAGCTGCGTCCTCGCCCGACAGCATAAAGATCATGAGATCCCAGAGCTGGGGCTCGAGTTCTTGCATGTGTTTCGCCATGTCTTCCGTTCGGAAGTCGTTGAACTGTTTCGCTGTCGCACGAAGCGCGCTGAAGTGCCAGCCATTCTTCTTCTCGGTGAGCCGCCGAGCCGAGTTGTGGTACTGTACCTTCATGTACTTATGTGCCCACTCATCCAACGCGTCGCGCATCTTCCCATGACGACTGAGAGCCGTGAGGAAGTTGGTTGTGTTCGCGACAAGGCCGTGCGCGAGCGCGTTCCGTTCGAGCGTAGGATTGCGGATGACAGCAAGCACGACCTCGGAGAGTGTGGTGTTTTGCGCGTGGATAAACTGGAGAATGGTCTGTAGAGTTGTCATAGATAACATCGTGGCGCAGGGAGACACGGAGACAGAGCGCGACGCGTCAGACACGACAGAGGAGACACGACGCGTCAGACACCGAACAGCGACGAGACGCGTCTCTAGACGCTCGTGCAGGACATTGCGCAGGCGCTTAGTAAATACCTCAGCTTAGATAATAAACGCGTTGACCGCATTTGGATGTGGCGTCTCCGGTGGCCGTTGTTTACAAATGTTTTCTGCCAGCCGCTCTGGCGAGGTAGAGGGGTTTAAGATTGTGGGGTTTGAAATGGGCGGAGATGGGAGGGGCGGAGAGGGGGCGGATTGGGTGCGGGAATCAAATGTAGGTGGCGGGATTGTGGCTGAAGTGTGGTGGGCGAGATTTAACATTGCAGAAGCTATCGACATGGGGCCCCCTACCTCGCCTGAGCGGATGGGGAGGAGACTGGTCGAGGACAAGCTTGAAGATTTGCGTGTACACTGTAAGCGCCTAGAGATAAGTTATGCCGCCGGCACGCACCGTCAGCGCGTCACGGTCAGCTCTCGAGGAAGCAAATTCAATCCAAATTCAATCTCATCTTATCCGAAATCACAGCCACTCGAAGGCCCAGTGGCGTCGCAATTGAGCTTGAGCAACTTCGTCTCGACTCTCTTGGTGATCCCGGCTGGTAGACAACACACTAAATGAGTAAACGTTAGAGCGTTGGCGCCGCCCCTGTATGTACGCAGAACCTACTGAAGCTGAAGGCTGAAGCGACTTCTTCAGCCTGCGGGCGCTGGCAGGACGTGAACGCTTCCTGCCGCGGAGCCGACAATAACTATTGTATCCAGTGTGAAGTTGTTGACGCTGATGAGCTAATGCACACATGCAGGTCTCGGTGAGTAGGGCAATAGCGGAGACATGCCTCCGTACCGTGAACAGTGCGGCCAGGTGAGTCCGTTGTCAAAGAAGTTCCGTCCTGTGGTATTCTCAATGCGGCACCTCTAGGATTATCACCCAATTGTGCTTACATACCGCGATCGATGCCTCGCGGTGTCTCGACGACTCTACACCAGCCTCCGACGCTCGGCTAGCCGAGTTCCATACGATACAGGCTATTGGACCCTGCGTCCCTGCATCCCACACCCTATGCACAACACATCCCTTATCCACTCCTGGTCTCATCGAGGAGCCGGATTTCAGGTACCAGCAGGCACTCCGGATCTGTGTCACCGCTCCGACTCTGCGAACTCGCGAAGCACACAAGCTCGGGTTTACGACAGTTTGATCAGACGATCCAGGTATCAATGGAATGCTACTCATCACAGTTGCACAATACTTTGCGATGCCTCGACAAGTCTTCGTCGGCCTCTCAAGCCCGCAGGCAGCAGTACTCCACCAAAAGCGATCCCTCATGGCCCCTCCTCGTCCGCGTCCGGTCCCAGCAAGGCTCCTGATGCCGCAGTTAGTCAATACGGAAGCTTGTTGGTAATAAGTCACGTACTCCGATACTCTGTCCGGCCGCTCTAGCTGAGCGAAGTTTCGAAGCAAGGCACCCGAGTGCGGGTTTACGACGGCGACCGACATTCGCCCGGGTGGGTCGGACGTTCGGATTGGGAGTTGAGAGCAACGTACTCGGATCCAGCTTTTGTAGGAGTTGCTCTGGCCTCTCTTACCTGTCCCCTCGATTGTTCGCTCGAGTGACATACAGCAACCCGAAATCTGAGCCAGGCTGTAACCATCTCCAAAGAAGTCCTGGGGGGCCAATCGTCGTCAACTGCTGGAGAAGTGATATTCAGAGAAACCCCAGCTTGTACATGACCCGATCACACGAACATCCCACGACCAGTATTCATCTTTCCAGCACATGTACAAGTATGCACTGGAACAATTATCGTTCAAGTCCGCTTCGCAAGTCCCATTCGGAGTGCACCGGAATGCAATCACGGAAGTGCCAGCCAGAGGGCAAGCAGCTTCACGAAGTTCGGTGTGCCTACACCCGTCACCGGGTCCCACCCGGGCTGGGCGTAGAAGCCTTCCGTGCCGCAGCCCGGGTTTGAACCGGTAGTAATGTCGTTGAATGCCGCCATGAATTCAGGAGTGTAGATCTGTCAAGCAAATGCATCTAAGTCGGACAGCATATATGTAGTAACTAGCAAGCGCACGCACCGCGGGGTTGATAAATCCAATCGGCGACTTCCCAATGGCGAGGCGGGCATCGTTGATAGCGGAGAAGATCGCCGCAGAAACAGGCGACGAGCACGAGGTGCCGTAAACAAGATAGTATTCACCCTGGACAGCGACGACGTAGTTCGCACTACAAATCGCATGAGCACTGATCGTTGTAAACTCCCAGTCATAGCGTTCCACTCACCCGTTGGCAGAGATGTCAGGATAGGCACGCGAACCGGAAGTGTTATACGTGCCGTCAGGGTAGCCAGGTGGGTAGTTAGCCAGATAGTGTTCCACTGCAGCTGCCTGGTACGACGGCACGGGGAATACGTTCGAGAAGCCACCGCCGGATTGGATAATCTGTTCACATGCGCTTTCAGGCTCGAAGATCTGTGAAGGATGATCAACCGTGAACTGAACTGGAACGTTCAGTGCACGTACAGTTGAGTTCGGGTTGACCCGCGTCGCACCGACCGCGGTGACGTAAGGACAGTCGACGGGGAAGGCTGGCGCAAAAGTGTGGCCAAACCAGTCCACCTGGCCGTCAGCATCCAAGCAGGCTTCACCAATCCCCGCAACACCATAGTCGCCAGACGAATAAAGCACCGTGATGCCCATGAGCCCGAGTTTCGCATACTCGGCGCACTGCCTCTGCTCATACGCCGGCGTCAGGTCTGCCTCCGTGTATCCATACGACGTTGACATGATGTACGCAGGGGAGACTGTGCCACAGTTCTCGGGGCCCTCGTAGCCGCCGCCGTGCGGGTCCGGATACGTCGCATCAAATTCGGGGTCGTCGCCACCCTCAAAAGTGCAGTACGACGCGTCGAGTGCGTCGAGTAGGTTACCGAAGGAGGCGCCCTCGTAGAAGTCGCCCGCCTGGTAAAGTTGCACAGGCTGCCGTGGGCCAACGAGCGTCATGGAGTACTGCAGGTCGAGGTTAGACTCGCCGTTGTAGTAGAATCCACCGCCGTCTTCCGTCTCAAGATAGCCTCCATCGATGCTGTACAGGATAGGCCGTTGCCCAACCTGGCTGGGCGAGAAATTGCCGAAGAATATGTCTAGGTCGCTCGCGTTATATGCCTGGGGAGTGTATTCGACTGTGTATATTTATCAGTCAAGCAGGCAACACAGGAGATACAGAGCTCACCGATAGCAAGCGAGTTCTTCTCCGGGACGAGAGGGTAGTAGTCGAAGTCATATAGCGCGCGCAGACAGTTCGGGACGATCTGCTCGTCGCAGTTCTCCAACTGATCGATGATGCCCTGCACCGTACCCGTAGTCTTGGGGAAGCTCGTACCGAATCCAGGCTGGCCGATGGCATGCGCAGAAGAGTTTGAGCTCGCACTCGCATCGTCCCTGCTACCGAGCTTCTGCCACTGTCCGGCGGGTCCGCGAGGTTTGGTATCAAAGTGGAGGGTCGGTGACACGATCTCGACGTGCTTCGAGACGTGTTCCGGAAGGTGGTACTTCTCATGGCACGCAACGTGCGTGTGGCTCTCGTCCTCACCGAACTGGTAGACGTAGTACTCCGTGCCCAGCAGACGTTCCGCCTCCTCGATCGTCACGTTCACTTTTATCCAGCTCCCACCCGTACCTAGCTTGACGCGCTCAGAAGCGACGCCGCTCTCCACGAGCCAGGTGCGCACAGTGTCGACAGACTCCTTCGTCGGGCGAAACGTCGATGCGACCTTGGCCGGAGTCCAGTGTTTACCGTAGTTAGGCGACTCGGGGTGAGATACGTCCATGATGTACTCCTCGATGTTCTCTAGATTGGGCTGCACGAGCCCGACACGGAAGGGAAGGACCATGTCTGGCTCCGCTCGTCGGACGGCTGTCCATCCGCGGGGGATGATGTCCCGTACCTCGTGGACGATATGACCAGTGGGGGCGGGGACAGCGGTGACATATAGGACGAGGGCAAGGGCGACCAGGCGACTAGAGAGCACCATCATCCTTGAGATGGAGACGCCCTGTGCTACGAAAGAACGTGTCTCTATCAGTTTGCCCGTTATATATCCTCACGCGCGTGTGAGGTCCACACTGTATACTGTCGGGAAGGTATGTCCGTCGCCAGGAAGTGCCTGTACGCAATGACGGTATTCACGAACCGCTTGGCCAGGCACGTTGGACTTCGATGTAGATGTGGCTGGCAAATGCAATTTCCGCGCGGATAGTTACACCACGTATCTGGCCTGCAAAATTTCGATTGCATCAACAGAACGAGGAGACAATGCTGACCACTTGACTTACAGGTAAGTCCCTGATAGGCGGTGCAAATCAATTGAACATGGCAGAGCCTCCGATTGTATGGCACCATTCTCCGCTCGTTGCAAATAACACACGATTGTCAAACACAATCAGCGAGAACTGCAAGTGATTGAGCCTCTGATGACCACTGGCAAACGAGTCCACGGGTACTCACACACTGTCCAATTGCCCACCGAGTCTAGACTCGTGATTGACTGTGCGTTCATGCGACCGTGTATAGACCTACGCATAAAGATATTGAGTCGCGTTGAGCTGTCGCATTGCCTAGGTCAGTCGAAGAGGAGGATGCGGGTGAGATGGTCCAGGTTCGGAGGAGGAGACAAGCCCAGCCTCGTGCCACCGACGCGTAAGCGCCCGAGATGGCCGATCTCCGAGTCGCCGCCAGTGACCGTCACCACTTCTCGAACTCGAAAACAGATTCAATCCGTACATAATCCCGTCTTATTCAAAGCCGCCTTGAAGCCTCCACTCACATCGTCCAGCGTCAGTCGCACCAACTCCCACACGACGAACCTATGCCGAAACCTTGTCGTCGATACTCGAACTATCATCTCTGTCTCGCCGTATCAGAGTCCAGACACTGCACGCATACTATGTATGACTCCTCAAATAAAGACCAAGGAGTGGAACCGACGCATAGGTCAGCAGAGAGTGCGGCACATGAACAGAATGATAGCAAGGATAGCAATGTCATCCTGCCCATGGGTAATGCGAATGCAGCCGGGGCGAGCAAGGCTATATATGCTTCGATGCACTCACACACTTCCTCGGCCGGTGGGTGCACGAGTCCCTGGAATTGCTTGCTTCTGCACCCAACGGTATGCGTACCTGATTTGCGAACTTCGATGCTCGTGTGGGGACTACTTAATTTTGCTCTAGGCACTGCCCGCTGTACTGCTCGTCGTCAAGAGTCTACGAGGTTCATCGCCACTCGAACACACACTGATGTCATATAACCTAGGTGAGTGGACGCGAAGTAACGTTTCTGAAGAGCCAAGTTTCCGACAAGGGGCCTTCGCACGTACGATAGCTCGAATGTCAGCTACTCCTGTGTCCCACCGCCTTATGGCGATCCTCGGAGACTCACAGGACTAACATCAGAGCTCGCGATAAACACACTGCTGCACAGTCAGCCTGCATGCCCCTCCCCTTAAAGAAAGATTGAAATCGTCAGCTTCGTGCACGCCGAGGCTACCGACTTCGTGACCCACCCTCGCCGCCTACTGGCAGGATGTTGCTCGCAGCCCGTCTAGCCTCATCCTTTGCGCTCATCTTCACCCTTTCCCTCATCGCGTCTGGTGCGCCTGCCAACTCGCGCACGGTTGTGCATGAATCGCGTAACCATGTACCCCGCGGATGGAACGCCATCCGGCGCGCAGACCCTGGCTTGATCCTCCCGTTCAGGATTGGCCTCGCCCAGCCAAACATCGAGAATATCGAGGCGTATCTCCTCGACGTCTCCCACCCGTCCTCACCCAACTACGGAAAGCACTGGGCCCCAGGTCGCATCGCCGAGACGTTCCGTCCCTCGCGCGAGTCGATCGACACCGTCCGTGCGTGGCTCGCTGAGGCTGGAGGGCTCGACGCCGCACGCGTGAACCTCAGCGCTGGCGGCGGGTGGCTTCAAGCGGACCTAACAGTTGAAGAGGCGGAGCGTCTGCTTGAGACGGAGTACCATGTGTACCAGTTCGAGGGCGACGAGGAGCGCACGCACGTCGCGTGCCACGAGAAGTACCACCTCCCGGAGGACGTCGCGAAGCACGTCGAGATCGTGACGCCGACGCTGCACTTCGACGTCAAACCAAAGAGCAAGCCGGTCCAGCTGGAGAAGAGGGACGCGCCGTCGAGCGGGAGCGCGGCCGCCCATGCTGTTGGCCAGCCTGGCTTTGGTGCATCCTTCCCGAAGACTTCTGGCACTATCCAGGTACGTACGCGTTATTGGCTAGGTCGAAGTGAGAGGCCGTTAACGATACGCCCGACAGCCCGTGGTAGACCCGGCGCTTGCTTATTGCGATGAGCAAATCGTCCCCGACTGTCTGCGTGTCTTATATAGTTTCGACTACACGCCTGTCGCTCCTGAGCGCAATTCAATCGCGATTGGTACGGGTGATGTCTGTGACCTCTCGAACGATCCTGACACTCTGCATCATAGTGGAATACACTCCTGAAGCCTATGTCGCGACTGACCTCGATATGTTCTTCGCCAACTACTCGCCCGCTCAGATCGGCGAGCGGCCTGTACTCAACAGCATCGACGGTGGTATGTACTGCGAGACAAATGTCATACTTGGGATTGATGTCTCGTCGAAGGCTTTGTGCAGACCAATCAGACTGGCTTCGACTACAACGGTGAATCCAACCTGGATCTGCAATATGCGATGACGCTCGTGGGCCGTACACAGCCCGTTCAGCTTTACCAAGCAGGCGACGACGTTGAGGGTCCGTAACTGAAACAAAATTACTGCTATCTGCTGATGGTCCTCATGTTACATAGGTGCCTCGTTCAATAACTTACTTGATGCGCTCGACGGATCGTACTGCTACTTTGAGGGCGGCGACAACCCCGAATACGACTCGATCTATCCGGATCCATATGGTGGATATGAGGGTGTGTTGCGTTTCATTCATGAACCCTGGAACTTGCGAGTGACAGTTGCTCCCAGGCCCAGAGTCCTGCGGGACCGTCACTCCGGCCTATGTCATGTCCACTTCGTACTCGTACAACGAAGCCGACCTGACTCCGGCGTACGAGGAGAGGCAATGTGCCGAGTACGCCAAGGTGCGTAGCACTACTAGATCACCTGTATGACGCACCTCACATTGCACGGTCAGTTGGGCCTGATGGGAGTAACTGTCCTGTATTCCTCGGGTGACTACGGCGTCGCAGGCAATGACGGCGTCTGCCTGTACCCTAACGGAACACAAGCAGACGGTGCACCAGATTTCAACCCGAGCTTCCCAGGAACGTGCCCATACATCACTAGCGTCGGGGCGACCCAAGTGAACCCGAACTCGACGGTAAGTACCTTGTCCCCTCAATCCAGGAGCACTCCATTGAAGCCCTGCAAGGTATATGAACCAGAGAGCGCATGCGAGCAAGTCATCTACTCCGGTGGCGGGTTCTCGAATGTCTTCCCCATGCCGTCGTATCAGAAGACAGCTGTGGAGTACTACCTGACGAACTACCCGCCTCCCTATGCGCCGACTCTCTACAACAGCTCTGGAACGAGCCGTGGCTTCCCTGACATCGCTGCGAATGGGTGAGTAGAGTCATCAACTCAGTTCTCATCGAGTGAAACGCAGCTGAACCTGTCCTCAATCCTTGCTTCACAGAGCGAACTACGTCGTCGCCATCGACGGCGAATTCTGGCTAGTCTACGGAACCTCATGTTCCTCCCCGGTCTCCGCCGCCATCTTCTCTGGGATCAACGACGCTCGACTCGCTGTCGGTAAGGGACCAATCGGGTTCATCAACCCTACCGTAAGTTTCTTGCTTGCTCACAGCGTCCAGTGTATGCTGAAAGCCGCCTGTAGATCTACACTCCGGCCTTCATGGCTGCGTTCAACGACATCACCACTGGGTCAAACCAAGGATGTGACACTGAAGGTTTCTACGCTCAGCCAGGCTGGGACCCCGTCACTGGCGTCGGAACACCGAACTTCAGCAAGCTGGTGGAGCTTTGGCTCGATCTGCCTTGAGCAGCAGTGCCCCTTCAAGATAATCCCAGCGATCGCGTTCGTCTGTCCCGTCGGTATCGTTGTAATAGTTTGTTGGCTGTCCGCTATGGTATAGACTGCTACACGGACCAATCAGCATTGCTGCCAGGAACGTACCTAGCTGATGCTGCATTGAGTGAGATCTGAGAACGGCGTGCTGGACCGCTGACAAGCATCCAAAAGCACCATGTGAGTTGTGCAAGTCTCGTTACCCCTAAAGGCCTCGTTCATTGCGAAATCTGACAAGACGCTATCAGTTGATGCATGGACGACACAACTCACAGTTGAGAACAACCATGGATTTGCGGTAGTGTGATCGCAAATGAGATGTGTATTAGACAAGGGCAGCGAAGTGGATATCACTCATGCCTCCCCATCTACCGTCACGCCATGATGTGACTTTTTATGCCGCCTTCGCTTCTTCCTCGTCGACTCATCCTGTCCATCGCCATTCTTCACTGAGTCCATCCTACCGTCTTCTTCATCCACCTTCCTCCGCTTCGCCTTCCTTCCCGCTTCCTTCTCCACGTCCGCACTATCGTACCCATCCTCGGCGCCGCCCGCCGCCTCTCCTGCCTCCGCATCACCACCAGCGGCGGTGACCTTCTCCCTCATCCGCTCCTTCTTTCCCTTCCTCTTCTTCGGCTTCTCTGTCCTGTCCCTGTCCGCACCGCCCTCGCCGAGCACGATCCCGCGGTCCTTCAGCTTATCCTTGAGCTCCTTGAGCCGCGCGGTGCGCTGGCCGTCCCAGGTCTTGCCCTTGCCCTCCTTGCGGTACGGCGCGAGCTTCTTGACACCCATGAACTGGTTCAGCTCCGCGTCGGTCGCCATGAGAATCTCGGTGGCGGAGAGGCCGAAAGTTTGGGGCGCGACGCGAGCGTACTTGAAGCGCGTGGGCATGTCGCCGACCTACATAGAATGGGTGAGCAGGATGTGAAGAGAGGGAAGAAAGTGAGGCGGACCATATCGTTGAACTCGAGTCCGTAGAGCTCGTCCATGTATTTCTCCAGTACCTGCTTGCGCATTTCCTCAGTACCGTCCCACTCCTCCTCATCCACGGGCCCGCGCTCTACCGCAGCGTCCATTTCGTCGATGTCCACACCGCCCTCGTCCACACCACCTTCGTCCTTCTTCTTTTTCTTCTTCTTTTTCTTCTTGCTCGAGGACGCCTCTTCGTCAGACTCCTCCTCTGGGGGCACGATGTCCGTGATATCGATGTCGTCCCACGTAGGCTTATCATCATCGTCGAGTGCGTCATCGTCAGCGTCGCGCTCGTAGAGCTCCGCCATTTGTCGATCGTGCGCATCGGGGTCCCAGTCGCCCTCAAGATCAAGCTCTTGCAATGCTGAAAAGGATATCCATCGAGTCAGACGACAGAAAACGCATGAGGGACGACACGAACCGTCACTCGCAAGTGCCTTGCCACCCTCCTTGCTGATCATTTCCAGTCGTACCTGCAAGTCCTTCATTTTGAGCGACTTCAAGCGCTTCACCTCTTCACGCTTCTTCAATAGTTCCTCTTCTTTGCGAGCCTTGCGGTTTTCACGCGCTTCTTTCCGTGAAGTGTCCTGTCTCCGGACGAGGGAATCGATGTTTCGTGGGTACCGCGCGATGGTATCTGCTCCTCTGGAGATGCCCTTCTAGTGAGTATATGCGGACGTGCTGGTGTGAGAAGACGCACGGCTCTTCGAAACGGAAGTTGTACGAGCTCTCGAAGCGATCCGCGACATCGTCGAACTCGTCCTCGTCGATTTCCTCTCCTCCAGAGACCGCACCGTGTTCTCCCTCAGACTTGATGTCCTCAGCATCCGAAGCGGAGGCTGAAGAGCTGGAGGAGCCGCCGTCCTTGGCCTTCCCCTTGCTCTTCTTGCCCTTCTTGGACTTCGAGCCGACGATCTCCTTGTACGTTGGGAGCCGGCGTGAGGCATGGTCAATCCAGCCGCGATTTAGGATGTAGCTTGACAATGCAAGTGTCAGCGTGGTAACGGGACAGATGGTGCAGCGCACTTGATAAGGAACTCCTGGTCTTGCTCTTCCTTGCTCTCCTTCCCTTTCCCCTTCCCTTTCGCCTCTTCCTTCTTTTTCTTCTTCTTGCTCTTCTCCTTGCCCTCCTCTTTCACCTCTGGCTCTGGCTCTGGCTCTGGCTCCGCCTCCTCTCCACCTCCAGCAGTACCTGTGTCCAGCGTGACAATCTCCTTCAGGTCGGCGCCTACCTCGCGCTCCAGGAACTGCCGGTACTCCTCTTCCTCCCTCTCGGTCTCGTCCTTCGTCTTTTCCCGCGGCACGAGGAAGCCGTCATCTTCATCTTCTTCCTTGGGCCTGCTTACAGCGTCGTGGAAGGCGGAGATGGTCTCCTTGCGGAGGGCGGCTTGCTCGGCGACGTGTGTCAGCGGTTCGGGGGAGGGTGAGCGGGAGGAGGGGTTGAGTGCGGAGGCGAGGGCGTGTTGGCGCATCGTCAAGGGTTTAGACTATACCACAAGGGTCAAATACCATAGATTACATATACTGCATGAGTGACAGACCTTGTCTTTTGGTGCACGCGTTACCGGGGCTGCATTGCCCGTTTTCTGGCGTTCCTCTGTATGCCTCGAATTAGCGACGCCAATGCCGACGACCAGCCAAACTCACCTTCAAATATATCCTTCCCGCCTTCATAGATCGCCGGGTCCTTCTTCCTTATTCTCAGGAGCGTCCTCAAAATTGCCGCATCTACAGCTGGGGTGAGCTCCTCGCCGTCCTCGTCCTCGCTTTCGTCCTCCGAGTCATCCTCGTCTACGCCATCTTCTTCTGCGTCAGACCCATACTTCTCCTTCACTGCACTGGCGCTGAGTTAGCTTTGGGCGAGGTGGGCGCAGGAGGACGTACGCTTCGCGAGCTCCTCGCGCTCCTTGCGGTATTCAAACGCCTTGGCGAAGTGTTCGTTGATGGTGAGCTGGTTGATGCCTTCGTTTTCAGACTCGTCCGAGAGCATCTTGAATAGCTATGGTGTATGTATCTGGTGTTGGATGGAGAGATGGAGTCCTGGCGGCAACCCGCTCGAGGACAAGTACGACGATCGAAAGCTCGAGGGCTCGTAAATTGAAATGGCAGTGCGGAGAAAATATCGGCACGTGATCGAGTCGGGACGAGCGCTGACAGTGCTCACCGCGTTCGGTTCAGCCCAGTCTTCCTTCTCTTACCGTACCTCCACCACCGCTTTCATATCCTGCCGTGGCTGGGGCTTCCCTTGCAGCACATTTGATAGTATGGTGTGTACAGACGACGGGATGGTAGAACTTGGTGGCAACTAACATGTGGGCTACGCGGGGATACTAGGCCTCCCTCCACTTTTGCTCGGAATGCAACAACCTGCTGTATCCCAAAGCCGACCCGCAACGGCGCATCATGGTCTACGCCTGCCGGATATGCAACTACGATGAGATTGGAGAGAACAAGTGTGTTTACAGGAACGACTTGTTGACTGTGACAAAGTACGTTCCCCTACCTGCGAGCGTGCGAGTGTTTCTTCTGTTCAGTGCTCAACAGTCCATCCCAGAGAGCAGGTCGGTGTTACGGGAGACCTTATGAACGATACGACATTGGTGCGTACATTTGGCTCCACTCTGCGCTTTCGTCTCACAATCCTCTAGGCGCATGCCAACATGCAATGTCCGCAGTGTGGAAACGATGAGTGCGTACTTTCAGTTTTTTCCACAAGCATCTTCGTCTTGCTTTCTGTTGACACCGGACGGCCTGCACCTTCAGCGCTGTCTACTTCCAAGACCAGTCGAAGCGAAAGGAGACGCGGATGATCCTCTTCTTCGTCTGCACAAAATGCAACCATAATTTCACGGACCCAACGGTGGCCCGACCACAGGATGCAGATTGACGTGGATAGATTATTGGAGACTGGTGTTCGCTTGTGTACATTATCGGCTTAATTCTATGCTCTGTTACACTCCACGGCAGTACCTCTCACATGGTGATACACCATTCATGTACATATGAGTTCTGGCACTGAACGATCCTTGAGGACAATCCGAATAATTCGGAGGTCGGACCTGCTAACCACGGTGTCACGCGCGTGACGAGAACAATGGGCCACAGGCGCGTGACGGTCACATGAGCGAAGGCGATCGAGTGGCGGGCGTCCGCAACGCCTGCCACTCTCCCTTTGACCCCCAACTCTCTGCATTTGCTTGGTTTCAGTCTCTCTTGGCCGCCCAACAGTTGTACTACTTGTGAGTTGTGAGAGAACGAACCCTTCGGTGTCATATAGACGCGTCAATTCTCAGTGTTTACCTCGTTGAACAAAAAGCAGCACAAAGGATATATACCGCCAGTCAGAGCAGACGCCTGGGAACGAGCATTTGGCGGTTGCACCAGGGATCTTACTCCTTACTAAGAGGTGTGTATACGCGCTTTGACTTGCCAGCCGTCCACAGAAGTGCCGTACACCAGACCCATGCGCGCCCGCCGGCGACCTGCGCTGCAGGACAAGACGCCAGGGAACACGCCCCAATCTCACCACTCAGACGCGTCGAAGGCGAAGGAGGCCCTCTTCAATGAACCCCGCAAACCGCTTGGGGCACTTCCCATCGCCCCTGAAGTCGTGCCAAGAATTGCGGACGAGAATGGCACCCCGCTCTCGGTCCCACCATCCCCGCATCCACACCATGTCCGCAGAGTGCCCCAGCCACCACCAGAGCCTCTGGAGGAGGAGAGTGGTTCTGAGCTGAGCGCGCCCCCGACTCCAACACCATCGCGTATCCGGAGGCCAGGAACGCGACCGTCCGAAATGCCTCGCTACTCGTCTGATTTTCGCTCCGACGCCGCACGCCACTCAAATATGCTTTCCGCTGCTATGCTACCCGTACCTGCGGGCTCAGAGCGGGAACCTCTCTCGTATGGCGCCAGTTCAGACTCATCTGCGGGACCCAGTCCGTCTCCCGTCAAGACGATGAATTGGCCACTCTCGAACAGGCGCCCTCTTCCCCCGCCTACGTTCCGTCCACTCGTCGAAGCCGCGCCCAGTCCCCTCCCAACGAAACATGCACGTCTCTCGAGCTCGTCCCGTCCTTCAGGCGGCTTCCTGCCACCCCCTCCTCCGCCTCCCGTCTTCGCCTTCGAGCACCGCACGCCGTCCTTCGTTCCGCCTACTCCCAAACCCAAACATGTCAAGACGCTGCTGCGCCCCGCTAACGATGAAGATGGCATCCTTGCGAGTCCCACACCCATCAAGAGCGGGTTCGGTCCACTGCTCATGCAGAGCACGCCCGCCCCGCTTCGCAAGCGGCGACCGCGGCTCCCGTTGAACGGGCTGTCTATGCGCGCCCCGCAGAGGGAGGCAGCGCCTGTTGCCGCGAGCTCGAAGGCGAAGGGGAAGCAGCGCGCCAGGGAGGAGTCCCTCCCTCCGAGCTCGCCGCCTCCGCCCTCCCCCGGCGACCCCGGCGCGGTGCCGTTTGCAGTGCGGGAGGACCTCATGGCCGAGCTGGAAGATGATGAACCCCTCGAGTCAGAAGATAAAGAGAACATGGGCGCTGGGGGCAGCGTTGCTCTCGGGTCAGCCTTCGACGTGGTGCCGCTGCAGAAGGAAAGGAGCAGGAGCTCGGAGGACGACCCATTCGGGTTCATCGCGGCGGAAAGGAAGCTCAAGGCCATCCGTAAGGACAAAGACAAGGGAAAGGCCCCGGCGTCGTCGAGCCGTCCGCCCCTCGGTATCGTTGTCGTCTCTCGCCCCACGCCGTCGCCCACGCCTGGGCCCTCCACGGCGGTGGCCGAGCCGCTCCAGCTCCCCACGCCCGACGGCGGCTCCGAGGCAGACTCGAATCCCGGAGATGATAGATTCGCCGGTATCGACAGCCCTCGTCTGGGGCATGATTTCCCGGAGGCAGAGCTTCCCGACCCCGCCGCGAGCGACCCACTCATCCAGCCCGCATATGACAGCAACTCTGACGTCCTTTCCTACGCCGATCCCGACGAGGTCTACGTCCGAGAAGAGGACGAAGACGAAGAAGAGGACAAGGAGAACGCGGCTCCTCCCCCTGCGCCCGCCGAACCCTCGGTGCAGGGCGACGATGAGTCGGCGACGGGCTCCCCTGAGGCGGACCCGACGCGCACGCCGCACAAGCCGAAGAGCGCACGAAAGCGAAGCCCGATGCTAACGCCAGATTTTGAACACGAGAGCTCGGAGGTGGGTGAGGGCACGCCGAGTCGGAGCATGGGCCCTGCGGAGCTGCTGGACCTGACACGCTCTGTGCCCGCGAGGCGGCCGCAGGCGCGCGCCGCTGCGGAGGATATCATGGACGAAGACGAAGCCCGCGATGAAAGGGATGAGGAGAAGCGGGCAAGTGAAAGCGAGCGCGAGGAACCGACGCCGGTTGCGAAGCCTGCGACCAGGAAACGTAGGCGCGGGAAGGAGGACGAAGAGGATCCTATCAAGGCCGCGAAGAATCTGGAGAAGCTCCTCCCGAAGAGGCCTGCGAAACGTGCAAAGCCCGCGTCCGACGACGAGTCCGAATCCGAGTCCTCCGACCCTCCTGCGAAGCGTGCGCGAGGGCGGGGAAGAGGAAGGGCACGAGGACGCGGTCGTGGCGCGACGGGCAGGGGACGCGGACGCGGTCGGGGCAAGGCGCGTGCTGAGGAGGCCGCGAGCGGAGAGGAGGGCGGGGCAGAGAGTGACAGTGAGGGAGAAGAAGATGCGAAACCTCGCAGCGGCACTGGTCGTGGTAGCAGCGCTAGAGGTCGCGGCTCATCGAGGGGGCGAGGAAGAGCCCGCGGACGGGGCGCATCGACCAGCAGCCGCCCGCCCTCGAGCTCGACCCGTGTCACGCGATCTCGCTCGCAGAAGCCCTCGAGCAAGCCGGATAGCAAGGGCAAGAAACGCGCCAGGGATGAAGACGAGGAGATCGATATTGAGGAGGACGAGGTGAGTGTTACGAGTGATCTGCGCTGAGGTGCGCGTGCTGATGCGGTCTGTAGGAGCGTGCCCAATCACGTCAGGCGCGCATCGAGTACTTCCGGAAGCTCGACGAGTACAGCCTAGAGAAGGAAGACGTCTACGTGATATGAACTCTATGACATATGTCTCAATTGATTATGGTTCTTATGTCCATTTGTTTCCTTCTGGTGGCGTGTTTGTTGACCTCATTCGAGTGTGTTTGGGCAGGACGATAGGTTGTACCCCCGTGTAGGGGTTGTACAAGTAGCAGAAGTGTATCGTACCCTTGACTACAGCTGATTGAATAATGAACATGAGTATTATGTTGCATGCATCCTCGTGTCGCTGATCCACAGACTCTGAGCAACCTTACCACGACTTTCGCTCCTGGTTATTGCCAGTCTCGCGTTGAGCATGCGGGTCATCAAAATCAGGACGTACATCACATGTCTACTGCTGGTATACTGTGTGGTAGACCGATCTGCGTGAGCGGCGATCTCGGTAATTGAACTACTTACTCTTCAATCAGACATGGACATGTGTAGCCTTCTTCGTTCATCCGGCACCGAGCCAAGCATGATATCAACAGGAGATCAGTGCTTCTGGGTCTGTTAGGGCGATCCACGGCGATGCGATTGTGGGCGTATGTCGGTCCCTCGATCGGATCGACGTTTGTCCCAAGCACCCGTACCATGGCTTGACAGTGACTATGACTGTTACGCACACTGGGGAACCTTCCGAGAGACAGAGTCCGACGCATGCTAGATCTAGAGCTGTTAATGCAAGTATCCCCGTGCCAACCGCAACTGGAGCTCCGGAATGTCTGACCGTTGACGATCTGCAGCAGCCTCGCACCCTGCTTACACATCCTCACTTGCAGTGCATAACGATATTGAGTCTGATACGTAATTTATGCCACTTTGGCCTACACCTTAGTGAAGTACACGCAAGTTCACCGAGCAAATCTATTACACTGACATATGTACCGCTTTCGAGTCACGGAAAACGGGATGGACGACAGCCTGAGAGAGCGATCAATGGAGATAGCGACGAGAGTTGGATAGCGCGACAGAGATAGCGACGAGAGTTGTGATAGCGAATGGCGAGCTTGACGACGAGGATTACTTATTGCTAACTTGAAAGCATAGCGAAAGACAGCTGACAATAATGAGGAAATAAGAACGTCTAGGAAGACGATGCGGGGAGGAGCTGTCGCGTCCGGCGCGGCGAGCGTAGCGTTTCGGGCATCGCGGCGCTCCTCACTTGCGGGGAGTGTTGAGCCGTTCGCTACAATAGCCATGTCCGGGTCAGTACCTTTGAACCATACCGAGCAGAACTTACTCGACTCTCTTGTGGTGCCTCGCCAATGCGTCGTAGCTGGCGAAATCCTTGTTGCAGCCACAGTCCTCTCGCTGGCAGCGAGCTAGGTGCAACGCAAAGTGGTCGGTCTTCTTGCCAACGTGTTGCGCGAGGGCATAGCATGGACGCTTGGCATCCGAGTGAACTTTGATCACTTGGCTGCAGATCGTGCCGTCGGGGTACAACCAGTTGCAGTTAGAAACAGACACTACTTGAGTACCCTGAGGCTCTTGACGGATCTGAGGGGGGTGATCCGAGGCCAAGTGCATTTCAAACTCCCGCGTCACCCCGTTTGCATCGTCCCCCCGGATTTCTACGCCGCATTGAGACTGAACGACTCTGCCGTCCGCGAAGCGCCGGTAGACCTCGAAGCAACATATGCGCTTGAGAGCGCTTTGGGGAAGTATGGGCACATAGTGTGCCGCAGGTGTGCTGGGAGTGTTGTACCAGCGATGCGCATCAGGACCAATTTGTCGGCTACAACGAGAACGTTCAGACAAGGATCAAAGCGAAAGCATGGGCAACACGATCACTCACGCGGCTTCGTCCAGCGCAGAGTCCGAGTCTAGGGAGTGATGAGACATTCCGGGTGTAATATTTGACTACAGTTCATCTGCCTCTGTGTATCCTTTATAAACGCAACAGGCCACCAATGCAGTATACCGGAACAACGTTGCCATTTTCCTGCGCACACCTTACACCCGGACCACTGTGTTCAGGTGAGGTAGCATTGTAGAGGGTTGTACGAGACCGGTGGCAACCCACTTCGCACGGAGTAGAAAGGGTTTGTTTCCTCCTGTAAGAATAATTTTCAGAAGAAGTGCAAACAGGCGATGGGTGTGGTGGAAAGATTGCGAACCGTCAGGCCAAGATGAGGGCGACACGCAGACGGAAGACCATGATATCGATGGGAGGGACGCGCGCGCAAAACTAATTCGCGAATACAGCGCGCAGCACGTTGATAAAGACGGTGGGCAGTGGAAACAACAGATTCTGAGTTTCTCAGAGCTTCACGTCGTGGTCAGGACTCAGCGGAGGGAGGAGGAGGAGACACGCCCAGGGTGTGTGACCGTGTTATTTAGGTCACATGATGGCGTTTCGGATTGTCCGTTCATCGAAGAACGACCCCAAGTTGAAGGGCTTACCTACTACCCGAGCTACCAGCATCTGCCGCCCGTCGGCGGTCAAAACTCACTCGAGAACGAGGCCGCATGCAATCAGGTATAAAGCTACACAAACGCCGCGCCGTCACGGTGCCAGTGGACTTAGATTGTACGGTACACCACCAAACTATCATCAGGCAGAAGTGTGGGCGACGGGCGTACGTAGCCTCTATCAGTGATTCCTAGCGTTCCCACTAGCATTGACTAACGAGAAGCCATTTTATGCGCAGATTCTCTTTGTGATTGATGGTTGGTGCTCCAATAAGTTTGCTTGCCACGCGTCTTCCACAATCTGAACCGGCGTTGACCGGTTGACCGGTGACCCATAGCCTTTGGCGAAGCCTGAAGGTACCAATTCAATGCAAGACTCAGAACGCGGCTTCAGACTCGGACTAGGCTGATATTAGTCTCCCCTAGGCAGACCATAAAGAAGACATCTTGGACGGAGGGGAGGGCGGTGGCTGAGAGCAACACAAGTGCGTCCGCATCCGCGACGGCAACTTGATGGCACCGCGGCCACTTACAGTAATGGCAATCAACTACGGGCATCATCATTTGGACGTCTATGCTACGACACACGACTGACGAGAGCACCGTTACTGCATTCATGCTGCTTCGAAATGCAATCCCGTTTTCCGAGTCGCAATATGTGGTGCAACCATTTACCAGGGCCGCGCCGGCTGCAGCGTATGATGTACACCGCTCGAGTACACCACCGGGCTTAGAACGTTCGATTGGCAGCCACGCACGCCGGAAACGATACCGTTGTCAACTACTAATATGACTTCGGCGGGTCGCTGCAGTTCTTGTACATGTGAAGACTCTGACTTACGCCGATCGCATCCTAGTATTGGAATTTCCTCCCACCTGGACCTGGGCCGGCGCACAGCCAGACGAGTAGCATTCATTCGAACGAACAATATGGTACAGGGACTACGTCAGGCTACACATCATTGCTTGAAGGAAACGGAGACAACAAATGACCTGCCAGACTTCACTGAGCTTCAGCACCAGATGTCACGGTGTGACCTCATAGAGTGTTAGAAGGTGGGCCGTCCAGCGATCCAAGAACATCATGCATAGCACACGGCGAATATATGTGCACGACGGCACGGAGGTCAGATATGTGTGGAAATTCGAGAGCAGGAAATTGCTATCCACGAATATGAGGTACTCGCTGCGAACATTGGACCCGCGTCAGCAGCGTGCGGGGACTGTCCCCACTGACCGCATTCACCACTCACCTGGAGCTTATGATAATGTCTTTTCGATGGACCACAACAGATCGAGTGCCCGTAAAGGTTTTCGCTATCGCATCGCTGGCCGGAACAGCTGTACAAGGCGAGGTCGTTGACCCGGACCGCAATATGTTGAACAAATCGCGATTCCAGTTGCAAGCGAAGCGACTCTCCGCACACATCACCGTCTGTTTTGGTCCATACCGAACCTGGCACATGACGTCCGTCTACGTCCATTTCAGAGACGCATATGTCATCTCGATGGCACTCCTCCAGGTGCGCCTCGAATGCAATCTTGAGTTGACCAACGTTCTCCCCTTTGATTTTCACGTTGCAGGGGACGACTTTAGCTCTAAGCAGGAGGGGGCAGCACAAGGTAAAATGTGCACCGAGTACCTCCGCCCTGAAATTGGTCAGAGGTGGCGATCCCAACACTAAAGAGTCGGACTAAGAACTCACACCCGAGTTTCCTCTTCGGTTTTCACCCGCGGCCCTGAACAACAAATCATCTCGGAGGATAGGTATGCCTCTACTGTGACTATATCGCTCGGTCAGCACCATGCTGGTAACCGAATGGCAGGCGACCTACGCAATAGTTCTGACTGTGAGAGCGCTCGGCCAGCTGCGAGGTGTCACTTCAAGTGCGATTGCATACGTCGGGTAGTGTCGTCTTGCTAGCCCTCGGTGTACTCGTCAGCTCCAGGAGAGCAGGGTACTAATAGTGAACACTGCGGTGGCCAACTTGAAGCTGTACGCTCAGTACTCACTGGTTATTACGCGCACGTGCGGTGGCACCAAGGTGGCACTATCAGCGGAAGATGCCGGGGCAGCGCCGGCCGCGGCCGGCGATTGCGATTCCCTCCTCTTCCCAGGTCGGCGTAAGCTTGCTTCAATGCTTGGTACTTGCCATTGTTGGCGCTGTGCGCGAATGTCGTGTACTAGATCTATGGATTGAATGTCCTACGCCTCGCTGGAAGGTCACCATTGCGATTCCGAGGCTACTATATCGCACGCACTCGACCTCCTGGCACTCAGATGTCTTGTCCGACGTTTGATTCTCTCAGGCTCGAGCAGGCAAGAGTCAGTAGTGGATATCTCATGCCACCGTTCGAGCTACGTCTCAGCCGCCTACATCGCATGTAGGTCAAGGAATGCTGCTCCGGGAAGCTACGCGCAGATATGGAGTGACGTTGCATAGTACATACACAGCGATGCCGTGACACCCTGGACTGACGACCACTTTCAAGCTTCTAAAAGGCCGAAGCGCAGCTGCCGCCGGTGAGTACGCTATCAGTTTGTTGCTTCGAAAGCTAACGAAACGCGGCTATCCAGCGAAGTGAGTAGAAGCCCTGGAGACCGCGGTATCCGAGTCGAGGCTTCCTGTTAAGTGGTGCGTCACCGTCGACTACAATTGATAGCAGAAGAGGAATTGTGAAGGTTAGGGCACCGTGATGCTGAGTTGTACATCCGCCCCGAGTGCTCATTCATTCACGCAGTTCACATCAAGGATACATCCTTGACCTGTATCACAATGTCGAGACGCAGAGCCGCCCGTTGACGCCATATTCGTCTCTCCCTATCTTCCTAACCATAGCTTGAACAAGCTTCGAATTCAATGCAAGAATGCAATCTGCCCGATGCCCGAAGCTGTATCAGCACGACTGCTGGCATTATGCTCCGACATAATGAACGCTCAATGGCCGACTATGACAGACGGTGAGAGGCCGAACATACATAGCCGCCACCGAGAGTGCATTGAAGCTGAGCGCAGGTGCTGTCAGTAGCTGTCGCAGATATATGCCCCGTCCGAAAGGATATTCGTCTACAGCTAACAAGCCCCTCGACTTCAATGCACATACGACGAATGCAAGCTTGAGATACTACTACTAGGATAGGCGAAGAGAGGTTTCCCGCGGACATCCAGTGCGTTCCCGCCGGAGGTCGACCACATCAAGAACCCATGCTCCCCATCTCCCGGCGGGCGCTCACAGTCTCCATATAACAAGCAGCCCGTAAAGTATAGTGTCACTACTTCTGACGTCTCTGCTCAGCTCGTCTGGGCTTTACTAGACACTCACATGGCGCTCTTCCATTCCAAGATCTCGCTGCATGTACCGCCGCCCGACGATATCTCGCTGCCGCAGTTCATGCTCGATGGAGCGGCGCATCCGAATCGACCGAGGAGGCCCGAGGGAACGCCATGGCTGATAGACGAGGAGACGGGGAAGGAAGTCTCAGAGGCCGAGGTGAGTGTCTGGCACGGGTCCCAGCTTGAAATAACATTCACTCATGCGTGCCCTGTGGTCGTTAGGTCATCTCTCGAACGGATGCATTCGCTAGAGCTATGCACGCCATCTGGGGTATAGGTGAACAGTGAATCCGTACTCTACAAGATCCTACAACTGAAATTGTACTTAGGAAACAACGACGTTGGTATGCCCAATGTCTGTCTACCCATGTGTTCTCGTTGTTAACGCTCCAGTGTATCGTGCTGGGCTACGTCTCGCCAACGCGATCGGTAGTTGCACTGTATATCCCGAACCACATCGACTATCCGATATCCATCTGGGGTGCCCATCGTCTCGGTGCTATTGCAGCGTAAGCACAGTCTCTTGTCAGCCGTGTAACGCCGCGGCGACTCTGCTTCTACCTCACTAAACCTGCTATGATATATACTCCACGGATTCTCGTGGCAACTCCAGGATGACCAGCCCCGCTCTTACCGTGCCCGAGCTTATTTACCAGCTCGAGATTGCGAGGCCGCGCCTCCTGCTAGCACACATCGACAACCTCGCTAACGCGCTTGAGGCTGCCGACAAGATCGGGTTGCCGCACGACCACGTGATCGTGTTCGACGCGCACAAGGCTGAGGCTCGAGGTCGGCTTCCTGACGGAGTGAGGTCAGTGGAAGAGGTCATCCAGAGTGGCGTAGGAATACCCAAGTACCCTGAGTGCCGACTGAAGAAGGGTGAGGCGAAGACGAAGATCGCCGTGCTGTGTTATTCGAGCGGGACGACGGGCAAGCCGAAGGCCGTTGCGGTCTCACATTATAACCTGGTCTGTAACATCCTGCAGAACGCCGCGACGTGGAGACTCAACGAGGACTACGCACCGACGGAGGAGATACGGTTCGTGCCGGGGGACCGTTGTGCGGCTGGTATGTGACAACAGATCTGCGCGACAACGAACACGATTTGCTGAGAAGATTACAGTACTTCCTCTCTATCGTGCGTTGTGCTTTCTACAGATCGTCCCATCAGCTGCTTTATGGATCACTTGTTGCAGATATATATGGCCTATCAGCCAATGTACGCTCCCGTGTGTTGTCGATTGCTCCAGAGACTCATACGTTCGTAGCTGCATATCACGCTGTTCGGTGGGGTAGGTAAATTGCACTTCTAAGCTTCGCCCCTTCGCTACATTGACGATCTGCAGATGTCGGTCATTATAATCCAGAAGTACAATCACGAGAACCTGCTCCGGAGCATCGAGCGCTACCGCATCACTCACCTCTTGTACGTTCGTTATCTGCCATTCAATATCGGATGATATCAATGATTTTGTCACATTAAGTCTGGTTCCTCCGCAAGTTGTCGTCTTCTGTAAGGTGGGTCCTACTAGTCCCGAGCTATGCTGTATGAACTCATTCAGCGTACTGAGGGGTTAGCATCCCTCAACGCGAAAACACGACCTCTCGCACGTTCGATGTTGCATGGTCGCTGCCGCTCCTCTTACAGCAGAGCTTACGTCGCAACTTCTCGAGATCATGCCACAGGTCCATCTCGGCCAGGCATATGGTATGCATGTCCATCCGTCGCTTGTGTTCTCATTCCACTGACGCAGGTCTTCGGCTCATAGGGATGACGGAGACAACCTCTGCAGTCAGCACAGTACGTTGTCCCCTGTCCGCCTCGCTGGGATAGAGCTGAATAAGTGGGAATGACAATCAGTGGCCCATCTCTCAGAAGGTGGGCACGCCCGGGAGCAGTGGGCACCTCATTGCAGGGACGACTGCGAAGGTGGTCAAGCCGGACGGGACGCTCGCGCGCGTCGGTGAGCCAGGAGAACTTTGGGTCAAGGGTGGGCAAGTCACGCTTGGGTACTATCGCAATCCTGCAGCGTCAGTGATCTAATTTTACCAGTGTCACTGTGGACAGACACGCTGACTCTATGTGGGTGGGACGGCTAGGACAAGGGAAGCGTTCACAGAGGACGGGTGGATCCGTACGGGCGACGAGGTGGTGATCCACGAGAACGGCGATCTGTTCGTGACTGACCGAATCAAGGTACGCCCGTCATTCCACAACGATGTTCCTCCGTGATTAATTGTACTGATGATTATCCACCCGCACAGGAGCTCATCAAGGTGCGGGGACACCAAGTCGCCCCCGCTGAATTGGAGGGCCACCTCCTTGCACACCCTGCCGTCGCGGACGCGGGCGTCGTCGGTGTGCCAGACGACTTCTCCGGCGAGACACCGTTCGCTTTCATCGTCCTCCATCCCTCCTCACAGGCAAGCGTCTCGGTGGACCTGGATGCCGCGCGCGATATGCGAGAAAGTATCTATCAGGTGTGTAGCATTTCATTCTGATGAGCGTGCGCCAACGACTGCGACTGCGACCGGTGGACAGCATGTCGCGAAAGTCAAGTCCCGCGAGAAGTGGCTTGGAGGTGGGGTAGAGTTCGTGGACACCATCCCGAAGAATGCGAGTGGAAAGATCCTGCGGAGGGTGCTGAGGGAGCGGGCGAGAACATTGCCTAGGCGGATAGACTTCATGGGCAAGATCAAGCTCTAGCTCTGGTGCCTCGAGTGGTCAGGCTATCTGGTGGTTTCGAGTCCAATATTGTTGGACAGGTCAGTGCGGACATTGATCTCGTTGATAGGAGGAGGAGGGAATGGGTGCCGTATCGATGGCGTGTCGGTACTAATCTTTCATGAATGTAACAATGCTCGTTAGTTGAAGCCCGAAGACCTGAAGTACTATGTAAATGGCCCGTCACAACGGAAAAAACATCGAAGTTTGTTTGTTTGTTTGTTCGTTCCCTTTATTGTCACTGAGGGCGGAGCCCTATGTAGACATACTCTGTACATAGTTCAGTCCGTAGTCCGTCAATCGAATCGCGGCGTATGCTCAAACATCGAAGTGACACTGACAACTGGTGCAGGCACGGTAATAGTGTTTCGACGAAACAGTGCTGTACATTTTCACGCGCGTATCTCTGACGTAGTCCGTACACGTTCAACAACTAGTCCGCGCTCTGAGCCGCGATGACCATGGAGGTGAAGGTACTTATTCAAGCAATACATAGTTCGTGGTCGTAACGCGCAAACCGATTATGTACTCGACCGTGGATCGGGACAGAACATCGAGGTTATTGAACTGAAGATGAACTGGCAGCGGGGCCTTGTCCGAGGAGGAGGAGGAGGAGATGGGTCCATTTAGCCGCAATGTACGCGTATCTACTCCGGAGTGCTAGTCGCTGACGCTCGACCATCCGGGCTGGCAACACGGTGGTGCTCCTGAGGCCTGAGGCCTGAGTACTGAGTACTGACTCGGAGTCCTCGCTGCTCGAGCGTCGGGCTCACGGTCGGGCTCACGGTCACATGCGCAGAAGGGAACATCGCGACAGTTGACGCGGTCGTCCGTCGCTGTTGACCAGTCTCCTACTCAAAGGCTATTAACAGATATGTCTAACTCGCATCTTGTACTTCTGAGTCCATCTTCGATCACTCGGACGTCTTGTCCTGGCTCATTCGGTCAAGGCGCCGGGTGTTGGGCAGCTAAGGGATGGACCTGATCTCAATGAATCTACGGGAGTCGGGACGACGATTTTACGGTGTTCAGGGAGAAGAAGCCGGTATCAGTCATGACGATGCTGGCACGATAGCGGAGAGAATGCAGGTGTGTCCTATCTGCTACTGAGTACTGTATCTGCTGTGTATTGGAGCTCGTGCGAACTCACGAAGTCGCAGATGCCAGACGATGCTGTGCAATGCTCTACATGTACAGCTGCATCGGCACGGCGCTGTGCACTCACGTTGACAGCATGAAGCATGCGAATGTTATCTCCCATATCCTTCGACGTTGATTGGATGTGGTGTCCGTGTGCCAGCGGTTCGTATACATCTATTGACGGTATTTGCCGCTCCTCTCGCCAACACCCTTAACAACCTCGTGTGAGTCCTGCTTCACCGTGCTCTGCGACTCTTCTCTCGCTCTCGCTTTCGCCAGGCTTTCACGCGCAATCGTGTTTTCAAACCTGCTGCAGGTTCGCGACGCTGTTCGGTCGTTGGTGCAGGTGTGCATAGGTTGACTTGGCTATGTATAGAAGCCACGATCTCAACTCATCGCGCACCTTTTTGCCTCATAACCTTGCACCACCATAACGTCACCAACTCTGCAAGTACAGCAATCAACATCTCCCTCAGGCGGTGCCTTTCTTGGATCACCCCGAGCTGCTAGGCAGGGAAGTTGAGGACCAGCAGTCCAAAAGGTGATACAGTGGGTGTCTGTTCTGCTGGCAGCGTCGAGAGCAGTCAATGATGTAAAGTCTATAGTAAGTCATGGAGGCCTCTCGTCAAATGGCTGAGCATTCTGCGCACGACTCGGAGCGCCATGAACCGACCGCCGATGTCGACTGGGACGCATATTACTGGGCCCCAGTCCCCAGCAAACATATCCCGTGCCCTCTTCCTCACTCCCTTTCGAGGCGGATTGCATTCGACATCTTGTACTGTGTGTTTGATAACCTGGACTGCGAAGCAGATCGGTCGTCAATCACGCTTGTCTGCAAGGAGTGGTACCGGTGCTTCGGGGGTATCCGCTACCCGGACCTCTGCATCCGCGACCGCGAAGGTCTGCATTCACTTCTCGCCCAGTACGCCCGCTGCGAACGGGTCAGGCGCCGATTCCGCAGCACTATGACGCTACGGATACAACAGCGCGACGGCAGCTCAGAAGTTTTCTGTGATACCGTGCCTCTAGTTCTGGGGACGCGTATGCCTGCCGTGCGCACCCTCGTCTTCCACGGATGCATACGTCCATCCATGCATCCGACCTTCGCAAAGGGACTACGTCTTTTTAGAACCATTCGTTGCCTCGAACTCTCTACCTTCGTCTGCAACTTCGGCGAACTGTACCGCATGCTCGTTGCGTGCCCGCTGCTCGAAGCCTTAATCCTACGCGATGGGCGATACGTGACAGCACGCCCTCCCCGAGCAACTACGCCTTTGCGCACGTCGTCGCGGTATGTGCGTGTTCCAAAGCTCAGGCGGCTTGAGCTGCGCCGCCTGGACACCTCCTTGTTCATCTCGCTGGTGGACTGGCTCGCGCGTGCAACGTGCTGTGAAAACATCGCGCATCTGACCATCTCCGAGTCCGAGTTCACTGGCGTCGGTGCCCAGCTGTCGACACGACTTCTGCAAGTGATTGGTCCCTCGTTGAAGCAGCTGTCTCTAGTGGGTGTACCAGTGCGCAGTACGTACTTGTACCTTTCGGGCAACGCTTTCATGATACTGATGTTACATACTAGTGTATGAGTACGCCGACGACCTCGCTCCTAGTTTGGCGTGGAGCCCATCCATAATGCAAGTGGATGTCGAGGTTGAGGCACTTAGCAGTGAGTCGTTCAGGAGACTTACTTCCGGGAATGGCTTTGTACGAACCTGGTGGCCAATCCTCAAGACGGTCCCTGAACACGTACGGCAAAGGATCTGCCTCAACGTCATCCGAATGGGATGGGATATCCTCGCCCGGGACTACTCGAAGCCCATCGGGAGGGCCCTGTACGAGGGAGACCTTCTCCGCCTAAGGTTATGGGAGGGTGAACCGATCTGTGGTTTCGCCACCGGGGCCGCTGGCAGCGACCAGTGCCGATACATCATTGAGGACGTCGCGAATTGTCAATGGCACTTGAAGAGTCGGCATCCCGCAATACCACCCATCCCCCACATGAGCTATGTTACCGCTTACGCAGTACCACCCATCCCCCAGGTACACGTAGATCTCATCCGTAAGCAGGGGATCGTTATGTGTTGCTCCACTCCTGGCTTTGGGAGGGCCCCGTGTCGGGAGATCATGGTTGCCGATCCCGCGATCGTTGCAGCGCACTTCGAGAGCCAGCACACACTATCTTTTCGCTGTTCATGGGTAGAGCCCGGCTCATGGAGGACAAAGTCCTGTGATACCTTGCTAGTGGAACATTCCTTGGAGGCTCTGCTGAGACATATTGTTACTCAACATATCCAGAATCTGCCGTACGAGGACCTAGCAGTGCCGCAACCCAACGTGCCACTGGTAGAGAGGGCCTGTGAAATGCTCGCTGGCCTCCCACGTTATGATTACACATAGGACGACTGCTGCGAAGGAACTGTGCGAGGCGGGTGGTTGGGATGGACATTTTTCCTTCCATGGACTTCTTAATGTACTATGTAGTACCGCGGTACCTGTTTATCTAGACTGAGACGAATGCTGTTGTCAGCTCAACGACGTCTATGTCGGCTAGAAAGTAGACACCCACAGTCAAATACGTGGTTCTCAAAACGTCGTTGCCTGTGGATACGAACAATGCTCATCCATATGATAAGCAGCGGACTCGGAGTCACTGTCCCTGCGAGGGTCTACTATGGCGCCAGCAGTCCAGGCGGTGATTCCTTTCCACCATGGCGTTCCCAGGGTTTCGACGTCGTACAAGGCCCTGAACTCATCCGCTTCGCCCATGCGGATATCTCAAACGCAATGCACCCAGGTTCTCTGCCGCCATTCCAGCGTTACTATGCACGTGTCATGGTGCCAGACCGTACTTACCCCAGATCTATAAGACTGTACAAGACTTACACTCGGCATCAGTCTGCCAGGCCGCCTCCGCACACGCAATACCGTCTACACTAACATAGCAAAGGGTCTGTATTGGCATGTGCCAATCACTGGGGAACATCGCCATTCGGGTAGTCACCATCCGCGTCCGCGACGGCCTTCGGCGCAGCGTCCCCGTTCACCACACCACCATTCTCCGTCACGGTGTACCCATTCCCCGTCTTGTCCGGCGGCGGCGCCCCGCCAATCTCGTCGACCACATCCAGCGCCCGACGCGCAACCGGGGCGACCTTCCCGAATCGTCCGTAGGCCGCCTGCATAGTCTCCCCTAGGCAGCCTCTAAACACGACCTTCTTGAGGGGAGGAGGGCGGTTATATATGACCGCCTGCAGGAGCACGCGGACGAACGTCGCCCAGAAGAGTGTGACGGGCCAGTAGTACTAGTAGCGGTGGCGTCTCCAGAGGAACGTGCGCGGGTAGCGCGCGAGCGTCTTGTTCCGGTCCACTGGCGGGGGGCGGGGTCGGTGTGGTGCGCGGTACGGGGGATGGAGGGCTTACCTTCTAGGTCTCGGCGGAGCGCGTGCAGGACGTGTGGGACGTCCGTCATGATCACGTCGATGCCCCATCGGATGGCCTGTAGGCGACGGGTTCAGTTTCGGTTGTGCAAGATGGGGCGATGGGATATGCGCGAAGGTGATATGAGGAATTGGGACGCGGATGGAGCGACGAAGGGACATCGTTAGTCTCCTCATGTACAGCGCCACTCCTTGGTGCGCCGGGCATATAGAAACTGTGGGTATATGCGCGATCTTCGCAGCCCCTGCCGAATCTCTGTCACCATGCGCTGGGGTATAGACCTCGCTAGCGTCGACGTCTGCAACTGCGACTCGCAATGCAGCTGTGAGGCCCTCACTCCAGCACATTCGCAGTGTCGACACCTCACCAACTCCGATTTAGGTAGGATGATGTACACACCTCGGCCATCTCGAGCGGGTCGTTCACGGTCCACACCATCGTCGTCTTCCCTGCCGCTTTACATTTTTTGAGGAGCCTACAATCATGATCGCTCGTCAGACACTGTGTTCAACGGCCTTCAAGCGTAGCCGAGTCGGATATCACGCTTGAGCGCGCACAGGCGAGGTCGAGCTTCATGGCGCCTCGCCCATTACGACAATCAACCCGCCCAAGATCGTTATGCACCGTGCTCCAGTACACCCCCAGGACAGTAAAACCCCACTCACCTCTGCCCATCCCTCGTCGTCCACTGCGCACGGAAAGTGCAAGCTTATCACCTCGCAGCTGTCCCAGAACCACGTGCGCGCGATGGACACGTTGGATCCCTTCTTCGTGCAGAGTTGTTGCATCCCATTCGGGCCGTACCACTGGTGCTCCTTGATCATTTCTGCCGAGTACGACGCGCATGAGTGGATGACTGGATGCCTTCCCGCAGGCTTTCCAGTGATTCTAAATGCATGCGCGGGCCTTGAATCTTATGGTTAAGGAATGTTTATCTGCAGTGCGCCTCCGTAGCTCCACTCAAAGTCCATGGATACTACCTTGCGGAGTTCAAATGATGCCGCGCTGCCGTTGTGGCACAACGTTACCGTCGCGTAAGACACCAGCTGGCTGTGCGAATGTGTCTGTATATTTTCAAGCATATATATCTCACTGACTCGCATGTTCCATGGGCGAGGCTTGTCTGCTGTCATTGTCGAGCTAGACCGCTGCGAGACGGCTTCGTCGAGCGAATATGCTACGAGGTAGCCTCGTCGCGTGAACTCGGACATGCTAGTATGAGACGGCTTCGTCAAACGAGCACACTACACGACGGAAGTACGCTACAAGACGGTATCATCGCTCGAAGCGACTCGTCACGTAGAAACGTCATCACTCAGAGGAGGCATTACATAGAAGTGGCATCGCGCACAGGCGGCATCGGGGCGGTAAGATCCAAATCTCGTCGGAGGCTCAAACTCAACTTTACGGACGTGTTTTGTACCTAGAAGGGGGGGTCCTACCCCCCTTCTAAATGAGCTGTTTAGAAGAGAGGTGTACTGATCCGAAGCAACGGTACACACGAGATGCCGACTTGCCGCAGAGATTTACAGTGCGAATGTAGGATAGAACGCGCTGTAAACCTCTGCGGGAAGGCATCCACTATCCGTAAGGCTTAGAACGGCCAGTTCTAAATTCTAAACCTGCAAACCCTGATGCATCTCGATTCGATCATTAGCCTGGTTAACAAGAACACAGTCGGGTCCCCCTCACCTTGTGTGGTACCATTCGAAAGAGCTCGTTAAGCCCTTTCAGATGATGCCCAATACATGCGGGAGCGAGGGCAGAGCATAGTTCGTGCATATTCCAGTGTCCGATGCGTGAGACGGTGAAGCGTGAGGAAATGTCGTCATATTACCATTTATGGTTAGTTCACGTCGAAATCAGTGAGTAGCGCTCGTTCTAAGCCCAATATTTAGCTCGAGGGGTCGACCCCTCGAGCTAAATTTTAGAGAGCTCTAAAGTTCATTCCCCACCGTTTGCTGTGAAAACAAGTAGAGAGCCTCATATAAGCTCACAAATGACGACTGCAAAATATCTCGCCGCGCTATCGGTTACTTTTCGCTCCACAGGCCTCCGAAAGGGAGGCCGAGCACGGGCGCCAACAGTGCAGACGAAAGCGGAAGGTAGTGACGGTGGCCACCGCCTCGCCGGAGCGGCACGGAAATGTCCGCGGGCGTTTGTGTCAGCTGACCCACAATCTCGAGGCTCCCATTGGCGGACAGTCATCAAATTATGGTGAAACCTCTGATATTAGTTATGCTTTAGAGCTGCTTTGAAGTTTAGAAACGTTTCCAAATCCTTACGGATAGTCATCCAGTATGCATGCCCCGAAGCCGGGCGCGATCATCGCGATCATCGCAGAGGAAGCAGCAAATCTTTGTTGTGCGCCCGTGGTTTGGGCACTGTTGGCGGGCATGAGCTAGGGTGCATCCGACAACAACATGAGGACCACGCCCTTGTCACGTACATACATTCGCGCACCCCTGTGTCTCCCGAACCTCTCTTGGTCTCACCATCATTGTCCCCTCATGAGCAGGTCGTCCGGTGCTATATCAGAAGCTGGGGGCCTGTAGACACGTCAAATTTCCAGTCAAGAGCGGTGTCAGGACGTACTCTGCACGCCCATTCCGGATATGCCAGTGTCGGGGCCATAGGAGAATCGAGAGTAACTGTTTTGGTCAGCAAGGAAGACTACCATAGGAGCGGTATTGAAACTTACATACACGGCCAACACTGGCAGCGGCCAACAAGAGGCAGCCCAAGTCGCGCCGCGCGATGTCGACGCGCGTCGCGGTCGCCCATCCGCGTCAATATTGATCGGTCCACTACTCAAATCCTCCTAAATTGCCTTACTCTGGGAACCGAGTCCTGTTCACAATACTATCCTATAACCTCAGTTCTACTTTGTGACTCTTGTGGGCTGTCTGCCATGCGACAACATCACCAGCCGGGGACAGTCCGGACAACTGGTCGTCACTGCACGGCGCGACCGTATTCGTAGATTTGGGCGACACGCCGCAGTCGACTAGTGCGTTCCTTCCGTCTTCTATTCTCCCGTCGTTCGTGTTGTGGCTTTTTTTAATTCGGTCAGGGTGTAGGGCGCTGGGCAGCTGGAGACTAAGTACAGGACACGACGGTGCCAGCGGGGTTCGTGTCAGTCATGCCGTGGAGAAGAGAATGAAAACATGACCCTATAGAGTACTGTATCTGCTGTGCTCCGGCACTACACAGTCGCAGTCGATGCTGTGCAAGGCTCTACAGCTGCACTGGCACGGCGCTGTCCACTTGCGTCGAGAACATGAAGCCTGCGAATGCTATGTCCCATATCCTTCGACTTTGTATGGATGTTGCCGTGTGTGTAGAGTCCCATGGCATCACTGGGACCTTGGTTGGATTTAAAGTAGCGTGGCGAAGGTCGACTCCGCTATCACGTACATATCTCATCGGGTAGGTTCCGACTCTTCCGATGCGTCTCTGAGGCTGTTACTATACGAGAATTCTGTCATCGTGTGGTTCGTACACATGTATCTACGGTAATCACCGCAACTTCTGCCAGCAACGTTGATAATCTCGTGTGAGTCCTACACTGCGACTCCCTCTGCCCCCCACGTCAGGCTTTCACGCGGCTCCTCGTATTCTTTTATCTTCAAGTACCTCAGTCAGTATTCCATTATTTATCGGTGCAGGTGTGCAGGTGTGCAGGTGCTGACTTGACCATGTGTAGACGCTACGTCAGCTCATCGTGCACTGTATTCCCTCACCACTGTAACGCTACCGACGCTGCAAGTCCGACCGTTTCACCTCCCATACTAGACGGTCTCTTCCTCGGACCATTCTGAGCTACTGAGTAGGCAGGTTCAGGACTGGCAATCGCATAGGATTATACAGTAGGTCTCATTTCTGTTGGCAGTGTCGACGGAAGTTGCTGAAAGAATGTCTGTATGTCAATAGCAAGTCATGGAGCACCCTCGTCAGATCGCTGTTCTCCCCGCTCACGAGCACCATGAGCCAGTCGCTGAATTCGACTGGGACGCATATTACTGGGCCCCAGTCCCCAGCAAACATATCCCGTTCCCTCTCCCTCTCTCCCTATCAACTCGTATCTCCCTCGACATCTTGTACTATGTTCTCGAGAACCTCGACTCCGAGATGGATCGGTCGTCAATCACGCTTGTCTGCAAGGAGTGGTACCGGTGCTTCGGAAGTATTCGCTACTCCGACCTCTGCATCCGCGACCGCGAAGGTCTCCACTCGCTTCTCGCCCAGTATGCCCGCTGCGAACGGGTGAGGCGCCGATTCCGTAGCACCACGACACTCCGGATACAACAGCGCGACGGCAGCTTGGAATCCTTCTGCGATACCGTCCCTCTAGTCCTGGGGATGCGCATGCCTGCTGTGCACACCCTCGTCTTCCACGGATGCATACGCCCGTCTATGCATCCGACCTTCGCAAAGGGCTTACGCCTCTTCAAATCTATCCGTTGTCTCGAGCTCTCGACCTTCATATTGGGCAGCCTCGGAGGACTATATCGCATACTCGTTGGGTGCCCTTTGCTTGAAGCGTTGATCCTACGCGATGGGGAATACAGGTGGCCATACCCCGCTCAAACGGCCGCTCCTTCACGCACGCCATCGCAAAATGTACATCTTCCAGAACTCAGACGGCTCGAGCTGCGCAACCTTGAAATCTACTTGTTCGACTCGCTGGTGGACTGGCTCGCGCGTACAGCGTGCTGTGAGCACATCACGCATTTGACGATCTCCGAGTTCGCTGGCGTCGGTGCCCAGCTCTCGACACGACTTCTAGAAGCAATAGGTCCTTCGTTGGAGCAGCTTTGTCTAGTGGATATACCGATGCGCCGTAAGTTCTTACCCCTGGATTGAACGACGCTTCCATGATACTGATGGTACATGCTAGCGTATCTCCACGCCGACGACAACGCTCCTAATTTGGGGTCGAATTCTAACATCACACAAGTAGATGTTGAGATCGAGGCGGTCTCGGACATCGAGTCTTTCAGAAGACTAGTGACTTCCATGGATGGTCACACGGACGACCGCATGCGTTTCGTACGGTCCTGGTGGCCGATCCTCAGTACAGTACCACAATCCGCGCGACAAAGGTTTCGCCTCAACGTCATCCGAATGGGATGGGATATCTTCGCCCGGGGATACTCAAAGCCCATCAAGAGAACCATGGATGAGGAGGATCTGTTCCGCCTACGGTTGTGGGACGGTGAACCAAGTTGTGGGCATGACTCGAGGCTACTAGGCTACCGGTGCAGATACATCGTTGAGGATGTTGCAGACTGTTACCGACACTTGGAGACCAGCCACTCCGCAATACCGCCCATACCCCAGATGAGCTTGTTCCCCGCTCTTCGGCGGGGAATGGTGATCTGTACGTGCGGTATTGACCTTGCACAGCCCAAGTTCCCATGCATCGGGACTATGCTCGCTCTCCCCGTGGTTGTTGCCAAACACTTTGCTAGCCATCACCCAGTCCACTGCCGATGGCTGGACGGGATGAGTCGGTGCGATATTCCGGTAGACCCTTCCCGGAAGGCCCTGATGGAACATATTGCCACGTACCATAGACCAAATCTGCCGTACGACGACCTGGCGATGCAAGACCTCAGACCGCCGTTATACGAGGAGGCCTGTGAAGCGCTCTCACGCCTTCCTCAATATGAACGTCGCAAGCGTGCAGCTGAGTTTCGTATCCGCGCACTACTCATAACAGACATGGACCAAATCAACGAGCTCACGAGGGAAGAAATTCATGGACAGCTAGAATTGCGCTCCTACGATGACGTCGAGGTCCCTTCGATCTGGGGACTATCGTACGAGGAAGCCTTGCAAGAGCTGGGGAAAGCAATTCAGCGTGGGCATACCCGCACATGGTATACTTGAATCGTTCTCGAAGTAGGTGCTCACCAATTTGAGCGCGACACCTCACTGATCGCGCAACCCTTTAAATTGTAGTGTGCCCCGGCGTTTCTTGCGTGGTACCGTGCTTGTATGCATCCAAGGAACAGGGGTTGTAGTAAGTAGTTCCAAATGCATGGTGGCTCACTGTATCTCACCGGTCCACGACCAACTCGCAGACCCTCCGTACACTGTGTTCGTGCCAGGACATAATGATATTGTTGTTGACTTGCTGTGGATATACGTGATTCTCAAAATCGTGAATGCCTCTGGAGACGGACGATGGACACCCGAATGATAATCAGCGGGCTCGCTATCCCTGCGAGGGTCTATGGCGCCGGCAGTCCAGGCGGTGATTCCTTTCCACCATGGCGTTCCCAGGGTTTTGACGTTGTACAAGGCCCTGGACTCATCCGCTTCGCCCATGCGGATATCTCAAACGCAATGTACACAGGTTCTCTGCAGCCATACCAGCGTTACCACGCACGTTTCATGGTGCCAGACCGTACTTACCCCAGATCTATAAGACTGTACAAGACTTACACTCGGCATCAGTCTCGGCCGGGCCGCCTCCGCACACGCAACACCGTCTACACTAACATAGCAAAGGGTCTGTGTTGGCATATGCCAATCACTGGGGAACATCGCGATTCGGGTAGTCACCATCCGCGTCCGCGACGGCCTTCGGCGCAGCGTCCCCGTTCACCACACCACCATTCTCCGTCACGGTGTACCCATTCCCCGTCTTCGAGATGTCCGGCGGCGGCGCGCCGATCTCGTCGACCACATCCAACGCCCGGCGCGCGGCCGGGGCGACCTTCCCGAGTCGTCCGTAGGCCGCCTGGAGGAGCACGCGGACGAACGTCGCCCAGAAGAGCGTGACGGGCCAGTAGTAGCGGTGGTGTTTCCAGAGGAACGTGCGCGGGTAGCGCGCGAGCGTCTTGTTCCAGTCCGCTGGCGGGAGGCGGGGTCGGTGTTCCGCGGGGATGGGGAGGGAGTGGAGGGCGTACCTTCGAGGTCGCGGCGGAGCGCGTGCAGGATGTGGGGGACGTCCGTCATGATCACGTCTATGCCCCATCGGATGGCCTGCGGGCGACGGATTCAGTTTCGGTTGTGCACGATGGGGCGATAGAATATGCGCGTGAAGGTGGTGTGAAGAACTAGTAGGCGGATGGACCGACGAAGGGACGTCGTTAGTTTCCTCGTGTACAGCGCCACTCCTGGCGCGCCGGGCGTGTATAATATGAGGGTATATGCGCGATTTTCGCAGCTCCTGCCAGATCTCCGTCACCACTCGCTGGGGTATAGACGTCGCTGGCGTCAATTTCTGCAACTGCGACTCGCAATGCAGCTTCAAGACCCTCACTCCAGTACGATCGCAATGTCGACACCTCACCAACTCGGATTGAAGTAGGATGATGCACACACCTCGGCCATCTCGAGCGGGTTGTTCACGGTCCACACCATCGTCGTCTTCCCCGCCGCTTTACACTCTTTGAGGAGCCTATAATCGTGATCGCTCGTCAGACACTGCATTCAATGGCCTACAAGCGTAGCGGAATCGAATGTCACGCTTGAGCGAGCGCAGGCGAGGTCGAACTTCATGGCGCTCCGCCCGTTCCGACAATCAAACTACCAAGGAAACCAAGCTCGTCACGCACCACGCTCCGCTCTTCCGGTAGAGCCCAGGACAGCAAAACCCCACTCACCTCTGCCCATCCCTCGTCGTCCACTGCGTAAAGTGCAAGCTGATCACCTCGCAGCTGTCCCAGAACCACGTGCGCGCGATGGACACGTTGAACCCGATGTGCGCGAGCCCGCAGCGGGGGAGGACGTCCATCGCGGGGCGCACGTAGTTCGTGTGCCACACGCCGAGGAGGATCCGCGGCGCGAGCGCGGTCTCCCAGGCGTCGTACGCGCGGATCGTGCGCGCCATCAGCGCGAAGATCTTCCCGAGCGAGTTTGACGGCTTGATGTCGATGTGCAGCTTCGCGTGCCGGTTCTCCGGCTGCCACGCGGCGATGAGCGCTGTCAGGGCACGCAGTGGAGGCGAGGATATTGGGACGTACCCGCATGAACAGCGCGATCGTCTCGTCGAAGGTGGGGATGGGCTGCTTGGGCTCCTTCTTCGTGCGGAGTTGTTGCATCCCGTTCGGGCCGTACCACTTGTGTTCTTTAATCATTCCTGTCGAGTACAATGTCCATGAGCATGCATGCCCCGGGGCCGGACGCGATCGCCGCAGAGGAAGACACGTACCGAAGCCGTTCGTAGTCCGCTGAAGCGCTGCCGGACAAAGGATGACAGCCATGAGCGCCGGGTCGCGCGCATATACGGAGGAGGGGACGCACTGGGGTCGTGGAACATGATCACGACATCGTCCTGCGAGATGTGTACGTCTGTGGAGGCCGTTTAGCTCTCTTTTCGCGCGCGAGCCTACGCCACACGCACCGGTCTCGATACCGTCCGCGCCGTCTCTGATAGCACGCTCGAAGCTAGCGAGGGTGTTCTCTGGGAAGGCGACTGAAGCCTAGGACGCCGCGAGGACGAGAGGTAAGTGTTATCGCTTGGAAGCAGTGGCGGCAAACGCACCCCTCGGTGGCCCCAGCATTCAGGAATCTTTGGAGGCATGGTGGTGGGTCAGCGGGGGGAGGTCGTGCGTGTACGGGGTATCGCGAGAGCGAGGGCAGCAGGAGTCACGGTGTGGAAGGCTATGTTCTGGCGGAGGCGATGGCGGTGCCATATATTAATTGACGGCTGGAGGTTGCGCATGCTGGCCGGCTGCTGACACGAAAGCGGATGACAAGATTGCTCTGCGCGCCGACGGCCATTCGCTTCTCACACCTGTCACCGCCCACGTGCGCCGTCTCTCCCTCCGCCACACGGCATGCCACGCAGAACAAGAAGACCGGGGGACACTAGTAGTTACTCTCTAGTACTCTGTATACACCGCCGTCATCAACTAAGTAATGGGCTCAGTAACATCGCCACGTACACGATATGGCGACATTCCATCCCCGGCCCATGATGTTCCAAAGTTTCGTGCCTTGTGATCATACGCTCCGCGTCCGAGACACTACCGCCGCACGGCGAGAACACTCCTCGGAGAGCCTGTTCGTCCAAGACCAAGATGCACGATGCCTATAATCCACTCGGACAAACATTATGCACGACGTTAGTACGAACCGCGGTTGCCCTACGCTCTTGTCTCGGCTGTAGCCCAGCAGCATCGAATGTCAGATTCTGGTGCAGCAGAGCACATGATCGAAGAAGGCACAAGCCGGAATGGACGAGAAAAGTCGCACATCGGGTTGCCCGGTGTTCGTGTCTTGGTCCAGAGTAAGGTCCAGAGTAAGATCAGACAGGCTGAGAGTGAATCATCATGCAATAGCTGGACGTAGCGGAGACGGTTGCCGAGGTATGATATGTAGCAGTGCACAAACCCTAACCTCGATCTCGGTCTTCCTCGTAGAGGCATGCATCTCGGAGCCTAAGGAATGTGAACCTGTGAGGCGTTAGGTGAACAGTATAAATGCTTGACCGTGACGTCGAGGTACGAGTACTGGCGGAAAGCCATATGCATCATGAATAAGAATCACTGCCTCAACTGCCGCTTGTAAACTCTCGTGGGTCCGGCGAGTCCGTTATCAAAAATGTGTCCCTTGTCCATCATACAAATCCAGGTGCAACCACCGTAACTTTGAGAACCACGGATGTCCACAGCAAGTAAAAGACACCACGTTCTGGCACGAGGACATTGTACCGAGGGTCTGCGGGTTTGTCATGAACCGGTGAGATGCAGCGAGCCACCACTGTGCGCGATGAGACTACTTACAGCCCGATATTGGTAGGATTCTATAAGCACGGTACCGCGCACAGATGCTAGGGCACAGTACTACAAGAGTTGTACGATCAGTGCAGTGGCGTGCGATCAAACTGGTGTGCACCTACTTCGAGAATGGCTCTAGTAAACCTCTTGTATACCAAGTTGAGCCCCTGACTGGGACGAGCGATTGAACGCACGCAGAATCGCATTCAACAGCTCTTGCAAGGCTTTCTCGTACGATAGTGGCACACTGGCCTCTGGGACCTTAGTAGCAGAAGAAAGCTGATAATAACGAGCAAATCAGAACGTGTGGGAAGACGATGCGGGGAGGAGCTCAGGCTGTCGCGTCCGGCGCGGCGGGCATAACGTTTCGGGCGCTGCGCCGCTCCTCATCGTTTTCAGGAGGAGTTAAGACGTTCGCTATATTAGCCATATCTGGGTCAGTACCTATGGACCATACTACCGAGCAGAACTTACTCGAGTCTCCTGTGGTGCCTCGCCAATGCGTCGTAGCTAGGGAAATCCTTGTTGCAGCCGCAGTCTTCTCGCTGGCAGCGAGCTAGGTGCAACGCAAAGTGGTCGGTCTTCTTGCCAACATGTTGTGCGAGGGCATAGCATGGCCGCCTGGCATCGGAGTGAACCTTGATCATCTGGTCGCAGATCATGCCGTCGGGGTACAACCACCTGCAGTTGGTAACAGACACAAAGTGAGTACCCTGAGGCTCTTGACGGATCTGAGGGAGGTGATGCGAGGCCATGTGTAGCTCAAACACCCGTGTTACCCAGTATGCATCGTCACCCCGGATTTCTTTGCCACATTGAGACTGAACGACTCTGCCGTCCGCGAAGCGCCGGTAGACCTCGAAGCAACATATGCGCCTGGAGGCCCCTGGGTTATGCCCACCAACTGGTGCACCGTCCCAAAACCGTAGGCGAACCAGATCGATATCCTCCTCGTGCATTATTGTCTTGATGGGCTCCGAGTGTGCCCGGGCGAAGAGATCCCATCCCATTCGGATGAAGTTGAGGTGAATCCTTTGTCGCGCGGGATATGGTACTGTCCTGATAATCAGCCACCAGGACCGCATGAAATGCATGCGGTAGTCCGCGTCACCATCTGAGTCTGGCGGCATCATGAGGGAAGTCAGACTTTTGATCGACTCGCAGTCAGCCGCCTTGATCTCAGCATCTACTTGCATGATGTTAGAGTTCAACCCCAAATTAGGGGCGTCGTCGTCGGCGTGGAGATACGCTAGCATGTACCATCAGTTTCATGGAAGCGTCGTTCTATCCAGGGGTAGGAACGTACGGCGCATCGGTATATCCACTAGACAAAGCTGCTCCAACGAAGGACCTATTGCTTGCAGAAGTCGTGTCGACAGCTGGGCACCGACGCCAGCAAACTCGGAGATCGCCAAATGCGTGATGTCTTTAGAGCACGCTGTACGCGAGAGCCAGTCCACCAGCGAGACGAACAAGGAAGTTTCAAGGTGGCGCAGCTCGAGCCGCCTGAGCTTTGGAAGATGTACATTTTGCGATGGCGTGCGTGAGGGAGCGGCCGTTTGAGCGGGGTATGGCGACCTGTATCGCCCATTGCGTAGGATCAACGCTTCGAGCAAAGGGCACCCAATGAGCATGCGATATAGTTCTCCGAGGCTGCCCAATATGAAGGTTGAGAGCTCGAGGCAACGGATAGATTCGAAGAGGCGTAAGCCCTTTGCGAAGGTCGGATGCATAGACGGGCGTATGCATCCGCAGAAGACGAGGGTGCGCACAGCAGGCATGCGCGTCCCCAGAACCAGAGGGACGGGATCACAGAAGGATTCCGAGCTGCCGTCGCGCTGATGTATCCGGAGTGTCGTGGTGCTACGGAATCGGCGCCTCACCCGTTCGCAGCGGGCATACTGGGCGAGAAGCGAATGGAGACCTTTACGGTCGCGGATGCAGAGGTCCGAGTAGGGAATATCTCTGAACCATTGGTACCAGTCCTTGCAGACAATCGTGATGGATAGCCGATCTACTTCATAGGCCAGGTTTTTGAACACGTCGTACAGGATCTCGAAGGGAATTCGTCCTGAAAGGGAGTGAGGAAGAGGGAATGGGATATGTTTGCTGGGGACTGGGGCCCAGTAATATGTGTCCCAGTCGAAATCAGCGACTGGTGCATGGCGCTCATTAGCGAGGTGATCAGCGATCTGATGAGAGTGCGCCATGACTTGCTATTGACATTCTTTTATCAGCTTCCCTCGACTCTGCCAACAGACATGACACCCACTGTATAACCTGTGCTACTGCCGGTCCTGAACCTGCTCACTCAGTAACGGATGATTCCGAGGAAGACACCGCCTATGAACCCGGGAGGTTAAACGGCCGGACTTGTAGTGTCGGTAGCGTTATGATGAGGGAATACAGTGCAGGATGAGCTGAAAACGTGGCGTCTACACATTGTCAAGTCAGCCCATGCACTCCTGCACATACAATAAACGAAATACTTACTGAGTTGTGGTAAGTTGATCGCGTTGCGGATCTGCAGTGGGTTGAGTCGGAAAGGCGAGTACGCCTATAAGCCTGAGGCGGAGGAGTGCACGATGAGGCAGGGGTCATATCGGAGATTATAAAGGTTGTTGTTTAAGGTTTCGAATCCTGTCTGCAGCCGCAGAGCCTTGCACAGCATCGACTACGAGTTTGCTGTCAGCTTTCACGACCGCCCAGACGCAGCAGATACAGTACATAGGAAACACCTACATCCAGCCATCGTCACTGCCATCGTCGTCACGACTAAGACTGGCTCCTTCTCCCCGAACCCCGTTGGCATCGTCTTCCTGTAATTTCGCTGAGATCAGACACACGTCCGTCCATCCCGTAGTCCTGCTCCAGCACCCGACACCCTGAGCGAAGAAGCCAGAACAAGGACGCCGGAGAGATCGGAAACGGACGCCTTCGGTTTCCAGAGTGAGACTTAGGAGCCTTGTGATAGGAGACCGGCGCAGCGACGGGTGACTGCGTCATCTGGAAGTGGCGATTGTCCCTTCTGCGCATGTCCGAGTCGTGCGAGATGATGGTCACAGCGGCACCGGTCGTCGGCGGCTGTGGTGACGGTGGTGGTAGCTGCGTCCGCGGCCACGAATAGGCCCCAGCGAGACTCAAAATCAGAAGTCATTGACGCGAGGCCCTATACTCACCTATCTGGATGGGAAGGAACCTGGTACTGTTAAGCCGTAGAGTCTCATATCTCGTCCGGATCCTTTGTCTTCTACACTTCACTCTCGTAGGATTCGGCTCTGGGACACAGACTCGACCCACGTACTCGACCCCGAACTCAGTCTATGCACCCTCTGTCGAATTGCGTTGTCATATCTGCTGACATATATACCTGTACAACAATTCAGTAACATTATCTGACAGGCATAAAGGAGCGCACAAACCACTGCGTGTAATCAGGATGAGCGGCCAGCGAGGCTCGGATGCTTTGCATATTCATCCAAGACTGCTGCAAGTCCATTTCGCGCAGCAAGACCCTGACAGTTCGCACTCGTCCTGTATTCACGCCCTCTCCCTCCTCGCCCTCCATCACCTCATCTTCAGTTCCAAGAAGTCTGGATGCCGTTTGAGCCAGCAAGATTTGTTCCTCCGGGAACACTTCGCCGCGACCCAGGGATGAGTGATGTGTGAGGATGTGTACCGCCACCGCCAAAGGCAGAGGCGAGATTTCAGCTTTGCATCGTTTTCCTTGCTCCACCCACCGACAGCGCACAGTGTGAGCGGTTTCGAGATGTCTTGCAATATTCTCGGTGGCAGCAAACAAAGTACGGTTGCAGGTGGCGCTGATAGCGTGGCCCTCTGGAGCGAAGGCTTTACACTGGGCCGTCCGCGTCAGGCCCGTCCTTCCTGCTTTCCTGGTCCTCGAGAGGCATAAGCGCGGTATGCCTCGGAACAGTGAAGGGTGTTGTGTCGCGAGGTGTTCGACGTACCGTGCGACATTTCCCCGTGGAACATAATGACACCGTATATCGCTAGAGGAGTGACCACAGCTAGGTGCATTCTGTGTTGACTCGGAGTCGCTGCGCGAAGCGTCATCTCGCCCCGTCCGCGTAAGCGCGACCCCGATTCGCTCTTGGACCACTGATGGAATCGTCTCGAGTGTCTGCCTCCACGCCCGCGCAAGGTCAGTGTTGGCTCTCTCCGAGTTGTACTCGGCTCGAAGCTCGACATGCAGCAGCGACAGATTCTTCGTCAGACTGATGGTCGCCTGCTTGGGCGTGTCATCGTGGGCTGGAAAATTGCATTCAAGGCCGGCGTAAGGATCCCTAGGTGAAACTAACATACCTCGTGCTCGGGTACGGACCAAAGTGAGGCGCTTCAATCTGCGTCCAATCGCTCGCAGAAGCTGCGTTAACAGCTGAGCTACTTTGCCTGAGATATCACTAGAGATAGAGAGGTCCGTGACGTGCGTGCAGAACGAGGGGTGCACCACGGTAAACCACGGCACGAGCGCCGCAAGTAGGTGTCGGTTCAGTTGGCATAATTCGAGTTTCTGGAGCTGCGGCATGTCCGTCTGACTTGTAGCGGCGGGATGACTTGTCGGGGAGGGTGGGACGGCCGACGTACACCTTCCGTTCCGCAACACCAACGTCTCCAGTTGTGGACATGCTACCAGGATGCGGCATAGCTGACCAGGACTGACCAGAATGAAGTCCGATATCTTCAAGCGGCGGAGACCACTGAACGACCGCAGGCTCCGCGGAAACGTAGGATACATGGCAGGGCGTATACACCCATGAAGGACGAGAGTGCGCAGCGCCGGCAAGCAGTCCGCCAGCACCACGGGAACGATGTCGCAGAAGGCTTTCGAGTCTCCATCGCGGGGATGTATCCGAAGTGTGGTGGTAAGATTCAGCCGCTGCTTGATATTTCCGTCTTGCTTGTATTGAGTGCGTGCATGAAGAAGGCTCTTCCTATCTTGGATGCAGAGGGCTGGGCAGTGGTCACTGTGAACGAAGCACTGATACCAATCCCTGCAAGCAAGCATTGTCGAGACCTGATCCGTCTCCGAATCGATACCCTGTAGGACGTTGTACCAAATATCGAGAGGTATGCGTCGGGAGAGTGACTCGGGAAGAGGTACGCGGCCGTAGGTTTGAATCCAATGCCACTCAGTTACGCGGTCGTCGAAAAGACATAGCTTGCGAGGATTGTCGTCCAGTAAATCGGGGTCATTATCATGAAGCGCCTGTAGGAATGCGAGTTTAGGCCGCTGTGGACGATATTAGACATACCGAGCCTCGCATCATACACAGACTACTCACGTTGCGACGCTCTATATCACGTACGTTCGAAAGTGCACGACTGCATGGTCTCGGCCCAGAATTGACACCCTTTGCTCGGAAGAAACCCGGGCAACTCCGGGTGTGACTTTGAATGAAGGAGCGATACTGTGGCTCAGTTCGCCAACAATCCTCACAACATGAAAAAACGGTGTCTATGTGACAGAAACGCCAGCGGCCTGCGTTGTTAAGCTCTGTGAAGAAAGGATCCATGCGTGGCGAAGAATATTTGCGCCGCCAAGGATATCGTTATATGGAGAAAGAATCCATGCGTGAAGTCAGTGCTATGTCGGTAGAAACGCCACGATGCGTCGCAGTGGAAATGAGCTGCCCTGCAGAGGTAGACGCAGCACGGCTCATGCGTACCTTTATTCGTTCCTGCTGCCGGATCATGCCGCGAATGTACCCTCCGTGCATCCATTGAATACGAACCACACAACGAACCCAGAACCTTCTCGTGTCCACAGCCCCAACATGGCGCTACTTCAAGGCCTGTGCCGCACGCACGATAACGAAGAATCGAGAGATTGCTAGTAGCACAGCAGTGGGAGCACGTTGTATCCGGTATGCCGCTACATTAAAGTATGTTTACATCGCAACGATGACATTGTGCATACAGGACATACCCTTACTCGCCTCGCCACCGCCTCAACAGCCTGCGCACGAACCCCGGCTCCTCTCTCCTCAGTACCTCCGGCATCGCCAGCTCCTTGAAGAACCGTCCGTAACGGACGTCCGTCCAGTCCCGCGCTGCGCCGTGACCCTGGTTCACAACCCAGCGCTCGACGCCCTTCACGACCTGCATCTCCAGCCGCCGCAGGACGGGGCTGTCGCGCTCCCAAACCGATGTTGTTAGGATCGCCAGAGGGCCCACCCGCACGCGCGAGGAAGAGATCGGGCTGCGTGCGGGCGCGGAGGTATCGAGTTCCTTGCTGAGGTCTTCGACTGCGTCTGGGTGCTCATCCGCATGAGAAGGAGCAGGTGTGGACACGCGCTCATGGCAGGCCATCCGGTTGGCCATTACGGTGTCGGTGAACACGCGATCGCCAACGACAATCAGCTCTTCGTCGCGAATGGGTTGAGGAAGGGAGGCGAAGTACGCGCGGACGGAGGCTATGCATGAGTATGACGGCTTGAAGGACGTATGGCGGAGGACTGGAGCTGAGAGATGGTGCGATACAGACTCGGCCTGTGAGTGTGCTGTGAGCAGCGGCGAGGAAAGGGTGGACAAGATCAATGTACCTGGATCTCGCCTGCATCCAGGTGCGAGCCAGCAGAGTTGCTGACGATCAGCACGTTTTGAGGGCCAAAAGTTTTGCGGCATTCGTCCCAAGCATCCTAGAAACATAGTGCCAAGATGAACGTATGTAAAGCTTTGCAAGGGGTTGTGGCACACCTTCAGCTCTGGCACAAGGGTATCTCGATGTGGTCGGGTCTGAAAAATTCATGCATGAGATCACCACCAACTCACAGAGGACTGAAACTCACAAGACAATTATCCTTATCAAACACTGCACCTCGGTATCCCCCACGACGCAGCTCCGGAAAATCGAGCTGGCGAATGTCTTGCTGCAAACACGCCTGCAGTAAGACCAGTATTCCCTCGCACAGAACCGACATGTACAGACCTTTTACAATCATTTGAGGTACCACTAGCCTCGGATTGATGAGGAGATGAAGGGGCACAAGCGTGCCCGGGAAATTGAACGGCATGGTTCCCTACGAGTAGACGACCGCCCTCCTCTCAACTCTGCGAGCGACGCCTGGCCGGGTATCCCGTCTTGAAGTTCGCAGCTGACCTAACCGCAGCACGTATGACCTATTCCCCGAGTGTCGGAAGACCAAGTCGCGGAATACGAGGCAGATGGTAGACGAACACTCTGCTGAGTGATGCTTGTCCGAGCGGACGGCTTGCCGGAGAACGACGTACGTGGGTCACGTGATCTCCGGTCCTCGTCCCACTCCGCTGCACGCTCGTCGCTCAAGCCCTCTCAGACGGCAACTCTCGTTGTCCGCAGACTCTCCTTGACTCCCTGCACGGAGTTGTCGCGATGCTTGGCATTCGCGCGTCGCTGAGAGCGAGGCCAGTGCTCTGGACACTGCGGCCGACAGCGGCGAGACCACCAACGCGACTACCATGCCGGGCCATCCTCGCACAGAGGTCGCTCGCTACTCAGCCCCCGCCTCCTCATCCTCCACAGGCACCCCAATCGACAAATCCTTCAACTCCATCGCAGCCCGACTCTCCTTCAAACAAGCCGCTGACGACGCCTCCATTACCTACCGAACGCCCGAAACCCTCGATCCTCTCGCGCGTCCTTCCTGCGTCACTTGCGCAGACGGGCAAGACTACCTCCTCCTTCCGGAAGATTGTCGCGCTCGCGAAGCCTGAGCGGAAGCCTCTCTCGATTTCCATTGGGCTACTGGTGGTCTCGAGCTCGGTCTCGATGAGCATCCCGTTCACGGTCGGACGGCTCATTGATTTCTTTACGTCTCCACATCCGGTGCGTCACTCAATTGCTGTGGGTACTCGAAATCGTTGTCTCGGAGGAAGCTCGACTGTGACGACTGGTGCTTGAAGCCCGCATCGAAGCGCATGGGCTTCCAGCAGCGAGCCGAGCCGGGATATCCTCCATGACAGCGGTTTCGTGCATCGTCTTATTCGGTTTGAACTGCGTCATAACATACATCGCTCCGTGTATGTAGCAAGTCCCCCTAGGATTGTCTTTGGGCCAAGCCTCGGCCTTGTTGTTCTTAATGTTCACTGTTGGCGCGGCGGCAAACGCTGGACGCGCGATGCTCATGCGAATATCAGGTTGGCTTAGTTGAACGGTGAAGATCTGTTGAATACTGAATGCTCGCTTTAGGCCAACGGATTGTAGCCCGACTTCGCGAGAACATGTACGGTGCTGCGCTTCAGCAGGAAGTGGAGTACGTGGAGCGTGGCGAAGGAGATGTCCTCAGTCGCCTTAGCGTGGACTCGAACGTTGTTGGTGATAGGTATGTCGGATGTCCCAGTGAACATCTCATGCCTAGCATTTTATCATTTGCATTTGTGTCACGAAGAAAGTAGCTCAACTGATTCACCAGTTTGACCCAGAACCTCTCGGACGGCTTGCGGTCAATAATCATGTCCTCCGCCGGCTGTAGGTCCCCTTCTAACGACGTTCGACGCATATGGCTAAGCTTAGCATAGTGGGAGCGATGTTCTACATCTCGCCGAAACTGACGTTCCTTATGCTGGCTATCGTCCCACCCATATCCCTCGGTGTCGTACGTGCATTCCACTCCTCCGAGCGATTGCACCCTCAGCTTCTAGGGTCGACTAGGTCTTCTATGGGAGGTACCTTAAGCGGCTATCCACGAGAACGCAAGAGGCCCTCGGCGAGATGACGAAGGTGCTTTCTGTGCCCGCACTTGCACGCCGGCGATTTCTGACACGATCATGCGGCTTGGGATAGGTCGCGCAAGAGTCATTGTCGGCCCTCCGTACTGTGCAATCCTACAACGCTGTCCCTCAAGAGCAACAGAAGTTCCACGAGAAGGTCGGAGACGTCCTCGCGCTTGCGCGCAAAGAGGCTATCGCGTCTGGGATCTTCTTTGGGAGCACGGGTTGGAGCGGGAACGTGACGCTGCTCGGTTTATTGGGATATGGTAGGTGGCGTTGTGTAGCATAAGAGGTAGAATCAGTTGACTGACTCGCTATATGCAGGCGGAACAATGGTCTCGCAAGGCCAGATCTCAGTTGGTGACTTGACAAGCTTGCTGCTATATACCGTCTACGTTGGTAGCGGCCTGCAAATGCTCACGTACGTCCCTCCCGCCCTCTCTCCTAGTCCTGTCCTCACTCTTCCCCCAGATCATTCTTCGTATGCCCATCTCCCTCCTCTCCACACCTTATCCTAACATGAAGCTTGAACAGACGTCGATCATGCGCGGCGTCGGCGCGGGCGAGCGTATCTTCGAGCTGCTCGACCGTCACCCTGCCATCCCGCCGTACAGTGGCTTGGCCATGGACCCGGCGCGACGCGGGCCCGTACGCTTCGAGGGCGTGTCTTTCCAGTACCCGAGCAGGCCAGGCGTAGAGATCCTGAAGAACCTCGACTTGGAGGTCAAGGTCGGCGAGAGCGTTGCGCTCGTGTGAGTAATCGACGTGCTTGTGCAGAGACGAGCGGAGGACGGATGTCGCTAACTTTGTGGCGGTGTAGAGGACGGAGCGGTAGTGGCAAGTCATCGATTAACGCGCTGTTGCTGCGGTACTATGATCCTGTGAAGGGCAAAGTCACATTTGATGGCCAAGGTCGGACAGAGTCTAGGCTTGCGAGTGACATACGTGCTTACGTTCTATTTTCTTCTCAGATATCCGGGAGTTCAATCCCGCGTCATGGCGCAGTATTATCGGCGTCGTTCCGCAGGTACACTATGATCCTCAGGACATCGGGTAGAGAGAATTGTGCTCATGCCTTGCTAGGACCCTGTCCTGTTCACAGGAACAATAGCGTCCAACATCGCATACGGCAATGAGGACGCAACTCAGGAGCAGATCGAGGCTGCTGCCCGCGAAGCGAACTGTGAATTCATTTGGGGTATGCCAAAAGGCTTCGACACCGAGAGTACGTAAACCATCTGCCGTCGGAACTATGTGTAGTGATGCAGTTGCGCAGTCGGGCGTCTCAGCCTGAGCGGTGGGCAGCGGCAGCGGCTGGCGATTGCGCGAGCACTGTTGAAGAAACCGGCGATCCTCGCTCTGGACGAGGCTACGAGCTCATTAGATGCGACGTCCGAGCACAGGGTAAGTCGAGGTTTCCTCGAGGTGGCACCGACTGACGCGCGCGTCTTCCAGGTGAATGATGCGATCGACAAGATCCTGCGGTCTAGGCAAACGACCTGCCTTATCGTCGCACATCGCCTTTCGACCATCGCTCGCGCTGAAAAGATAGTTGTCCTGGAAGGTCCGTGCGCGATCGCCTGCCCTCCCATTACAGCATCTGATAGGGTTTGTGTCTGTGCAGACGGCCACGTTGTGGAGGCAGGGACGTACAGGCAATTGGTAGGAGCCTCGTTCCTAGCTTCCGTGGAGTCCTGCCTGATCTCGTCCCACAGGTGAATAGGGAAGGGTCGCGGTTCCGCGCACTCATGGCTGCACAGCTGAATGCCGCGGCCGGCAGCGCTCCAGCGGAGGTGCCCGCAGGAGAGGGCTCGCATCACCCGCAAGAACAGCGAGCTCAGCCGGACGCTCAGCGATGACCCGGAGGAAACATCGATACCTCTCTTGTTGGTCGTACGTAACGTCTATCACCAATTCTTTGGACATGCGCAGAAACGGAAACTGTAGTTTATCGCTTACTAGTAATGTTGTATCTAGACGCAAACTAGACTCTTGCATGCGCTCGGTCTTGCGAGCAATCAGGGTCCTTCGCAAGGTAATCGCAGCATCAAGTGAGCGGAATGTTGCAGGCTCGCGGCGATGGACGCGCGATGTTCTGTCTTCGAAAGTACTCCTTGGGAAGACGCCACGGGCCATGCGGCTTACGCGTGGCCTGGAGCGTGTGAGCAGAATGCGCTACGGGGACGAGACCTGAGTATACATAAACTTCGCTGACTTCAAGGAGAAATGTGCGTCTGTCCGAACCTTTCATATGCCACAAGCCTGGCCTCCAGCACGCACCAGCAGTCTGTTGAACTTCATCACCTCCACGTTTGGATCAACTTGCGATACGCCTTCGCGATCGCCGCTTGTAGAAAATAGTAATATGCCACCTCGCAACAACTCCGCGCATTCCCCGACCACGTCGAAGAATCAACAGCAGAATGGGCACTCATCCAAGCAGTCCGACAAGCAAGAGAATAAAGCACAGCAGGCGTCGCGACCGAAGGGTGACTCTGCCGCTTCCACATCCAACGGACCAGACAGGATTAGCATGGCGAGCACCATGAGCACGGCATCGACACTCAAGGCCACGGAGATCGTTGGGGAGACGGCGGAGTCTCTGGAACACTTGGGCGTTGGTATTCCTTTTGTTCTCATTGTTTCTTGCTCGCTGAATGGTCGACCGACGGTGACGCTGTCTGTCGCTCATCCCGCGATCAGAAAGCATTCGGCGAGTTCGCTCAGCAAATTACGAAACTCAGTCAACTCGGCGCGGAGCTCGAGACCGCGGAGATTGTCAACAGGTGCGCGGAGATGACTTGCTACGCGGAACGATCGTGATGTCTATGTAGACTGAGGAAGATGATGGACGTGGAAGACGAACGGCTGGAGAAGGAGATTGAGGGGATCAAAGGTCTGTTCATCGCACTTCGTATGAACTAGTTGACCGATCTCGAAGCACAGTTCTTCAGGATGAAGTCATCAAGAAGGATGTCATTGAACATCTCAAGATCGCTGGTGGGTTTCACGCTCGCCTGTCGCGCTCACATATCTGAACCGTCCAGTCGAGAATGACGTCTCGGACCTCATCGACCAGCTCGTGGCGGAGCAAGTTACGATATTGCTTCCCGACCACATCCCGTCGGCACTGCTCGACGAACTGGCACGTCACAAGCGCGAGCTCGACGAGGTTGAGGTAGATCTGCACAACTCGTGAGTGACGTCTACAAAGGCCGGCCTGGGTTAACCATTGTTGCAGGGAAAGCAGGCTCGCAAATGCGCAGATACGGACGTCGGATCTGACCGAGCAGCTGCGCACAATCCAGAGGGCTGACAAAACCGTCAGTCAGCACTTCCCGGCAGACCTGCAAGGTCTGATAGCGATGGACGGTACGCCAGACATTTGCCCCACAGCATACGCAGACAAGCTCGCTAACACATTCATGGCTAATTAGATGCGTCCGTCAAGTCGCTCATGAGGTACTACGCCCTCTCCGACATCTCGGACTCGCAAGACAGGAACCTTAATCGTCTCATGCTCTTCTTGGGGCTGTCTTACCAGTTGGTGCGCAGCCCCACACTATCTCCCCACCGTCACACTCAGACTTGACTCCTCTTCCGCTCACGTAACCACCGCTGGTCTTCGCACTCGCTTCCATCTCCGCTGTCGATACCTACCATAGGTCCCGACGAGCGCAGGTGGTAACGTCTTGGCGAAGATCAGCCCGTCGAGCCTGGCCCGGATGTAGTCGCGCCGTGGTTTTCGTTGACATCACTGTATCCGAATCTCTGTATTGTACACCATCTTGCACTCATCTCACGAACGAATGACCGGTGTTTGTAGCAAACATCTTGCGCTGTCGTCTTAACAATTGCATCCGTTGCCTCGATGGTGGTGTGAACTTGTGAACTGTTGACGGCCACATCATTGTTCAGACTGTGTCCCTTGCTCGAAGAGCAAGGCTCTCCCAGGTCGAAAATGTCGCCCCCCCTTTCTGCACTTGTTGTAGCATGTTTGTTTCGCGACATGTGGTGTGGACATGTGTGCGCATGACGCACCTTGGTTATCCGCTAGTCCCAATCCGCACGACGCGGCTCAGCCACATTGACCGGCCTGTGCGCAGCGCGGCGGGTTTCGCCAGGGTTTCTCTGTTCACCACAGCATCGTACTTAGGCGCGTCGTAGGCCCTGCGGGAGGGAGGGGCACCACATTGACAGGCGGTGCCGCGCTCACGGCGCCTCCTACTAGATTGAACTCGCTTGACCGGCCTTCGCGCGCGGGGCAGCGCCGTCTGCCGCCCTTGTGTCTCTCTTTGGCAACGCAACAGCGGCGACACCAATCTCACATCAGCTGTGCAACATTGAGTTTCCATTTGTTAGTAGTCTTGTACATGAGGGAAGAGATGGTGGTCAATTGAGCCGTTACAATGGTAGCATGTACATTACAAAACGAGTGGGGGAGTGTGTGCTCACACAAAAACAAATGTCTCATTGCACATCATCGGGGGATCATGAACGTTCACCCGCACATGCAGAACACGAGCAAGGTTAGCACGCCAGCACTGGCGGCACTTCGAGTTCATGAGTTGCTCAAGGAATATTTTATTTAAGTACGCGCGCCGTGCGCACATTCCAGCGTGCACCAGCGGGCCAGTCGCAACTAATCACTCACGAACTCATCCCGAACAGACAAGATTTGCACCCAAGCACAATGGGTGTGAATGACACCACTGACAGTGCTTTGAGTAGTGGTGGCTTCAGACTCACTCTTCCGCTGTCTTCCGTCAACCTTCAGGTTGACGTTGAGCTCCGAGCACGGAGGCTGTGGCTCAGTGAGAGGACTTGCGGAAGATCAGGTCCGCTCGAGAGTTGAGGACTATCTACTCAACGCAGGCAAGATATGTGCTGCTGAATGTACCTCACCTGCATATCATGTTTATAAGTCGCGATGTAAGCAGAGGCTCGGTGCGCAATGGAATGATCTCGCAAAGAAAGAAGAGATACGCTCGAGCAAGACGACAACACATGCAACTGCAGCTGTGCGTCGCCAGCAGCTATGCGGCATACGTGCGATTAGATACAGGATACATGCATCCTAGCTCTCATCTACAAGGAGTGTTCCCCGATGATGATCACGGTGACACAGAGAACGTACCGGTGTAGTCACTTCCCCTCACCCATAAGCCCGCTTACCGAGCGCACGACAATGCCCACCGCCTCCATGACAGGCTCGCGCTCAACCTCCACGACAAGCTTCAATATCCGGCCCTCGAACTTGTCCGGGTGGAATCGCAGCATCGTCTCGCGCAGCTTCTCCTTCCGCTCCTTCTTCCCAGCCTCGGAGTCGTCCTGGGTCAGCAAGAATGCCGATATCGCCTCCGTCGTCAGGTCGTCCATTGTCAGGCCCCTTGCTCTGCGACTGGAGAGTTCGGGAGGATGGACGGGCCACGGGATGTCGGCGAAGTGCAGGGAGCTCTCCGTGCCTGCCGATGGTCCGAGTAGTTCTTTCCACCGGGCGTCGTACCACTCGCGGGCCTCCACCGCTCGCCTGCGTTCCTTGCTCCTTCTCCGTCGCCGCCGACCTTCCTCCTCCTCTCGTTCCATGCGTTTGGTTTCGTCCCGGATGGCCCGCTCGCGCGCCTTCCGTGCAGCACGCTCTGCCTTCTTCCGTTCCTGCTCTTCGAACTCTGCTGCGTGTTTCCGCCTGAGAACGGTATGAGAACCACATACGAGCGAGAGACGGGCGCGCATACGCACCTCCACATGCCCTCGCGAACCCATTCCGCGTAATCCTCCTCCTCCATCATGCCTGGCTCGATGCCAAGCTCGTCGTCCATTCTGTCCATCCCACCGCCTCGCCATCGCCTTGGGATATGCGCATAGTCGTTCAGGCGGGACTCGAGTGAGTCGAGCCGCTCGTCTTCCTCCATCGCGCCGAACATCTTCTCGCGGAAGCGTGCTTCCTCAAGCTCTGCCTGTATGCGGTCGTAGTCCGGTTTATGTGCGCGGTGCGACGCGGTTGGTGGTGGCGGTGGTGGTCCGTACGCATCTTCATCTTCATCGAAGAATACGTAGGGATAGCCATCGTTCGTGGGTTCAGAGCTGGTGTGATGTCGCTTCCTGCTGCTAGAAGGACCCGTCTCGTCGCTGGAAGTGTCCTCGGGTGTCTGCCGCCGTCTCTTCTTCGCGGCTTTCCTGGCTCGACGCAAATCGCGTTCTCGCCGTTCGGCTGGGGTCTCCTTCAGATGTAGCTTCGTGGATGACATACAGAGGCAATAACAATGTATGGTACTTGTGTATGTAGGATGGGGGTGGCAGACAAAGTCAATTGCTCGCGCCACCAAGACGGTCAGACGGCAATGACGCTGGCGCCTCTCGTGCTCGCTGGTCCATCCTCGCCGTTCATGTCGATGCACTTCATTTCTTACTCATTCACACCCATCGATGTCTCGATGAATCCTAGATTATAGTCGGCGACAGAGGTGATCAAATCGTGTAGCCATATTGCCAGCAAGGGACACGGTTATATGCTGCCGGTCGGCCACTTCGTCGAATACCTTGACACAGATCTCAAACAACGTCGACATTCATGGGCATCATGAGCCATCTGCCTTTCAGTCCCTTAGCTTCAGTCACTTAGCTCACTGGACGGCCTCGCTATAGGGAGTCGGGTGGTCGGGATGGGCGTGCTCGTGTTTGAGGGGTCTCTCAGCTAGCTAGGTGCGTGCTGTGGCGAATCTGTTCAATATATCTGAATTACGACCGGTTGGATAATGACAGCTGCAGGATTCCCGAGGTCTTGCGAGACATTCAGATCATATCCTCGGAGCTGCCGACCGCCCTACTATTCAAATCGTGACTCACTCGGACGTTCAGCAGACTCGCAACTTGGTCGCCTCCGCTGACAGTGAATACACATGTGCACGCTAATATAATGGAATGCATCTGCAGGTGTGTCAGAAGAATGGCGATGCTGTTGGTACATTCTTCCCTGCGACTTCGTAGGCTATCGTCCACATTGCATCCCGGTCTCCATCACCCGTCTCAGGAGCTAGAAGCCCACTTCCGTGTGTCCTGCCAGCTTTGGGACTTCTCATACCCATCGCTTCCACGTGTACGGCCCCGGTATTAGGGCTGCTCAATTCTCGCCGCCCGTTCGTCGGTTCGTCGGGCACCTGCCCCGTAAGGCAGGTAGCATCAGATCCGGATCAAGCCCGGCAGATTCCCGACTAATCCAGCCACCGCCTACCGAAAGCGGCAGGACCAACGAGAGAACGAGCTCAGGTCAGCTCACTTCCCGACTGTACATTACTTACGAGGTGTCGGATGTGTACGATACCCACAGAATATTTGAATCTTGCCAATTGCTATGGGATGCATGTACACAGTGTCGAGGGCTCGCTATCAGTGGGCTTACATAATCACGTAATAGGTAGTCAGCAGTAACTTTCCGTTAACGTGCGCGTTCACTGCTGTCAGTTCACAGTCTTGAATCTCGTTTCTAATCGGGCTATTAATCTCGTTTTTCTTCCCCTGCCGCTCTCTCATCTGTCCCGACAATAACCTACATTGCCTGCTAAAAATGTTATGTAATGCATCTTACATTTACATTCTTTAACTTCGAAATCGCCGTTCACAGCTCTGCGACGGTAAACCAACCAGGACGTGAGCGCTTGAGCGCTTGAGCTCCGAGTCACCCTAGGCTCGTCCTCTGGCTGGTGCAAGGTCGTATCGGTCAGTGCTAATTATCGACGAGTCGTTAAGCGTCATTGTCGGTAGGCGGTGGCTGGATTAGTCGGGAATCTGCCGGGCTTGATCCGGATCTGATGCTACCTGCCTTACGGGGCAGGTGCCCGACGAACCGACGAACGGGCGGCGAGAATTGAGCAGCCCTATTAGCAATGGTACATGCGACGGAATCTCAGGCGAATAGAGGCGAATGCATGCGACGTCTGGCTTGGCGGTACGCACCCTCGCGCATGTGGCTGACCGAAGCACAACAACCGATCAACCGCGTTGCTTCGGGGACTCGATCACATTGCGAGGCTGCCTCGGACCAGCGGCAGGCTATATAACCATGGAGTACAGCAACCGCCGGGAACAACGTCGCCAGCCGCACCTCTTCATGTTGCTCTCAGCCCTCGTCGCAGGGCTTGCTGCCTTCCCGGTGGTCCCGGCTCTGGCACGTCGCGTGAACCAGATCCCGCACGCCAATGGCGTGTATGGAGGCAACCCTGAGCTGCTTGAAGCGTCGACGCAGACAGTTACGGGTGCCGCATCTTCGGATGCGCTGCGGGTGACCGAAAACAGTGGCGTTTGCGAGACGACTCCTGGGGTTTACCAGGCGTCGGGCTATGGCAACGTCAGTTCGACCGGAAGTCTATGGTAATGTTCTTTCACAGCTTGGTTGTGTGAGAGACTTAAACGGGCTTGTCGTGCAGGTTCTGGTTCTTTGAGGCCCGCAACAACCCAGACACTGCGCCATTCACAATTTGGCTCAATGGTGGCGTAAGCTTTCCCCCTGTTTGACTAAATCCATGGATTTGAACCTTGCATGCTAGCCCGGCAGTTCTAGCATGGTCGGACTGTTCCAGGAGCATGGCCCGTGTCGTATCAACAATGACACAGCGACTCTGGACTACAACCCGTACTCGTGGAACAACGTATCGAACATGTGAGTTTTATATGGCGTTCGAGATGCATTCCACTCATAGAGTACTCTTAGCTTGTACCTCGACCAGCCTGTGGGCGTTGGGTTCTCGTACGGCGATTCGAATGTTGGCACTTCTCAAGAGGCGGCGGCGGATGTGTGGACAGTCAGTACTTCCACTATTTTGTGGGTTGCGTTACTCATAATGAAGTTGTAGTTCCTTCAAGTCTTCTTCAACGACACTCGTTTCAGCAAATACCAGGACAACGAGTTCGCCATCTGGACCGAGTCATACGGAGGCCACTACGGGCCCACGTTCGCGGCCCACATTCTCCAGCAAAACGAGGCGATCGCGAACGGGTCCATCTCCGGGACCCCTGTCAACCTCAAGTACCTCGCAGTCGGCGACGGGCTGACCGACCCGCTCTCGCAGTACCCGGGCTACCTGGAGTACGCCGCCTCGAACGCGTACCACCCGACGGTGGACCAGTCGACGATTGACGATGCAACAACGGCGTGGAACGAGACGGGCGGGTGCAAGGATCAGATCACGGCGTGCTACAACGGGGGCTCAGATGACACGTGCTCGACGGCGCAGTACAACTGCAACAACGACATCCTCTCCCCGCTCGCGGGCGATTACGACGTGTACTACATCCTGGAGTCGTCCCCGGGCTCGTACCCACCCGACCCGACGGACTTGCTTAACAATAAGACGCTCCATGCGCAGATCGGCGCGGAGGCGACGTGGCAGGAGACGAACAACGAGGTGTACTACAGTTTTTCGGATACGGGCGACTGGATGCGCAACTCCCGGCCTGATCTGGAGTACGTCATCGACTCCGGCGTGCGCACCATCGTCTTCGACGGCGACGCGGTACGTTCGAACGCTCTGCCCGGTGACCAACTTGTAAACTGACTGTGTCCCGCGCAGGACTACATCCTGAACTACAAGGGCGTCGAGGCGATGGTCGCCGCGCTCCAGACCAACTTCTCCGACGAGTTCAACCAGCTCTCGTTCACGAACTGGACCGTCAACGGCGAGTCCGCGGGGATCTACAAGAACGCGGGCACCTTCTCGTACGTGCGCATCTACGGCGCCGGGCACGAGGTCGCCGCGTACGACTGGGGCAACCTCGAGCGGGGCGAGGCAGCCTTGGCGATGTTCAGCCAGATCATGAGCAACAACTCTATCTCCTCGACGTGAGGGATGGGGCTACGGACTACTGACCATGTCTGTGTGCAGGAGATGGACTCTACATAGCCTCTCGTTTGCATGTATGCTTGCTTAGTTGTATTCAAACTGTTGTCAGGATAATTGGTGAAGAGATGAATGCGTTTATCCGCAGGAGCGAGAATTGAGCGTACAATATCGCATATCGTCTGGTCCCGACGCAGTCTTTTAGTGAGTTTGATGCAAGGGAACAATCAAGGGCCCTTAGACTGCATGTCTCACGGCGCACATGAAGGAATTTGACAGTCCAGTGCTCGGAGCTACCTCCGAGCAAAAATAAATACTCTGGTGAAGTAATACATACAGGCACAGGCTACAAGAATGACGAAACTAGCGATACACATGCTGGTGCCGTACAAAACGATATGGAGGGGGATACAGGAATGGCACACAAGAATGGAGATTCTAAGGCAGCGAATGGGCGCTCACTCTGCAGCATCCTGCTGACCTTCCAGAGACTTGTTGGCTTGCACGAAGTTCGCCGCGGTCCACTTAAAACGCCGGCGCAATCGGAATCCAACGCGGCGGATGAGGGACGGCGTGAGGATGGCGTCTGGGTGGGGACTAGAGACGACGTTGAGCTTTGTGAACAGCATTGGACTGCAGCAGACGCACCGATGGAATGAAATAGAATTTCCACCAATCTCCTCGTCGGGGTCAAACCGTACAGAAGAGCCTGCGCCCTCCTTGCGATGGAAGCCAATCTTCGTCATCGCCTGACACACCGGGGTCAGCACAAGCACGCAAGCCATTCACACCTTAACGACGATCTGCTCACCTTCTCGAAATCGCCCCACCGCAGCTGCCCTTTCTTGACGTTCGGATCCGCCTCCTCCTCCGGGATGACAAAACGGAGGAATAGCTTATGCGTCTTCCGGTTGACCTCGAAGACCTGCCGCTTGCTCTCCTCCTTGGGCCGCTTCGAGGCGGGCTCCGCGCGTGTCTCAGCAAGTGCAGCGCGAGACGGCGGCGGCGATCCCTGCTTGCGTTCCTTGGGCTTCGCATCGGTTTGCTTTGTCTGCGACGCCGCATACGCGCGTCCCGACACGCGACGCGAGTGCGCGTCTTCCGCCGTGAACAAGTCGAGAGGCGTCGGGCCCGAAGGCGCCTTCACCTGCTGCACGGGCGCAGGGGAGGCGGTCCTGGGTGGCTCTGGGGCCGGCTCGTGGATCGGCACTGAGAACCCAAGGCCGTGCGGCAAGCCGGTGAGCTGCCCGCCCAAGAAGCGGTTCTTCACCGAGTCGACCCACTCCCACATCTTCTCAAAGTGGGCCTTGTCGCTCACGTACTCGAGCGAGGGGATTATGCGCTCGGAGCGGAGCGTCGTCCCGCCCGCGTGCATGTGCTCGTACCACATGTTGATGAGCGGGTAGAGCTTGCGCAGCCAGTTGTTGTCGCTTGCGGTCGGGCTCAGCTCGAGGCGGTGCAGCCAGAGGCCGAGCACGCTGTCGAGGAAGACGGTGCGGAGCTCCTGGATCGCGGCATGGTCACCTATATCATCGTAGAGCACCTGGTTGAGCGTCGCCTTCTCCTCTGGAAGCGCAGAGATCACCGCGGTGTACATCGTGTTGGGCGGGCACCAGCACCGCAGAGCGGCAAAATGCAGCAACCGCTGGCGCATCTCACTCTGGAGCTCGGGCGCCGTGGTGGAAGAGGGCGTGCGGTCGTAGAATGGGTACCCAAAGTGCGATTTCTGGGAGAGGCTCAGTGACTCATGCCTCGAACTGAAAGCGCGGTGTACACACCGTGATCTCGGGCCTGTTATCCCGGATGAAATGCGCAGAGAAGGGTTCCGATGTGGCAATGACAGTCTGCAATCGCTTCTCTTGGACATGGCCAAGTACTCGAGTGCCTATGGACACATCCTCTAGCGCATCAAACGTCTTCGATACCTTGGCTTCGTGAAGGTCATGGTATATGTCTGTATTCTGTGAGTATGAGATTAGGTCCCCCGCCGTGGTATACTCACTCTTGCTGTCCAAAAGCATGCCTTCTTCCTCGCGAAGGTCCTGCAACTTGTGGAGGCCATTGATGATGAGGTCCCAGCACGCATATTTCGCATGTTGTTCGAACACAACCTGGAAGACCTCTTGGGCGAGCAGAGTCGCGGGGAAGTGTTTGCGGGTTCGTCCCTGAAGGTCGGGGGTCCGCTGGTGGAGTATGGGAGACATCATTGACACGTTGACCCCCAGCATACGCAGGAACGTAACGTACCTCGGGGTGGTGGTGCATGCGAACGCGCATAGTGGCTAGGAAGAAATCACGGTCATTGTGAAAGGCATCGACGTCGTCTCGTAATGCGTCTTGCTGCGACGTTGCTATCCGAATCGCTTCTTCAACATCAAGCTCTGGTCTTGACGTCTCACCAGTGCGCACGGAAGCTGCATATATGCTTCAGAAACCGACGCGGTGATGTGCTATGAGGGTCGGCTCACCTGCAAACCTGCCCACAAAGTCAAGGGATGACTCGCCCTTCTTCCGCTGGATCTTGGGCTTCTGCCTCGTAGTCCCGAATGCATTGTACTGATTATCGTTGCGTTAATCGACAGAGTATATGCGAGTGCAGTTGATGTACGTTACCTCATTATGCAACTGCATGATGTGGGGTATCATCTCCTTGATGTAGATGTTCTCGGGAATTTTTGCGGCATCGTAGTTCTGCCACGGACGAACACTCAGTTCATACAGAGCGTCTCATGGGAGAGGACGGATAGAACATACCGAAGGGCAGATGAGATTGGCGAGTCGCTCTCCCTCCGCGCGCCCCGCACCAGCTGTGATATACCTGCGAGTGGTTTTCGTAAGTGGCGAGAATCACTTAGCATTCTCGATACGTACGCATTGATGATAGACGACTTCTCCGAGGACCCGAAATTGAACAGAGGGTCGGTAGGCTTCAGCAGCACTTCTTCGGCATTCGGGTTGGGTTCCGGCCAGCTCTCCATGCGGCGGTAGTCCCCTTTGGGCACAGCGACGCGGGTCATCGCTCAGAGTCTTGGGAAAGAGCGGGGAGGAGGAGGGGGAGGGGGAGGGGAGTGGGGGCGATGGAAGAGAGAAAAGGTAGCGCAGGCAGAGAGTAGTGTGATCGCTCTTCAAATGACAGGCGCCACTTATAACAGAAGGTCCATTGTCCCCTCAGGCTTGTTCCGCAATAGGCAGGTCTGTAGCCACACCACCGCCCATCAGATTCAGAGCACATGTACTCTCCCTTCAAGTCCTTAAGCTTCAAGTATCTGATGCTGGTATCACGTCTACGTACTACAAGAGAGTACTGATAGTCCAGTGTTTCTTTGAGATTATGCTGTTCTCATGTTGGTCAACATGTCATTCTGCATATCATCCGGCATTGTGGCGCTCAAGGTGCCGTACCGCTCGCGCATAACCCCACCGAGCAGTGCCGCAAGAACTAGCCCGAACCTATCGCAGGCTGCGTACATTGGGTGCAGAGCATATTGTGTTCATGGCATATATTTCAACGGAAACACTGCATCTGCTTCTCGCACGAGATCGCCGCGCTGGCAGACGCAAACGAGTCGACTAATCAAGGCAACAATAGTACTAGTACTGTAGATCTGCCGAGTGATTTGACGGCAGTCGAGCGTTCTCAGACTTCATTGCATCCTTATATGATAAGTTGCTCGGAACCTCGAATTTTGTACAGCATGGAGACCACCAAGAGACCACTGAGTTAGGGCGAATGTGACAGCATATAAGGAAGTAGTATACTTACAATATTATTGACAATACTGAACACTCTAAATAATAAATGTACAACGGAAAGCCAATCAGAACTCACGGCTCTCGATGTAAAGGGACATAACATGCTACGTAATTAATATTACTAATGCCCTAAGCCAGGACGTGTCGCCGCACACTGCGGTTTGTCCTCTGCGAAGCTCGAACATCCTGTATCACAACTTATTCCAATCGCCCACGCTGCCGCCAAGCCCCAGTCTCTGGATGAAACTGTGCACGTTTGGCAACCTGAACTTGTTCTCAGAAGTCAGATGAGTCCGTAGGACAAGGACTTCTGAGGCTAAGTTACGCGGAGTACTGCTGACGTGTCGACGAACTGATATTGACACTCAACCATGAAGCTTTGAATCCAGGATATCTGGTCACGACGGATATACATGCTACCATAGGGATGTTCCCATTGCAGCCTAAAAGACAGGTGAGGCTTTATGATACAGCAGTGACTCGGAGACTGAAATTAGTCTGTGGTGAGCAACCGCGTACATTTGACTACCTGTATATTTGCAGTAGTATCATGTTCATGTTGAACCCATCCATTTGGGCAACGCGACGTCGCCAGAGGCCACATCCCGAGATCTACCGGAGTGGTGAAGACGGTCAGTAGTCACGATGGCCGTCATACCGTCCTATTGAAAGACTTCAATCCGAGTAGAGGTTTGAACGCATTCGGGGACCACACCATTATTATGTCTGTTGTCTCGCTAATGCTTGTGCTACGTAGCTATTGCACTTGCAAAACGGAGCACTGAGAACACTGCTGCAAGATTGCGGAAGGTCAGCACAAACGTCTCGGTCAAGGAAACCCTAGAAGACGCGCGAAGATGTTCGTCCGTGTACTGTACTAGCAAATCTAGGTAAGCTTTCACAGGCGTTCAGTTAGGCCCGACACGGCGTTCAGTAGCATATTGGGGCCTCATGCCGTTAACCACGACATTCATGGACAGATGGCCGGCGGCGGTGCTGGATCTAACCATGTCCCGGACGCATCACTCATGGAAGGTAAGTAGCGCAACAGTCATTACAGTGATATTGTAGCTGAAAGGCTACTAGTAACATCGCCCCGCATGACGAGACGATACTCGGCGACGCGAAATATGGCGTCCATCCCGACGCTCTCTGCATCTGAGCGTAGCCCAAGATGCCTCCATAGCAGCTCCGGGAACGAGGGGCCGCTGCAGTTCGTGCTTCGCCCGACCGGCCGCGGTACGACGAGAGCCGGGCAACTGCAGCCGCGCGCCCATTAAACCCGGCGACCGGCCCTGCCTTCGATGCCCTTCTCTCCGATCAGGAGCGATCGCGCGCAGCGTTCAAGGACTCATCCGAGGCCGGGGCGTTAGAGCGCTCCGGACGGGGCGAGCAGAAGAGCGGCATGGGACTTTGCGCGGAATTCAGCACGCACGCAAGACTTGCCAATCGGGGTGTGCTCCTCCATTCGAGCTGGAACAGGATAATCACGACGATCGTCTCGGACTGCCTGTTTGCTCAGCGGAAATGGATACACGACCTACAGCGCCATTAGCACCAGCCCTAGACTTGCAACTGGAAGTACTCTGGCCACGACGTCGAGACTAGTGGTGGAAGCCAATGACTAGTCACGAGAAGTACTAGCCAACCACGGTATGAGCTTAAATCCGCCAATCGTACAAACAAGCACAGCTTGCCAGTGACAGAACAAGGACGACTCACGCCGACAGGAGCATGAGAGTGGGTAGCCGAATGAATCCTTTAAACGCCACCGTACGTATAGGGCGCGAGTGAGGCAGGAAATCCGTCTTACGACGCCGCGCATCGATCGCGCACGGGCCCGGAACCAGCGGTTGTACGTACAGGAATCGCGCCATGCGGTACGATGATCCGACCACCAGTGGTGCTCAAGAGCTGGCTGAGCGAGGTCCAGAAAAGGCGTGCGGGCTCGTACGGGATGAGAGGATGTGGGGAAATAAGAAGGCGTAGAGCTGGGCGATCATCTGTAAAGGCAATCTTGATATCTAAAGTGGGTCTCCACTCCGAACTTTGCCCATTTGCTGCTTGCAGAAAACGTGCTATGAGCTCACTGGACACGGGACACGTCGAGCCAAAAACTTACACTCTCACCGAACGTCACACTGGATGATTGCTCAGTGGATGGTCGACGTCGCGCCACCCAAATCATCAGTGTCCTTGCAGTGAAACGAGCTGTTGACGAACATTCAACAGGCGCACCTTGCAATTGAGCACCAGCAGCAAATGGGTGATGAGTCGGACCACCCAGAGTTAGGAGTTGTGTGTCCTCGGAAGTCGGGACAACGCAGCTGCAACCCCTGTAAGATGATATGACGCGCCGACCGCTCCCGATCCGGGGTGAGCGGGCTGATATGCTATTTTATCTCCACGACAGCCCAGGCCGCCCTGAGGACACTACATACGGCGAGAAGGTTCAGTCGCGTTCGATAGCGCTGCCAGGCAGACTACATACGGGAGCCTCATGACGGCGTGGACACAGGAGGCGGGCCTGGCAGGCACAGCGCACGCTGAGCGCGTCTTGCCTTGAGGGGGTGCTGTACAGTTCTCGCGCATCCTCAGATGGGCCGCGGGTCCCTCCCCGGAGGCCTCCACTGAGCATCAGAGTTACGACCGTCGACGAGGTGATGAGCGCCGCGACGCCTGAGAACCGCGTAGATTTTGCTCGTTGCGGTTAGAGGGGGACCGGGGTGCGTGCGAGGCGGCGTTTGAGGCGCGTGCGTGCAGCGCGCGCGGCGTCGACGCGAGCAGAAGTCACGCACAGCACAGCCGTTCCGTCTGCACAAACACGCTGAAATTGACAAAGTCTATCTCACTCGGGCTCGAGGGGAGCGTAATATAAATGATGGACGCAGTCGAGCAGGACGGTTGAATCTTCTGATGATTCGGCTATGAAAGGGCTCATCCGTCCTCACCCGTTCCTAAGCGATATAAGTCCGGATACAGTTCCCATCCGAACATTTTTTGTTCCCGTCGCCCACCTTCCCCGGACAACGACCTCCAACGACCTCCTCGCCGCCGTCCTCCCCCTCAAAAGCGCCGCAATGTCAAGACTCGCCGCACCCACCGCCCTCGCCGCCGACGCCTTCTCGTCCCCGCTCATCGAACCGCACTCCATCCCATGGGACGCCCACCTCCAGCCGATGGGCATGCTCTACTCGCCTGCCGCACGCGCAGCACATGCGCAGGCCCTCGCGGGTCTCTACGCGATGGCCCCCTCGCCGCCGCCCTCCGTGTCGAGCAGTGGCACCCGCCCCGCGTCCCCCATCGCGCACGCGAACGTGCTCAAGAGCAGCCGTGTCCCCTCGCCTGCGACGGCCCCCGAGCAGGCCCTCTGCCTGCCGACCCACCAGGTGTTCGACATCCCACCCGGTGGCTTCCCCGTCGAGCAGTCCCCGTCGCCGTCGCCGTCGCCGTCTCCCCCGCCCGAGGGAGAGCGCCAGGAGTCGCAGTCGCGTGAGCGTCTCAGCATCTCCATCAATCCTAGCCTCGCCGCCGCCGCCGTCCCTGCGAAGCGCGCATCAAGCACCGCCCCGTGCTCGAGCACGAGCAAGAAGCCGCGCGCGACAGTGTCGACGAAGGACTTTGTCCCGCCGGACGTCTCGGGGCTCAGCAAGCGCGAGGCGCGTCTCGTCAAGAACCGCGCCGCCGCGTTTCTGAGCAGGCAAAGGAAACGGGAAGAGTTTGAGACCATGGAGATGTGAGTCTTCGCCATACTCTCTGATGTCATTCTGCTCTACACTTCCGCCATGTGTTCTTTCGAGCTCGTGTTTGACTTCACGCTACGCGGCCGATGCCTTCACGTGATATGCATCCAAACCTGCGCCCAAGTCGAATTCGCATCTTCGTGCGCGCAAGATAACACGGAGGTGTTTCGACTGCGGTGAAGGGCGATGGCTTGGCATGCTGGGAACATCGTCACCTCTCGTGTACTAGAATACGGAATATCAGTGGCTAATGTGCACTTCGACAGACGAGTGGCGGAGCTTGAGGAGGAGAACGCGCGGTTGCTGGCGCTGAGCCAACAAGCGCAGCAGCCGTCGCAAGACGAGGAGCTTATGTCGGAGGTTGAGCAGCTAAGGAAGCAGCTGGCTAAGATGCAAGAGAGGGAGCGTACGCTCTCGGAAGAGCTCTCGCGGAAACAGCGCTCGCCATCCCCGGCGCCGTCCTCCACTTCTTCAGTGAAGTCGGAGGGCTCGGAGCCAGCGCTGTCTGCACTGCGGTCGACGCGGATGGACAGGTCCGGCGCGAGCCTTGGACTGATGGTGAGTACCCGTACAATGAAATTGAACGGGTGTCTGAACGTGCGATGAGGCACAGGTGTTGCTGTGTGCGTTGCCGACATTGCTCTCGCTGCCGTCGCATTCGCATTCGCAATCGGCCCTGCCGAGTACGTTCACGATGCCGTTGTCGCACGCAACGTCCGCGCTGCCATCGTCGGCGCTTGGCATGCAGTCATTCGCCCCGGCGACCTCGGACTTTGATTGGCTCGACGCGATGGGCGCGAATCCCGGCATGGACTTTGACTTCAACATGGACTTCTCGAAGGAGGACAAGACGCGGCTCGCATCTGCGGCGGTTAATGCGGCGACGCTTTCCGGCAGCAAGCTTGAGTTCGTCAGCGACGACGGCGAGAGCCAGCTCCCGCTCGGCGACCTCGGTGCGCTGGACATCAGCTTCGACGCGCTGCCCTCGGAAAACGGCAAGATTCGTGTCCGCATCCACCCACCCTCGACGTCCGCCATGCCCCCCGCTGCCGAGTCCCCCGCATCATCACAATCAGACGATGACCATGTCATGTCTATCTCCGAACCCAGCAACGCCCCATCCCCCGCGAGCCAGGACGCTGATGCACTCGGGCCATTTTTAGGCACGGGTGCGAACGTGGACTTCAACGCGCTGATGGGGCTGAACCGCGAGGACGAGCTGGCCGGACTAGACCTCGACTGGGACTCAGTAAGCGGCGGCTTCTCGCGCGCGGGCTCGCCTGGGGCCAATGGTCGTCGGCGAGTACGCATCGCGCTGAGAAGCATGCCGGGCAAGGGCCGTGAGGGCGGCGAGTGGGAGGTGGAGATGTGCTGACGATTGATATAGCTTAGGGTTCGTTTTATTATTTGGTCTAGTGTGCTTTCCGCTTCGCCGTATTCTTCACGTCCCCAGTCGGGCGACTCCGTTTTCCGTGATCATGCACCGACTCATACAGCTTGCGCTCACGGCTCGCGCTGCGTGTGCTCGCTGGTATAAGTATGGTATCCTTATGCGGTATGTTCTAGGCTATGTCTCGTCTGCTCTCTCGCGCATCGTATGATACTCTGCATCCTCCTGGTTCGCTACTCGTGATAGATCGCATACCCCGCCGTTCTTTTTGTGTATTGTCGCCCCAGTATAGTCCTTGTTTTAATAGCCATACAAAAGGGTAAGTAGCGTACGTAGTCCGTTGGAATAGATCGAATGGCGTTGATCTCTTCAAAACGACTGAGCGAAGGTGCTACTACTGCTTAAATATTTAGCCAGCTGCAGCTGATCATGATGGCGAGTCGACGATACGGCGAAGTCCTAAACTCGACTATTACTGGGAGTTGACCGTGACTGGGAGCGCCACAAAGCCACAGCCACCGCGTGGCCATTGAAGTTGCGCAAATCGAGATCTTGGCCCAATACACGAGGACTGCCGTTAATGCGTTGACTTGTTGAACTCGTCCCCATACCGCTCCGCGTTAGCTGACAAGACTCTCCTGGGTTGCTCCTGTAAGTCATTGTCTGGGATGCGACAGTTCACCGTGCACCGCTCTCCAGCAGCTGCCATCCCGGTCTCCGGATAGTAGATACAAGCTGGATGCCAGTGCTATTCCCGGACAGCATGATGCCAGTGTGGCAGTACAGTCCGGCTCGGATGGGACTCAGTACTCAAAGTACTCAACGGTTGACCTGGGGGCTGCTCAATCTGTATCGCCATATGCCAACCGCATTCAGGACGCTAACCTACTAAGGCCACGTAGTGGAAGGCCCATCTGGGCAGGACTCGCTGCATCTCATCGATAGGCTCCGTAACAAGTCGCGCTGCCAGTGGCTGTATACCGACTCAATAACTGTCGACCTCAGGCAGCAAATTTCGACCGTCGTGTTGCCTAGAATCGGTCTGCGAATGCGGTAGACTGCGGCCGCTGCACGACGTGGTCATTCACTCCTCACAGGTGTGTCCGTCCCATTGGGTGGTTCACGAATGGCTTATACTTTATGAAATGACCAGTCGTCGCGACGAGCTGTGCTCGGGTGCATCGTAAGCAATGTCACTCTGTAATAGCGCGATTCAGTTGAATACAGATATTCCCGGGGGTACGGAGTCCGAGTCACGGAGGACGTGCCTGCGGACCATCACTGATCTTGCACTGATCTGTCAAGGCTCAATTTGCGGACATCGCTGGAGAAGATTCCTCCAAGGGATCACTCACATCATGTGGGTCCTCCCTCGATGAACCATGACCTCCATGGTCACATTTGCGCTTGCATTCGGTACATGCTAGACTATGGGTTGCTGTTCACATGGCGCGCCAGGTCGAACTAACGACAGGGAGTGACTCACTGGCATACACAACAGCGCCCATAACGTCGCCATACTCACTTACGTTACTCACGGTGATCATCGTCGCAGACGATTGCTCCCGGATACTAAACTTAGGCCGTCGCCATTACAGACCGTTGATGTGCATGGAAGTTGATGGGGGGATTGCTCTGCCTCATACATCGATGGCGGGTATAAAACAACGTACTGTCGGTATGGGTCGTCAGCTCTCCCATTCTCTTTCTGAGCTCACACAAGTATAGGTGCCGGACGGTGAGTCCTATACAGACCTTCCCTGACTTCGCTTTGCTCATGGAACATATGATCTATCCAGCCTGACTTGCTTTCCGTTACGACTCGACGATCCTTCACTCACGTCCCACTTCACGACATAAGCACTCCCCTTCCTCCTTCTCGCTTAGTTCCCGACGATGCGTTTTGTATCTGCCCTCTCTTTCGTTCTTGCTGCTGTCGCCGCAGTCCCGGCACTGGCGCATCCGACCTGGCGGTGAGCTAAGAGCTTGCCCTCGTCAGAGATCATCTAGAATATTCACGCGTCTTTCTCTAGGTCATCTGTTCAGGAACGCTCTCTGAATGCCTATGATGAGTCCTTGGCAGCTCGCGAGTGGAATGCTGTTGCGGCACGCACAGTCGACTGGGAAGACGACCTCCTCGCCCGTGACGACTTATACGCACGCTCATACGACGACGAGCTCTATGCTCGCTCCAGCTACAATTCCTTCACGGACACTCGGATGCAAAGGCGGGAAGACGCCAAGGTTCTCGCTCGGGAGCTCGTCAATTTGCTCCTTGCGCGCAATGGCAGTAAGTGATCTCCTACGTTATCCACCAGAATGTAGATTCACCGAGCTATCGTCGACAACCAGACACGCACCCGGTCTCGATAATCCAACAGGAGCCTGGTATGTGCTGTCCCTCTGCGCAAGCAGCCCGCCTTCTAATATATGCACTCACAGGTGATGACGGCCTGTACCACTGGAAGCTTCTTATCGGTGCTGAGGGCGCGGCGGGCACCGTTTGGCACGACGTGATCTGGTCCGACAAGAAGCACATCGGAATGGAGCACCGCGGCCCGAAGCCTTTCGACGCGGCCAAGTCGAAGGGGCACATCAAGACGTGGCACATCGCGGACATCGATGCGTCGCACGTCGCCCAGCTGAACTCGCTCGCGGCGAGCACGCGCACGCCGAAATACGAGGTCGCCGACATTGACAAGAACTGCCAGACGTGGATCGAGGACGTCATCCAGGAGGCGGTGACCAAGAAGATTTTGCCGGCGAGCGCGCACGCTGCGGTGGCGAAGGTCCCGAAGGCGGAGTGATTGGATGTGATGTGCTGGGATGCATCGTCTTGTGTTTATTAGTAACTTTACTAATGGCGGAATGCAAGTATACTTGGCTTTTGATAATCCTTCTGAAGTCCGATTGTGGACGATGGAAAGCAGTGAAATCGACATACCTAGGTTAAGTGAACAGTAGACGGCCGCTTTGGTCGGCCACTTTAACATGAACAATCACAGAACACGGTAGCCGACTCCTTGAGACGGGTTATTCAGCAAACATAGTGCATTTACAACGTGACATAGTTTCATCCTGAGATTATCCAGGCGCATACAAGCATCTCAAACTTACCGATGCGCTCTCACTGGCGATGAGATAAGTCGAATCACACAACGACATCCCGCATAACACCATAATTGACAGCATATACACTACTACACAGCAGGCAATGTCGCCGACGACAGTCTGGAGAGCGCGATACCAGTCAGCATCAATGACGCAGCGACGAGGCAGAGTAACCGACTCACATCATGCTTCTCTGAGCAAAGCCAGACCACGATCGTTTCGGATTCGTGTAGGCCTTTTCAGCAGTGCGGCGGGGACCTGCCTCGGGTCGCGAGAGGCAGGCCCAAGTCGGCTACCAGAGCCGCAGCGCGCTCAGCTGCATGTAGACCGTCAGCAATGCGATGGGCTCGATGTGCAATGGGAACTTACAACGTCTGGAGCCTAGAGAACGATGTGTGGCATGATGATGGGGAACTCGAGAGGACGCATCGCGCGTTATATAGCTCGAGCCCTGGTTGAGGGCAGGTGGACAGTAGACAACGCCCGCGCCTTCTGTGAGCACCTGGCCCCTCACATGGTGCCCTGTGCCCGAGTTCTGTCAGGTTCTATCGCTTCTGACTGCCTTGCGCCTGACAGCAGCGTACCCCATTAGGACGGGAGACTGTCAACCCCGAGCGTCGCGCCGCGATACGGTTCGAGTGCGCAGTCGAATTGCCTGTTGGTGAGGCGGAGATGAGAGGTTGCCTCTCACGCACGTCTTCTGGATGTCATTCTGTGGATGAGAAGCATATACACGAGGTCCTGAAATGTAAGGTTCAGCCGTTCTTGTGAGCTTCGTGATGTACATGGCGACTTCCGTACCATACGAGTCCTGGACGCTCGGAGACGCCGTGAGGGTTTGGTTTGTGTGACGTCTTCGCTGAGCTAAGGCCTCGTAGCCAGTCAAGAGTACTCTATATGTCAACGAGAGTGATAGGGAAGAACGTCAATAACTCAACATTACCAGAGTCGATGAATACGGCCTTCAGAGCAAGTCCCTTCGTGCAATGGCAGAAACATCGTAGGTGCGTATGAGGCCATGTTTGGCTGACACAGAGCGACTATGCGAGACCAACACAGAGATCAGGAGATGGTAAACATTATGCATGATCGGATATCGCTCCGCATTACAATGTAAAACATGGCCGAGGAAAGCGCAGATTGAACGACGCACTAACATATTATACACACAATATAAGCATCGTCTCATGCATCCAACGAACTAGATCTTAAGCTCCCAGCTTACGCCGCAGCCACAGCTGCCTCCCTTCGCCTGTGCGACGTCCAAAGTTATTCGTGATTCTCCTCAACAGACAAGAAATCACACACCTGTGGGTTTTCTACCACCCGGAAACTACTACCGATCAGCTCCGTAGCGAAGTCGATGATGGAACCCTTCAGCAGCGTCATGGACACGGCGTCGACGTAGATATTCGAAGGCTTCACCGTAGGATGGGAGAAATGGCTGTGAACGTCGCATGAGTGGATGCGCAACTAAAAATGTTGTGAGTGAGGCACATACTAGTCGTCTGCTTGACGCTTCTTCGCGAGCTCTAGTTTGTACTGATACCCGTGACAGCCACCACTCTCCACCGCTATTCGCAATGCCGCGTTTGGGCTCTGCTCGCGATTTGCTAATGAGCGAAGTTGCTGGATATACTTTGTCAGCAGAAGGTTATGGAGAGCGAAGAACGGTATTCTTAAGAGCTGATGTCGTTCGCTCACTGGCATGATATCTACGAGCCCGATGGACGCTTACTACAGCTACAAAGACTTCGGCCGCGTCTACCGTGCTAATCACACTACTTGCACGGTCGACCCCATACATCATACTATGCCACCGAGCATACACAGCCCAAGTCGGATGTGAGCTCGGTCCGCAAGCATAGGACAGTTCGGTAAACATTGTCTCGAGGGGTGGTCGCGTTACACCGACACCAGGTCAACGCACTCCGCGACGATATGAATGACCACACCATCAATTGAATCACATACCTCTGCAGCCCTGTCGGTGATCTCCAGCTGCGCCTCCTCCGGCGGTACGAAGTCCACGTCCGGCTCATCCGCGTCTTCGTCATTCTCCTCCATGGAATCTGGAGACGGGTACGCGACAAGCACTGACTGCTTCGTCGGCGGGTGTTGCGCGAGGGCCGCTCTTGCTGAGGAAGTGGAACTGAAGGCTCGTCTGGGGTTCGTATGACGCAGTGGTCTGGCTGCATGCTGGTCTAGTACGACCCCGGTTCGCAGCTCACTCGTCGCCCAGCGGGGTAGACAGCGCATGCCGCAAGCACCCAGGCTTGCGGTGGGCCATGCTGCATGTCGTGCTAGCGAAGCCTTGGAGATCCTAGCGACAGTGGGCAGCGAGGACATGGTGGAGGTGAGTGAGTTATGAGTGAGTATTGGTGAGCAATGGCCGAAGCTGGGCAGGCCCGATCTTGGATGCCGAATCTCAGATTTGCCCGGCGATATCCGGGTGAACTCGCTGCAGTGTGGCGCGCAGCGGCCCTGTCCGTACAACTCGACCACCACCAGCCATCAGCACTTCAGCCCGTCGGTCCTGAACTCTGCTCTACACGATGCCTGAAGTCGCAGTAGCAATAGCAAGAAACCATTTTCTGAACACTCAGGTAGCCGTCCTGAGAATGCGGTGCCTCTGCAGCAACGTTCTTCAAGGCAATTGGCCGACCGTGTGTCACTGCCTGATAAAGGTCGAGCCCATATGCTCCTCGGCGTCGGAGCATGTCCAACTCGGGGCCTGAGATTTGAGCCCATAAAGCATCGTCTCGGCCGTCAGCACCGCCATTTCACCACCATCTTCACCACAATGTCTTCCCCTAACGGCCTCGTCTGCTTCACGAACTGTTTGCTGCCGCTGGAGGATGGGAGCCTCGTCGAGCGGGATCTGTGGATCGATGAGCGTCGAGGAGTCATCCTGGACTCACAGGTATGTGCATCAAACTTGCCCAGCATTGTGTCTCATCTTGACGGACATAGAAAACCTTCTTCTTGAGGAGGGAGCGTCCCGACAGAGTGATCGACCTCGGAGGCAACATCCTGAGGTGAGTAAGATCCGCGATCCACTTTCGCGGCGCTGGAGGCTGGAGTGAGAAATGGATGCCTGCTTCTACGCGATTTGCATACGACCGGTCGTACAGCAAAACGCCTACATTGTAGGCGGCCAGTGATATGGCCTGCTTTCGAGCAGGGTCGAACGTCAGCCTGGGGACTGCTAGACGTGCTTCTCTCAGGCGTATGAAGCCATGGGTGTCCCCTTGCAGCTCATAATACCATACCGACGTATAAATGCTGCATCGTGACACCTCTACACGTCCGAACTCTGCAATCTATGCGCGTCCGCCAGTAAAGCCCCAGGCAGCCCGGAAATTACACCTGACTGCCATTTGAACAGTAGCTAAAGTCGTAACAGCCCCGGGTTCATGGATATCCAAATTAATGGTGCTTACGGCTTCGACTTCTCCGTGTACGACGGCGACGATGAAGTATACAGAGCTGGGATGCGGCATGTCGCCGAGAGAATCATCGAAACGGGTGTAACATCGTACGTAATTTGTCCATACTGTGATAATCTCCGCTGAACAGCATGGCAGCCTCGTCCCCACCATTATTGTAAGTTCATGAGCAGCACGCAGAGGATTCTGGGAACAAAGCTGACAACGTGCACAGACCCAAGAGAAGTCCCTCTACCCTAAGCTCTTGCACCTCCTGCGCCCCTTCGCATCTCCTACAACCGCTACCCTTCTTGGATGGCATGCCGAGGGTCCCTTCATTCAGATGGCGAAACGGGGTGCGCACGCCCCACAATTCCTCGTGCCCGCACGCGAGCGCTTCGCTTCGTTCGAGGAGCTGTACGGTGCCCAAAACCTTGTGGACCAGGAGGATTGGCTCATGGCCGAGGGCAATGACGTCGGCGTGCGCATTGTCACCGCCGCACCGGAGATCGAGGGCGTCATGCCCTCCATCCCGGAGCTCATCAAGCGCGGAGTTGTCTTCTCCATAGGGCACAGGTAAGGCGTCCTGTTGCGACATTGGCGAATCGCTAATGTGCGTCGGTGTAGTATCGCGACGACGGACATCGCAACACATGCTGTATACCACGGCGCGCGCCTCATCACCCACCTCTTCAACGCGATGCCGCAGCTGCACCACCGCGACCCGTCCATCATCGGTCTCCTCGGTGCCTCGCCCTCGCTCTACCCGTTCGCGTCCACCCCGGGGTCCCCCGCCTCGCCAGCCTCGCCCGCGTCGGGCTCCTGGCACGCGCGCCAGACGTCGCTGAGCAAGCGGCTCGCGCAGCTGCAGATCGAAGGCCCAGGCTCCCCCGCGGCGGCACCGAAGGCGACGTCGGAGGCGTTCGACGACCAGCAGACGCCACCGCAGACGCCGATCCTGCGCGCGCTCGCGAGCACGGACGACCTGAACCTGCGCAAGGGCAAGGTCGAGGAGGCGTTCGAACGGCCGTTCTACGAGCTCATCGTGGACGGGATCCACTCCCACCCGAACTCTGTCAGGGTGCGTAGCGTTCTTGCGCGTCCGGCTGTTTGATGGGTTGACCCCGTGGTTGTCAGCTGGCGTACTCTTCTTACCCCGACGGGTGCATTCTGATCACAGATGGTGAGCGTCCCCCGGCGATCCCCTGGGAGTTCCGAGCAGAAGGACGCTGACATGCTGGCAGCGATGAAAATCCTCGACCCGCACCTCCACGACGGCGTGCACGAGTGGCGCGACGGGAAGCGCTTCGTGAAGGAGGGCGACAAGCTCTACCTGGAGGGCACGGACACGCTCGCAGGGAGGTACGTGTCGCGTGCTCGCTGCTTTTCATGCGCTCGTTCTCACCGAGAGCATAGCGTGGTCACCCTGGACAAGTGCGTGCGCAACTTCTCGCGCTTCACGGGCTGCTCGCTCGGCGAGGCGATCAAGTGCGCTACGTTCAACCCGGCAAGGTGGGTACCGTGTCCCCCATCGTCGCGGAAATGGGGACGCTGACGTGTGGGATCGCAGGTGCCTGGGGATCGAGAACAAGAAGGGCACGCTGCGCTCTGGCGCGGACGCCGACCTTGTCGTGCTCGACCGCAAGGGCAACGTGCTCAGCACCTGGGTCAAGGGTAAGGAAGTTTGGACGAAGAACTGATTCATGGTTGGCGTTCCAGGGGCGCTGTCGTCTATGTACCGGCGATTTCTGCAATTGCATACATGGCGTCCAGGTGTAGGTTCCCGTACTGTTGCTTATCTTCATGACGAATTAGATACTGTATTAAATGTGTTGTAGCTTCCTATTTCATCAATAGGAACCGTGGTGTAGTGAGAGATGGCCGTCCAACTGAGTGAACCTATGTATTCTAGACTGCATCCTACACTTCCCGCATCTCCCCGAATGACACAGTCGGTACCAACTACTCTGAATCTCAGCTAGCTGTGCACAGCGGACATGATCCGGAAGACACACTGGACTGTATACTGTCAAATCACTCAGTAGACATTCGAGGTTATATTTGGCCTCGGATGAGAAGGCGTGGTTTGCAGTGCAGCTGCCGGTGCATAGTACTACTATATAGTACTCTACAGACGCGTTCTCACAGATTCTCGGCCGCGGTTCTCGGAAGTCGGATCGAGTATGGCAGCTTCGATGCGTACGAAGCGTATGAAGCAGCGTCATATGTGCGGCTGCTGACGAATTCGAACCGCATCTTTCGAGATGGGCCTGCGAACGCTCCGCGACTCTGGGTGTCCGACGGAGCGATACTCTATATGGACGCAATTCCCACGTATTCACGAGAAGTCATTTTGGATAGAAATCTATAGAAATGGTATTTACGCGAAAGTGGCTTCGACGATCATCGCGCTGTCAAGGCGAGGCTCGCGACTCGTCTGCAACGAGCCGCAACTTCCTTCTCAACCACCATCATTAGGCAGAATGGCACACATGCTTTGCTGCACGACGCGTCGCCCGGCGACGACGAGGGCGTCGAATCAGCGCACCCGGACCCGTGTGCCGTGCCCTGACATATAGAGCGCAGCGTGGGAAGCGCTCCAGGATCCGGTCAGCCGCCATATTATCTTCTCCATTCGCCATAGCATTATCTGACTAGTGCCACCCCACCCCTCGCCCGACCACTCGCTCTGCCAGCCTGTTGCTCGCCGCCATGGCCAGCGAACAACCCACTCGCTTCACATACCCGCCAGACTACCAATTCCCGACACACCGCCTCCGACACACCCTGCGGAATCCAGACAAGCAACCTCTCGTCCTCGTAGCATGCGGGTCCTTCAGTCCGATTACTTTCCTCCACCTCCGGATGTTCGAGATGGCGGTCGACTTCGTGCGGCAGAACACGGACTACGAGATCGTCGCGGGGTACCTCAGTCCTGTCAGTGACCAGTACAAGAAGCCCGGGCTGCTCAGCGCACACCATCGGTGAGTCTGCCGTTTCGCCGCACCGGACAGTACGGCTATGTGGTCCCGCATGAGTGCACCGTGGAATCCGTCGCAAAGTAGCTGGCCGTGCTCGGTTGCGCTGGCTGTGCCATAGGCTTCCCCGCAATGCCCGTAAGTGACCGCCTGTGGTCGACAAGCCAGTCCACAGGGCGCTGCAAGATGATGTGCGCTCTTTCACGGACTTCCGTCTGCTTAGGGAGCACGCAGATGTGTTACCTGAGGGCAGAGCAAGTCAGGCCATCTGCGTTTCATTATTCATCCCCGAGTGGTTCGGTAGCTGAGCCTGTGGGACTGCGAGGGTCGCTGCACTCATCTTCCTGCGCGCTCGGTGGACACCTCGCGTGACCGCCGGTGGTCATCGCGAGCTGCTGCGGATTGCGGTAAGGGGAACGAGGGTTGCGCTATCTGCATCGTGTTTCTTCTTCTATCATTCGGGGAGGGCGGACACTATGCTCTTTGGAGCATGCCAACGCCCGCACGCAATGGCAATTCAATACCTGTGGTTGGAGGTAGGATCTATCAATGCGGCGTCGATTCTTGTGTGCGCTCAGTTACTGAGCTGCGAACCCTCATTCACACTGTGTTTCTGGAAGCACGGCGCGGGTATGCGTACCTGATTGCTTCGTGCTTCGGTCGTTCTGCTTCGGTCGTTCTGCTCGATGCACTTATCCGGGATTTCCCCGCGGCCGCCGGTGCTCATGTCGAAGTCTCAGTATACTCGCTTCTACGTCACAGATCCTCCGAGTGTTGTCATGAACCCGAACACTGACGAACATTATCTCCCAGTGTTCACATGTGCAACATCGCTGCGGAACAGACATCAACATGGCTCATGGTTGACCCATGGGAGGCCATCCAGTCCTACCAGCGCACCGCCGTCGTGCTCGACCACTTCGACTTCGAGATCAACACCATGCTCGGGGGGATCGCCTCCCCCGACGGGACGAGCAAGCCCGCGCGCATCATGCTCCTCGCCGGGTCGGACCTCATCGCGACGATGAGCGAGCCCGGCGTGTGGTCCGAGCGTGATCTCGACCACATCCTGGGCAAGTACGGCGTGATGATCATCGAGCGCGCAGGCGCGGACATGGACCAGGCGATCGACTCGCTTTCCCGCTGGCGGCACAACATCCATCTTATCCACCAGCTCATCCAGAACGACGTCTCGTCGACGAAGGTCCGGCTCTTCCTCCGGCGCGGCCTCTCCGTGCGCTACCTGCTCCCTGCACCCGTTGTCGACTACATCGAGCAGAACGGGCTGTACTCAGACGAGGGCCCGACCGCGAGCGCGGCGAGCGGCGCGGTGGTCGCGGAGAAGGAAAAGGGCAAGGGAAAGGAGAAGGAGGCGGAGCGCGAGCCCGGCTCGAGCGGCGCCAAGTCATGATGTCCGCTGGGCACGAAAGAAAAATCATAGAGTGGGACAGCGGGACGCGGGACATTGTACGTCGGGCGTGGCACACTAGATTGCTTTGGTGTTATCTATTCTGTATCATTGGATTTCTCTTTGTACGTGCTACAACTTCGCCTTAATGCAGAGTCGCGAGACAGCTGACGGGCTGCGAGACGTGCCTTTCCAGTGTCGACACTGGTGGGATATGTACATGAGCACCTTCCATGGTCGCAGATCGGCGGGTGTCTGGTGTCAACGAGTGTCACTAATGCCAGGCGATGAGTATTGACAGTGAGACGAACATATATCCGTGCTTCAGATAAGCAGCGGATACATAGGTAGACATTCCGAGCTCTTGAGATGGAGCCGATGGACAACATCCAGTCGGGGCAGTACGTGCCAATCGAAATGCATCGGACCATACTGGTCCTTGTCTCGAAATGATGGTATGCCTCCATTGCGCTCGTTATGTAGGTGCGAGGCAAACAGGAACGTCGAACACGGTACAGTGCGTTGCGATGCTGCCGTCGCTGTGTGGGGTGCATATGCCGAGGGTCTAAGGTCCTCGCCCGCTCGACGTCCCATGTATAGTACAAATTGTTTTCTAAACACACTTCCTCAGAGGTTGGCTTGTAGCCAGGGGAAGATCTGCAGCTTCTCCTTGTCCCACTGTATTGCCCCAGTCAGCGCAACATCGCACTGTCGCGTGGGAGGAAGACGCACCACCCCGTTCTGATAGTAGAGGTCCGACTCAATCACCTTCCTCACCGCCTCGACGCTGTCCGCCTCGAAGACCATCATCGAGCCGACAAGCTTCTTCTCCGCGGTGGGAGACGCGATCGACTCGGGCGACAGCAGTCCGCCGCCGAACTCTACGAGACCGCCGTCGGCAGATATTGAGCAGCGGATCACTAGTACGAAGAGACGGATACGCACTGAGAACCCCGTTCGCAAACAGACTCTTCGCGTTCACGAGGTGCGACTCGCGCACGGCCATGCGCCGGCTGAACGCCTCCGGGTCGGTCATGTCGGGTGCCCAGACGGCGAACTTGTACAGCGTCGGGCCTGCGGTGGTGGACATCGCTGCGAACTGGAGGGGAGATCTGCGGGTGCGGGTGAGCGGGGTGCGAGCTGAGAAAGCTCGAATCGCAAGATTCATATGGGCTCGGAGGAAGGCTGGGATGCAGGAGACACGGGCCGGAGGCTTATGAAGATCGTGCAATAGACTGAGTCACGATACCAGGATGTGTACCTCCTCGGCACAGAGGTCGTTCCGGAACCGTGGTCGACGGGCAACGCGCGACCCCGCAGGGATGGGCGAGGAATAGGTTTGTGAATCCTTCACAGGACAGATGACTGTTGCAGTCAACGATAGTGACGCGTGTGGACTCGAAGCAGGACATCGACGTTTACAGGTAAACGTGAAGCGCTGGAGCCGCCGTCCACCACCTTCCTCTCGACCACGTACCTCTGTGTCCAATCCATACTGCGAGTACACACGACGCTACAATAGATCTACAGGAGGATTACAGAATGATTTGGTGACACTCATTGCAGGAATAATTGCAGACAAGGTACGTCGCATTGCCCTTGCGTTGCAGTTCGAGCCTGATGTTTGTATGCACCGCCGGTCCTCAGTAGCGAAACGTCCGAGTTGTCCTCACTCATCCTCGATGGGTCATACAAGGGCCGTCCTGCCGTCCGACCTGCCTCCAACTCCCCTCGCTTCCCATACCGCCGCCGCTGAGCAGCAGCGGCGGTAGTCCAGTCGGTCGCTGCAGGACGAGTCGTCCACGATTGTGCGTGCGTGGCGATGACTGCTATACATATGCATGGCACGTATCACCCTCGCGCATAGGCCATCTAACTGGTGCTTTGAGGCCTGCTCCCCCGTCGACCTACCCTTTCACCCTACCTCACGCGGCTGCTACGAACCGATTCGCAGTGGTATCCGGCGAGTACAAGACTTTCGAAGCGGACTCGCACGCTCTAGGCACCAGCAGTGTCGGCCACCGGTTCATGCCAGTGTTGGGTAATCTGTGCGCTAGCGTCCGATACGCTACCCCGCCTGCAGCCCTTCGTCTACAACCAGATGTGGGAAATGATATGACCGTCCGCCTGTGCAGGGAGATATTTGCGTCGAGAAACGAATGTTCACTTGACATAGGCTGGTAAGGAACCTCGCGCTCGGCCAGTGGTCCCCAACGACCCCGCTACCGGCATCCGCACGGCCTGTCCTTCCTCCCCGAGCGCCCTTCCGCGCTTTCAGGCTGCGTCTCTTACATCTGAAGGCCCTTTCCTCTAGCCTGGTGACTCGGTTTCAAATCTTTGCGACCTTACGGTGCGCGATCCGGCTGCGCAACCCGGGATTTGAACGGCGTGCGCCTAATAAAGGTCACACAGAGCGACCGGGCCGTCTAGACAGCGCACTCGATGGTACACGCGAAAGAAGGAGTCAAGGGTGTGGGTGAGAGGACGCGATGAGGGCAAAGACGACGAGCGCCAGACTGGGACACAGGCAGGCAGTACGCCCTTCCTTTCTATACTCATGCGCTTGCAGACTTACCAATGCGCATACCAGCTCTTCGGGTTCTGCCTTGTTGGACGCGGAGATGTGGACTCCCCTATCGTACCCACACCTGCGCAGGCGGGCCCGCGCATACCAATCGTATCCGATGTGTCCGGTTACTTTGCTGCTCTACAACGTGTCAGCGGTACGCCGAGCTCTCCGCTAGATGTACGCGCTGCCAATCACGACGATGCGCACGGCGTGTGTCTGTGCGTATCCTGCGACCTGCCGCTGTCTCTAACGGGAGCTGCGGTGCGTCTGTGCCCGTCAACTCTCACAGTATCTCATTGACTATCGATCCCATTATGCGCTACAGACATAGTGAGCCCAACGCTCGACGTGTCTGCCGTCTCCGCTGTTCAAGTGTGCGACGCTGCGCTGTGCACGTCCCATCGCGCGTGTTCCTATATCGCCTGGTGCGCGCGGTCCATACTCTGTTGTGCCGGCAGAAACGTTCCGAGCAGCGGCCCGCCGGGTGAAGGTGGCGTGGTTTTTTCCCCGATGCGCAACGCGTTGCGCATCGGGGAAAAAACCACGCCACCCCCTCCCGGCGGGCCGCGCTGCGGGCCGGCACGGCACTTGCTCTAGGAGGGTAGGGAGGGCGGAAAGCGCACGCGTTTGGCCTTCTCCAAAATCTGCACATACATTGCGAAGTGTCATAACATGATCAAGGCGAGCACATAGCATTTACAAACGACGAAAGTGTGACGTAAAGAACACAACACTTGAGCGAAGGCAATAGGAACGACTGCAATATACGAGAAGCAATATGAGAGCACAACAACAAGAAAGGGCGATATCCACAATGCACGTACGAAAAATGATACGAAAGCGATATGTACAGAAGCAACATGTGAATAGTGGTACAAGTACAACCCTGCCGGCAAATGGTGGCGAAATGCCAACAGGAATTCACCAACAACTTACTCTTCGCCCATGCGAGCACGTTTGACAGCCCTCTTCTCAACAGTCGCCATCAACTCATCAAAGTAGTCGTCATCATTGACGGCATTGGAGAGGTTTTCGCGACCAGTAATGGGCAGCGGCCCTCGTGGGTTCTTCCCCCGTGGCGCCTCCAGCTCATACTTGGACGCGAGGTCATAGACAAAGGTCCTGAGGCGGCCTTGGGCTGTCTCAGGAGCCCCAAATTTGCCCATTTTACGCATTTTACCCATCTCGTCGTCCAGCGAAGGCCGTCCCGGTGGCTTCTCTCCCTGTCCAGCTTGTGTTCTTCGTGTTGCAAAGCGTGTCAAATTGTCCACGCTGATGTCGTATTCATCCAGGAATTGATCCAGACCCGCATTGCTGGCCTTGAAGAAGGCGCGGACGCACCCTTGGAAGACACGATCCGTGGTGTTCTGCATTCGCGTGTCCCAACGTTTACTGAAGGTATTGTAAGCGCCGAGTTTGACATGCTCCGGCCCTGGCTTGGAGGCGAAGACCGGCTGGTACATTGTGTATCAGTGGAGTGCGGTGCATAGAACCACGAGCACGTACAATCGCAATCTCTTTCATCTCCCAGTCAGCCGTAGTCACTCGAGGGAGCGCTCCCAATTCTTCCACCAACAGCCTATCCTCAGGCATATTGAGATCGGCACACAGAAGCCAAGATCGGTGACGGTGCATGAAGATGTGATTGTTGATTGTGTACGTGGGAGTGAGCCAATTCTCGCCTGGTGCACCCAGGTCGTTGCCGCAGACAATCGTAATCGCAGGGTCCCGCCTGTTGTACAGCTTGTTGTAGATGTCGATCCAAGATTGTGCCCAACCCTCCTCGTCCAGCCGCACCTCGTCTGAACGAAGGTTCCTGAGATAATCCTTGTACTTTGGAGAACCGTACACCTTCTCCTCCTCGATCTTCACAAAGACAATCAGGGGATATTGGTCGTCACGGTGGTCGGTGTTCATGTACTCAATCATCTAGAAGGGCCATGAGTGTTGTCACTTTGAACAGGTATGAACGTCACGGTATACTTACGCTGAACGTCATGGAGGTCACATCCTCGCTTTTGCCAATCTCGCCCAAACCAACGACAAGCTTGGGTATGACCAATGAAGGAAAGGAGACACAGATGGCGTTGTCGGGGATGTGATTGAGAGGCTGCTGCGGAGGCGCAACAGGTTGGGACGATTTGGCTTTAGCTCGGGAACGCTGTGGCGAGGACGGAACAACAGCAGACGATTTGGATCCCAAGGCACCAGAGCTTCTGGCGTGGTTGGCCGCGGCGTGAGAGTCGTCAGGCTCAGTGTCGGTGGCACAACCGTCGGGCTGCGCATCCTGGCGCTTTCTCTTGCCCTTGGCCAACTCGGAGGATTTCTTGCCTTTCTTCGACTCCCCTGTTGCCTTTGCCGCCTTATCTGCCGCCTTCGCCTCCTCCCTGGCCAGCACTGTGGCTTCTCTGTTCTTCTTCTTCTCATCCTCCTTCCGGGAGACCGACATTGCATATGTCGTTCCCCAACGAGGGTCGTCAGGGTCGGGTGTCGGCCCCTTCAAGGTGTAAGCATTGTTCACTACGATCCCAGGCTCAAATTCCCCTATCGCCACAATCCCTGCCCGTGCTGTCTCACAGACCGTCTCATCCGTTCCTTGCACATAGGCCTGGTGAATTTCGCTCGCAGAAGACATGTGGATAGTGTGTTTTTGGCGGTCATACGTGAAACTATCGTTTCATTATGTTAGCATCTGTGCCCTGGCTGATGTGCCATACTCACCTGAAAAGCTTGTATGGGTACGGATCGGATTGAATGTGGAGATAGAGAGCGATCCAATCGTTTAAACTAGCTTCAACGGTCTACGCAATACTTAGCGACCGGCAATACCCGTAGTCTTGCACACTTACCTTGTCAACCCCACAGATGTTAGGCCAGCGAGGATCGTCGAGGAGGTGCCCAAAGAGACGCTTCAGCAGCGGCTCGGGAACAGCCTCGACGTCCGAGAGTTCAGCCTCGAGGTTCAAGAGTTCGGGCTTGAGGTCCGAGAGTTCGAGCTTGCTGGACGCAGGGCTCGAAGCATTCGAACTGCACATGTCGGAGCTCGGGGGGTTTGAATAGTAAACTGTGTAGACATTCATCAGTGGTACAAGGGCGATGAGCATGATCTAAGATGACTTACCAGGCGAAGGGTTCTGAGTGTCAGTGACAGGGATCCCACCGAGACTAGGCTGCAGCCGAGACGCCGGGTTGTTCTCGTCGGCATCCGAGTCGGTATACTTGAAATCCTTGAGATCAATGTGACTCGGCATAGGGCTGCCGGCGGCACTCACATTGTCTTCAGACATGGAATCCTCCTCAGACATGGACTCCTCCTCAGGCGGCTCGGCGTCTGAAACTTTCGCAGACGTCAAATTGTCAGCGATACGACTGAGTGACGGCAGGACCATACCGGAAAGACAACGGTCTTGAACCTCAACATCCATGTTATCGCGACTCACAAAACCCTCAGAATCACTGTCCAGAGACATGGCGTACTCTTCAGACGGCAAATCAAGCGGAAGAGGGCTCTGGGCTGGCGACGACATGAGGATTAGGGACGAGCGTGAGGGCGCGACAAGGGCGCGAGGGCGCGAGGGAGACGCCACCTGCCACCCGGCATTGCCTTATGTAAGCAGAGTCGCGCGTCTCCGCCGACACTCTCCTTGCAAGTGCATCGCCGTCCATTGCACGCACAGGTCTGAGCACTGTTAGCACCATCGACGACGGCTGCCAGGTCAAGGCACAGTGACCGGCGGGACTCGGACGGCCACGATGTAGCAGTGGATGCTACTTCGCAATACTAACACTCAGTGATTATGCGAGTCGTTTACACTCCGTACCTCTCTCGAACCGAAAGCTCAGTCACAACACGCTTTGGCTATCTCACAAAGTAGTCAAAAATCACTACGTTGATGATACTTTAAAGGTCAATGACAACAACAGATGAGAGTAGCTCGTGAGTAAAGCAGACGGAAGCGTCAGTCCGAGCCGTGTCCGTGACAAAGAACATGTATGTAAGCTCGAAGTCCCGTAGAGAACATGCAACATGAGCGACAGAAGCTTGAATGCAAGATACATGCAAGAGGCAAAGTCAAAGTTTCATGCAATATTCCACGGCTCAGAGGCCCGCGGCAGATGCGAGTAGGGTGAAATTCGGCGTGCCAAGCCCCGTAACCTGCGAGAGCCATCATCGTCGTTAGAACGCCACAACGCACAACACGACACAGAACAGCACTTACAGGATCCCATCCCTGCGCGGCGTAAAACCCAGTCGTACCCCCGCTGCACGCGAGGTTGTTCCCGCCCACGACATCATTCAGCGCGCCCATACCCGCCGCGGTGCTATACAGCCACGGGTTCAAGAACCCGAGCACGCTCTTGCCCGCGCTGAGCAGCTGGTCGTTCAGCAGCGCGACGATCGCCGCGAACGTCGGCGTCGAGCAGCTCGTCCCGCTCACGATGAGCGACACCGCGCCGGACTTGATGTCGTACCGCGTGCCGTACGCCGACACGTCCGGGTATGCGCGGCCGGTCGTGTTGAAGAGCCCGCTCGAGTTCGACCCGAGCGCGCTGAGGTACGAGGCGACGGCGGCGGACTGGTAGGCGGGCTGTGCGAAGTAGTTCGAGAAGCCACCCCCGGAGAAGCTTGCTCCGATCTCGGTGGGCTGCTCGGTCGTCGCGCCGACGGTGGTCACACTAGGGGAGGTCAGGAGAGGAAGGACGAAGCTGGGGCGCACGCACTAGGGACAGCTCGCAGGGAAGACAGGCACGAACTCCGTGCAGTTGTCGGATGCCTGGTTGCCGGACACACCGCCGTCGCCAGAAGCGTAGAGGATGGAGACACCCCGCGCACCCAGCTGAGCGTAGGCGTTGCAAATGGAGCTATATAGAGACTGAGTAACGAATGTTGGGTGCCCGTCGACAGACCTACTTTGCGAGCTTCTCAGAGAGCACGTTTTCGTTATCGCCGTAGCTGGTGGACACGACTTGCGGTGGGCTGTCCATGCTGAGGAGGTAGTTTGCAGCGTCGAGCAGGGCATCGTCGAAGGAGCCGCCGACGGTGACGAAGTAGGCAGAAACGTTAGTTGCGAGACCGACAGCGTACTCGATGTCAAGATTCTAATCCAGGTCTGATTTCAATTGTATACTCGAATCGTGCAGCTGGAGTACTGACCGCCTCGGTCCCCGCGTTCTCTCTCCACTGCGGGTCCGTACCGTTGTTTACGCTGATGACAGAATAAGTCGTGGTGTTGCTAACATCGGGTCTGTACGCCGTTAGGAAACTCTGTCAGATCATGTCAACAGTGATATGTGCACAGAATTCGGCGTACGCACCTGCAAGTCCGCCTGCTCTGCATAGATGCCATCATACCCAGTCACCGCTATCTGGTTGGAGGACTGAGTAGCCGGGGTTGTTGGAATCCCATACATGGCCTGCAGGCATTCCGGTACCATGTTCGGGCTACCGGATCCGCAGGGCGTGACGTCGCGTGCCTCGACTTCTCCGGTATCCTCGCGCCTCGTCCAGGACTCCAGGATAGGTGAGTGGTTGATCACCGAAGGGAATCTGAACGTGAATCCGTCGATCCATCAGCTGTCGGGCAGGAGAAGCGTAGTACGCACGTGGTCGTCGGGTGGACGCAGTCAATGTGGGCCTGCAGGTCCGTAGGGAGCGAATATTCGAGCGTGCGAATGGTCTCCGTACTGGTAGCGTCGTGCGTGAAGAGCGAGTATTCTGCGGAGAGGAGCGAGTTGGCCTGTGAAACGGAGATATTGACTGCGAGCCAGTCCCGGGCGGGAGAGACCGCGGTGGCGTTTAGCCCGTTCTTGTTCAACCACGTTGTTGCAGCTGAGAAGCTGTCCGACGTGGGCGCGACAAAGGCTTCGACCTATAGAAGCGATGAGTGGGCCTGCGCTCGTATGTGATCGAACGCCGCACGTACCTCCTCCCTCGACAGATGCTGACCATACTTGTCGCTCGACGGATCACTCACATCGTTCAACGCATCATACAACCCCTGTAGGTTATTCTGCACCAAACCAATACGCAGACTCAGCATATGGTCTGCGTTTGCTGCGCCGCTGTGAGTAAAGCCCAACGGGGCGGCATCCCGTCTTTCATGAACTCGCAAGGAATGTGTTGTGGATTCACCGAGAACGAGCGTGGAGAGCAAGAGAACGACAGTGCAGACGGCGACCATGGTGGCCGACTACTGCAAAATCACCGCGGCGACTGGGGCTCAGGGGACGTGGTGGTTGCAGCGAGGGTCACTGCGCAGGCGCATGTTCTCTTCTTCAGCGTCCGGTGATCACCCTCGAAGGATGACCCCGTCCTGCGCCGATGAGTCGGGCGACGCGTGGTCGCCTTTGCATGACGCGCTACTGAGACCGGCGACTTACGGGCGAATCAGACATCAGCACCACCAGTCGTCCTTGGCAGAGAGCCTCGGTCAGCTCAACATTGACTGAGTACTAGGTGATATCGTCCGTGGTCGTCTTCCTGGAGGATGCTTGCATTGGACAAGTTTCTTTGAGTAGTTGGCTAGCAAGGACGATGGCTGTTAGATCTTGTACATGGCGTTCGGACGGATGAGGTGGAGGGACGCAACATCGCTCAAATCGATATTCAAAATCAACTCGCAGCCGTTGCGGTTTATGTAAGCGCATATGTTCAGCCACAAGCCGCTCGGTTCTTTCTTTGCCTCAGTCTCAGTCTGCCCAAGCGCACTACCATGTCTCTACGCACAATGACTTACCCCAGCATTCGCCTCTTCTTCGTTACAGTATACGCCCTAGGTGTATCCCTCGTCACTTACAAGAGGAAGTAGGAAGGGACGCTGATGTCCGGCGGGAACCCGTACGTCGCCCTCCGAGTCGCCGCGTCGTGGCTTAACGCTTTAGTCCTGAGCTTTCTCCATGACCCGTGTTGGTGTCGTATGATGTGTATGTGCGCTGAGCTTTTGGAGTGCCAGCTCAGCGTCCAACGAAGTCAGACGGCGCATACTGGCAATCGACCTCGGAAGTCTGACCTAGACATGGACCGACGGTGTGCAGATGCCGTGCATGTACCATGCTATACAGGCGCATTGATCCAGCATTGATACCTCGAGTTTCATATCCGCATGAGGACACGGTTTGATTTCACCGATGCTGTCAAGAGTTTGAAGATGCATCTTAGATGCAATGTAACACCGGTCTCACGAGCTGAGTGTCCTCATCACCGATTCCCTCGCATCGCCATCCCGCCCAATCTCGATTCCGTACGGGAAGTACAAAACTCCTCGCAGCGTCAGCTTCTTCCTCCCCGACCCAAGTCTTCTCTACTGTGCTCATCGTCGAGACCATCTATAAGTAGGATGGTAGGCTTCCTTAGGACTCTGGTGGGAGCTTCGGCTTTGAGCGTCGCGTGGAGCAAGCCTCTGGCTCGCCGCGCCTTGCAGCTGCACGAGGCTCGCGCGATGGCACCGACTGATTACACGCTTTACTCGTCTGCGTCGCCCGACACGGTACTCAACCTACGGATCGCGCTGGCTCAGAACAACGTTGACGGGCTTATTGACACCCTCTATGATGTCAGCGATCCGGAAAGTTCCAACTATGGACAGTACCTGTCGAAGGAGGAGGTATGTTCTCCAAGTCTTCAACTTGTATTTGCGTAGACCGCTGACCTGCTGCCACAGGTCGAAGCTTATGTCAAGCCTACGGAAGAGAGTGTGGACGCCATGAACGCGTGGCTCAGTGAAAACGAGCTCGTGGCAACGCCCTTATCACCTTCTGGTGACTGGATTTCGGTTGATATCCCAGTCAACAAAGCAAATGATATGCTCGACGCGGATTTCTCTGTCTTCACGCACAAGGTCACCGGCGCGCAGACCGTTCGGACACTTCAATACTCGATCCCCGTCGACTTAGCTCCCCATGTGGACCTCATTCATCCCACTGTCACGTCCGTGCTCCATCTCATGTCACTCGCATGTCTGTCTGACGAGGAGAAACACACAGGTTCCCTGTCGAGGTGGTGAACAAGGCTGTACCTGCTTTGGCTGCGGTCCCAAATCCCTATAGCCAGGCCGTCGCGCCTGACGCGAACATCTCCGCCGTCTGCGGGCCGTACAACCTGCCGAACATCACGACGGCATGCCTCCAATACCTCTACGGCATCCCGACTACTCCTGCCACTGCCTCCGGCAATGGCATACTCGTCGCGGGTTATGTTGAGGAATACGCGAACGCGGATGATCTGAAGGTCTGTTACAATGGGCGCGAATAAATATGTCTCATGCTCACCCTTGCATTTAGATATTCCTAGAGCGGTACAGGCCAGACGTGGATCCTTCGACAACCTTCGCTACCGAAACGATTGACGGAGGCGATAACCTGCAGAACGTCACCGCTGGATCTGAAGGAGTGAGTACATTGTTGCTCATCAAGGAAAGCGACTTAACAGGATGATCTTAGAACCTGGACATCCAGTACACTGTAGGCCTCGCCACCGACGTCCCGGTAACCTACCTCTTGGCCGGGGAAGACACCCATGATGGCCTGTCCGGATTCCTCGACACGGCCAACTATGTCTTGAACCAAACATCGATCCCTCCGGTCATGACGACGAGCTATTCCTCCAACGAGGACGTGATTTCGGAGAAGCTGGCTTAGTGCGTTCTCATCTTCATTGTCGTACAGCCCTGCCGATAACTCAACTACTCGTGTGACTGCGCAGTAATCTCTGCAACGCGTACGCTCAGCTCAGCGCGCGCGGCGTGTCGATCTTCTTTTCTTCCGGCGACGGCGGCGTGTCGGGTACCGGCTTCCAGGACTGCACGACGTTCGTGCCTACCTTCCCGAACACCTGCCCATAGTGAGTCCGGCCGCATCTTAGCTCGCTTGCGCCGCTGTCACTCACCTACTATCCTCGGAACCCAGCGTGACCTCGGTAGGTGCCACTGGTGCGGACATCAACTGGGCCGACCAGGGCGGCGTGCCCTTTTCGAGCGGCGGCTTCTCGAATTACTTCCCTACGCCAGCCTTCCAATCCTCTGCCGTCGCAGGCTTCCTCGCGCAACTCGGCAGCAATGACACGGGGTTGTACAACGCGTCTGGCCGCGGCTTCCCGGACGTGGCCGGCTTCGGCGTATTATTTGCGACCGTGGTCGATGGCGCGTATGCGCCCTCGACGGGCACGAGCTGCTCGACGCCGATGTGGGCGAGTATCGTCGCGCTGCTGAACGACGAGCTGCTCAATGCGGGTAAACCTGTGCTCGGCTTCCTGAACCCGTGGTTGTACTCGAAGGCAGCGGGCGCGCTGACGGATATCGTGAAAGGAAACAACAAAGAGTGCCAAGGACCTAATGGGACGGCGACTGGCTTCGTGGCGACGACAGGGTGGGACCCTGTGAGTATTCTTACATCGGCCTCAGGGAACTCGCGTGCTAATTGAGCCATTCGAAAGATCACGGGCCTTGGGACACCTATCTACGACAAATTGCGAGCAGCTGCAGGGCTCTGATCTTTATCGTGAATTTGCAACCTGGACTCTGGGAACGAACACTCTGGATTTTTTCATACTGGGCTCTGAGCGAAGAGGGTCAAGGACTTCTGGCGAACACTATACATACTTACATACGTACTGACAATGTACATTACGAGCGATACTCATGATTTGATGCATGGAAGATCACTTGTTCAGTAAGGGATGCTGCACGCCTGTCAGTCCTAGCGACATTTCTCGGCAGCGCTCATGCGACCGTCATCGTGTATACGCTTCCGGGGCCCTTTTTTGCAAGGACCGTCCACCGAGTGGTGTAACATTTGTTCGCGCAGACAAAAAAGTGGTCTACGTTACCAGACTGTCCGAGAACTCAGCCCACATTGCAACGTGCTCTCCAGGCAACGTTGCGAGAATGGCGCTGCAGGCCGATTAGGGTATCGTTACTTCGCATCAGGTTGTACGACCTTCGCTTCTCTTACGGACGATTATGTTTAGGCACATATCCGGCAGGCCGCATGCTCAGCTCTACGAGTCTTGCTCGGACGCGTCTGTCATGCGTAGGCGGCTTTCTCCTGCGTAGACGGTATATAAGGTGTGGGTAGCAAGCCGTCTCTGCATCGAACGCACTCAGCTAAGATGTCTCACGCAAACCTCACGCTCTCCTACTACGTCTGGGCTCCCGACAGCAAGGCTGGCGACGTCGTCCAGAAACGTCAGGCCATCCTCGCCGAGCACACCGAGTGGATCACTGCCCGCCGCGCGGATGGAAGCGTCCGTAAGTAGTCTTTGCCTCGCTGTTCTTCGATCTTTCTCTCGTTGCCATTGCCGGAGGTACCGCGGTCACTGACGACCTATTGCTCGTATCTAGTGTACGGCGGCGCTATTCTCGCGAAGGACGTCAAGCTCCCGCTCGCCTCCAACCCCGAGATCGCGGGCACCATCTTGATCGTCAAGGCGAACAGCCTGGAGGCCGCGCGCAAGCTCATTGAGCAGGAGCCGTACTACAAGGCCGGTGTGGTGAGTAGCATGCTTCTTAGTAGATAGCCGACTTGCTGAGCTTTGTCGTGCTTCATTAGTGGGACACCAGCGACCTCAAGGTCGCGCCCGTTCTGTCCAGGGCTTAGGCCGGGGCCGACTCGTATGAGATGATGTCTCTTAGCGTGCAAAGAAACGCGCACCAGTTGTCTATGTGTCGTACAAATGATATAGAGGTTGATGGTCCGAGTCCTCTGAGTGGGATCATGCGTCTCAGTTCTCCGTCGTGCCAGAGGCAGTTGAGCGCGTGAGGTCACTGAAATCGCCCTCGTGTCAGACCATGTCACCATGAACATAGTCCGTAATTATTTTGCGAGCTTGGCATTTCTTTCATGCGCTCGCACTCGTGTCAGAAGTTGGACAGTTTGACGTTGTCGAGAGTCTATGGTCACTCGAAGATCTGCGCTATTAACCTTTGATTAGCCTATAATCCTCGTAGAAGAGTCACTTGCATAGCATACACTTACTGACATATCTCTATGAGTCTATTGAGATCGGACGTTCTGCGTGTCTTGTGGGCTTGGAGTATTATTACAGCATGCATTGAGCAAACACAGTAGTCTCCGCGTCTCCGACGCGTGTTGCGCTAGAGCTTGCCCTAAAGCCCTCACGTGAAGACGTACTACGGAGCGCTCATTCGGTGCATACTTGATAGTGACGGCGATACCAAGCTTTGCGAATCAACTTCCTGGTACGTTTTCTAACATCGTTGAGTATTACTGCCTAGTTACTGATTCGTGTGATCCATTGATTAGGAATACAATATGCCCCACCACATTCCGATCTCTTGCGCTAATAGGCCCCAAGGGTGGCTGCCTTATGCTATCAGAAAGGTTCGTACGTCTGCTGACGTTCTGATTATTACCCAGAGGCCGCGTCGATTCCCGTCGCTGCTGGCACTAGACAGGCTCGGACGGGCATAGAAGCACCACCGCATTCCGGGCAGTGCGTCCCATCATCTGTGCTACTCACGGAGTCGCACCTCGCTTGCATATTGGGTCCGCTGGATCGAGCATAGCAAAATATATGCCCCTCATTCAGTACAACTCGTCCCCAGTGGGGCTGCTCTATCGTGTCTGTTGCTGAGGGCACGTGACAAGCCGCTCGTTACACGGAAAGCGACACCGCGGCGCAGGGCGCACCTGGGCTGACGAAAGGGTTGTCAATCGATCGTACGTCAAACGAATGGCATTGGCTGTTATTCCGGCGCAGCGCGGTGGCTAGCCCGGGTTTGGTTGCGTTCTCCTAACCGGCTGGTTGGGAGGGGGCAGACAAGTACCGGATATCTACACGTCGTGTGGGTCGATTTTTTGATGCTTTGAGTTTGAACTTATTGAACTCAGGCCGCTTCGTCAATATACACCTTACCCAAGTAGAATTATCCACTTCCACTAGGATTGTTCAAGTCTTCAACGTCTAACTTGCCTTCATCCACGGATCGACCAGCACCATCTACATAATTGTATTCAGAGAAACCAGACGCGCGGACCTACTTGCCGGCCCAACTACTGCCTCTCGGCCTACCCATCCTGACCTGGTTAGACAAGCTCAGCCATACATGTCGTCACACATACCTCCCCTTGCGTACGACACGAAAATTCAAGGAATCTAACAGCAATTCAGGGCGCGTGAACGCAGCGCGTTGAATTTTGAGCATATGTATTCTCGGTCATGGAAGGTCAGCCCGCATATTACGCCACGATGTTCTTGGTTTCTCTAATAACATACCCGCCTCAGACCGCTTCCACAGCTTAGTCTCCTGGTCTCCAACTATGGCGTCGGGCCAACCACCACTCGCCGGCTACATGTACATGTATACAGCCTTCGACCCCGACAACTATTAAGGCGTCGAGCGCGACGACCCAGTCGGAAATGCGCGAGATCGAGATGTGGACGCGGCCGCACTACTGGCGCGGACAGGGCCAGAACGACCATAATCGCAAGCTGGAAAGGCTGTGGGACTGCGGCGGCGAGAAGGGTGAAGCCGATGATGGTTCAGGCTGGACGATAACTGTGTTAGGATACCGCTTGAACCGTGAGTCAGATCTCGTCTTCTTGCATCTGAATACAGGAGTTGTGAAGGTGCTCTGGAAATGCTTTATGTGCCACGAGCACACTGAGTCTGTACTGCGTCAGGACGCGTGGGCCCCGGATTCCTCAGTAGCATCATCGGCAACTGATTACAGTAATTGACAGGCACGTCCGAATTCCATGAGCGCGATCCCCACCGTTCCATGCATGGTGCCTCACCCGAGAAGGCACTATGTAACATTCTTCACGCTCCGAATGTCGTCTCCGTTCTAGAACGACATCCGGCGGCGACTTGCATTACCTTTTCTCAACCACCGCGCCGCATGAGGGGTATTGGACCGCCGGAATGCTGGGGATTTAACTTGCCTGCGCGATCATTTGCTATGAAGTGAGGGATGCTATGCATGCCTGCGAGTCCTGCTGGCCTGATGAAGACTGAGCAGGCATCGTGTGCAATGCATCGTTCTACGTACGTTTCGATTGTCTGCCGGGTCCGTTCGCTGAGCCATGAGACATTCTTCGTACAGTCAAAATGGTCAATTTCTCTACCAGGTCGTCCGAGAACCTTAGGCGGCATGCAACGTGCTGCCCAAAGGCCCCAGGCGACATTCCGATTATGGCGCTGCAGCCCATTTTTGGTACCGCTACTGCGCACGAAGCTGGATGAGTCTCGCTTCTGTTACGCTCGATTATGGTGAGGCACATACGGGGCACGCCACATGTTCGGCTCTCGGACTCTTACTCGGACGCGTCTGTCACGCGTAGGCGACCCTCTCGTGCGTGGACCGTATATAAGGTGTAGGTAGCGAGCCGTCTCGGCATCGAACGCACTCGGCTAAGATGTCTCAAGCAAACCTCACGCTCTCCTACTACGTCTGGGCTCCCGACAGCAAGGCTGGCGACGTCGCTCAGAAACGTCAGGCCATCCTCGCCGAGTACACCGATTGGCACACTGCCCGCCTCGCAGATGGAAGCGTCCGTGAGTCGTCGTTCTATTCTCGCTAGATTCTGGTCACGGGAGGAACTGTTAATAACCGATTGCTTTCATGCAGAGTACGGCGGCGCCATCCTCACGAAGGACACGAAGCTCCCACTCGCCTCCAACCCCGAGGTCGCGGGCACCATCTTGATCGTCAAGGCGGCCAGCCTGGAGGCCGCGCACAAGCTCGTCGAGCAGGATCCGTGCTACAAGGCCGGCGTGGTGAGTGGAATACGTCTTAGCAGATGAGTGACGTGCTGATCGCGCCCGGTACTTGATCAGTGGGACACCTCCGCCCTCAAGATTGCGCCTGTCCTGTCCAGGACTTAGGCAGGGGCTGAGCCGCACGGCATTTCTTGACATGTAAAGCGACACGTACCAGTTGTGCAGGGCCGTGCAAATGCTATGGAGTTGACGGTTATCTATGATTGTTCTCTGTCTGGGTTGAGTATTGACTGCGTCAACCCTCCGATCGCCACTGCTGTTTGTGAGCTGCCGGATGTCCGAGACGATGCACACACATCGTGAGCCCTGCATCTGTATGCTGGCTTCATGCACATTCTCCTGGCCTGTCAAGGTGAAATCAGCGGACCTGGTATCGTGTTTCTGGTGAAGCAATTCGGATCAGTTGGTGTGCAACGTACTGTACCTCAGCCACGAGCACTCAGCAGGCCGCGACTGAGAGCTACGGTCCGGTACGTATACGACGCGTACGCCGCGCCCGCCCGTACGGTGCGCACTGCGGCGTCGCGCGACCGTCGCGGACCGCGCGCGCGAATGCCTACCCTGAATGAAGTCATGTGATAGAGACGCGCTGACGTCACGACGATTCGGTACGCGAAACATACAGTACATAACATATGTATGGCACCAAGTTCTGTTCTGGGATCCTATAGCCTACTGAACCGGAGGCAGCTCAGTGTACACCAGCAGTACACAGGTGCGTTTGATTCGGTGTCTCTCTAAAGTATTCTGCTTCGACATGTCTTACATTTTACTAGTACTGAAAACAGTGGGGTCTGCAGCTGGTGTTCCACGAGAAGCTGCACAAGAATCCCGACATCGTGAGTCTTCATATAATTAGGGTTACGTGCCACTAGATACTAAGTATCTCACGTCAGAAAAACATACCTCGCCATGCCTTTCAAACGGCCCGCGCCTGAGCCACATCCTCGCTCAGCCTCTCAATCAGAGTCCTCGTCCTCGATTCTCCGACCGCTGAAGCACGCTCGTCTCGATTCCTCAGAGAAGGTCCTGTCGAACGTTACTTTGTACATCGTGCAGGCGAAGCTTGATCCATCTAGTCTTCCAGAACTGTTTCGGCTCGCGGAGCGGCATGCCCAACGTCTGTGCTCAGATGCCAACGACGCCGACGTGATAATCACGGCGATACACATGAAACGACGTCTTGAACGACATATCCCTTGGAACCTTGCTGTGAGCGATGCCTTCGCTTCTGTGTCCTCCGCCTTCGAGATGAAACCTGACTCGGATGCCTGATTGTGTCTTTGCAGAAGCAGAAGGCGATAGTAACGCCCCAATGGCTTCGGGATAGCGTGAAACAGAAGAAACCCCTTCCGTGCGGAGACTACGCTGCTGTTGAAGAGCTCCGGACTGAGACGGTGGAGAACTGCCCAGACTGTAACCTTGCATCATGCGTCTGCGGGGACTCGGATTCAGACGTAGAGACTCCATCCAGTCATGTCCCTTTCGAGGAGAAGCACCTACAACCACGACCGCAAATCCCGCGTCCGACTTCACCTACACCTGCCCTGGAGCTATTGACACCTAGATCTCTACGGATGGATACAAATGTTGAGGCGATGGTGAAGCAGACTGCGGAGGACAACATACCAGTTCGTCTCTTGCCTCCGGATCCGCCCATCCCGACGCGTTTGGACAAGCTCGACTACACGTCTCGCTACTCTTGTCAGCGCGCATCCCCTCTTGTATGTCCGAATCAGGACCTTGTACGAGAACTCGACATAGTGCATCGATCTCGTGCTATGGAGGGCGAGGAACGCAGCGCGTTGAGCTACGAACGTGCAATATCGGTCATCAAAGGTCAGTTTGCACTGCTGCGTCGCGATGCATGCTCATATCAGCGTTCAGCGTACCCGCAGCGCATCACCTCCGTCTCGCAGGTACAGAAGTTGCCTTTCATTGGGCAGAAGACAGGCACCATGGTGCGCCCCCATGTCATTATCACTATGGCGCGCGGCAGACGTTCGTCTAGGTGGAACAATTCGTCAACACCGGCAAGATTGACGAAGCGCGTGCGTCTTCGTCTGCCACCGCCCCCACCCGAACTCACTCACATCGTCCCTCAGAGACTATACTCGCATCGGACCGCTTCAAGGCTCTCAGCCTCTTCACCTCTATCTATGGCATCGGGCCCAACACCGCCCGCCGTTTATATAGCTTCGGCCTGCGCACCATCAACGACCTGGAGGTCTACTACGGTGTCGAGCGCGACGACCCGCCCGACCCAGCCCAATCAGAACTGCACGAGCTCGACATGCAGAAGCGGCCACAGTACTGGCGCGGACAGGACCAGAGCGCTACCGACCGCAAGCGGGGGAAGCTCGGGAACTTCGGCGGAGAGAAGGGCGAGGGTGATGAAGGCCTGGGGGATAGCTGGATCAGGGTCGCGCTGGAATTGCGCGAGGATCTCGCTGTGAAGTGCGTGCGATCCATATGCTTGGAGGCCGTATCAGCGTTGACTGAAGGAGAGACTGCAGAATACCGCGAGCGGAGGTTGAAGAGATGGGGCGCATCGGCATGGCTGAGCTGGACGAGCTCGAGCCGGGGTGCGTCAGTACGATCGTTGGAGGGTACCGGCGCGGCAAGCCAGAGAGCAATGACGTCGACATCGTCTTCACGCACCCGGACGCGGAGGTCGTGAAGGGGCTCTGCAAGCGGTTTGTGCGCAGGCTATACGAACGCGGTACGTCGGCGTTGTCTCCTTGTGCTGCGCGTATGACGTTTCTCACCCGTGCACAGGGATGGTCAGCCATGTCATGCGTAAGTCCTCCGAACTCATAGGTAACGCAACCACTGCTGACCGCGTGGCAGACCTATCTGGCTTTCATGGACACAACCCCCTCCGAACTACCCATTGGGACTCGCTCGAGAAGGCGCTGACCGTCTTTACGCTGCCGACATCGACCCCGTTCCACAACGGCGTCCGACGGCGCCTCGACTTGATATTTGCACCACCGGAAGTGTACTGGACCGCTGTGATTGGCTGGTGAGTAGTTGCTCGTCGGACGATCAATCATGGCTGGTCCGATGAGGTCTTCGCAGGTCGGGCTCGATTATGTTCCAACGGGACCTCAGACAATGGGCAAAAGATAAACTGTATGTATGCGCCGTTTCCTCTTGGCGCTTGCACTGACTGGACGTTTTAATGAAGCGCCATGAAGTTCGATAGCTCAGGAATGTGAGTAGCATGTTTGTTCGTGGCACCGACGCTCGCTCGCTCTTACACCGCTGGCTCGGAACAGCACACGACGGTACGATTCGAAGATGTTCTTCCCCAAGACGGAGAAGGAGGCATTCGATCTTTTCGGTCTTGAATGGGTAGAGCCGAAGTGGAGGAACGCGGACGCATGAGCGCGCCTTCGGACTGCGAAATGCACCTCAACAGCGCCATAATCTTCCAGTCCGTGATGAGTTCGCGCTTGGGTTCTCTCTCGGTTTTTTCTGTATTGCTAGCTGTCTCCTCTTCGTACTTGTAGCCCTGTTATGTAGCTTACCACCGCCTACCTACACTTCGCCTTCGCGTCTTCGGTATATGTCCCGTTTGTGATGTATCACCACCCACTTGGTCTACATGTCAGCTATCCAATGCGACTATCTTGATACACTAAGATACAGCAAGCTTGATTCAGTTCGCGAATGCCTGGATGTCGGTCATCGCCTTGCCCAGGATCAATGTATGAATGTCCTGTGAAACATCAACAATCAGTACACCAGCGTCCTCGACAGGGAGATGGAACAGTGATCACGCACGTATGTCCCTAAGGAAAGCGTACGAATTAGCCCGGCATCTATTATCATCGAAGGGAGGCAACGTACCTTCATACGTGTTGACGACCTGCAGGTTCGCGACATGGCGGCCAACGTGGTACCTGGCAAAAGCACTGAGACACCATACCCAAACGAACACACGAAGCGAACTGACTCATCGGAGCACGCATTGCCGCCCAGGATATCCAGCACTCTCCTCGCGTGCTCAAGCGCCTTCCCGCAGTTGTTGCGCTTCACGAGGCTGATCATCTGCGGCGCGCTCTTGCCCTCGTCCTTCAGCCGGCCCACCTATTCAAGCGGGCTCAGCGCATGCAATGTCACCGGCGGACGAGGGAAGCGCACCTGGTAGCTCGCATGGAGCCCGAGGGCGGCCTCCGTCTGCGCGTCGACGAGCTTCTTCTGCACGAGCTGGAACGACGCGAGCGGGCGCCCGAACTGCTGCCGCTCGAGCGCGTACGCGCGCGTGCGGTCGATGCAGTCCTCCAGCGCGCCCATCGCGCCCCACGAGATACCGTACCTGCAACGGTGGAGACGTCAGTCGGGTTTGCGCGAGGGGAGCCGGGCGTGGCGCACCGAGCGCTGTTCAGACAGCCGAAGGGCCCGGCGAGGCCCTTCACCTTGGGGAGGAGCGCGTCGTGCCCGACGTGGACGCTGTCCATGAATATGGAGCCAGTGAGCGAACACCGCAACGCGAGCTTGTTCTTGATCGCGGGCGCGGAGAGGCCCTTCGTGCCCTGCCACAGGTCCATCAATCCTTCTGGTGGAGCGGTGAGGCAAACGGGACTCGACGAACCTTCTCGAGGAGGAACCCGCGCACTTTGCCGTCCCACTTGCAGCGCGCCCAGACAACGAAGAGATCACTGCAACATTGTGAGCAAGGATGAACGATTCTCTATGGGAGGGACAGCCTGACGCGATGGGTGCATTCGTGATCCATGTCTTGGCTCCATTCAGGACGAAGCCGCCATCGACTTCTTCGGCGACGGTCTCCATCCCAGCGGGATCGGAGCCGTGATTCGGCTCTGTAAGGCCCTAGAAGAGCAGATTGAGAACAATCATGGCGAAAGAGATGAGAAGGCTCACGAAGCATCCGACAATCTCGCCCTTCGCTGGGGGTCATGTCAGTTTCTCGTCCTGTTAGAAGCTAAGCAGCTCGCGAATTGACATGCTCACCAAGGCGTGGAAGGTACTTCTCCTTCTGCGCTTCGCTGCCATATTCGTTGATAGGGTGCATCACCAGCGATGACTGCACAGACATGGTCGACCGATACCCGGAATCTACCCTATTCAGGACATGACAGGTCGATGGAGGCTTCCCAATCCACAGCTACAGACGAGCACTCACCTCTCGACTTCACGCGCAATGAGACCATATGCAACGCTGCTTACACCGGCGCAGCCGTAGCCTTGAATTGTAGGTCCAAGGAGTCCGAGCGCGCCCATGGAGGGCAGAACATCATGACTGAACTCTGCAATACGGCTCGGTTAATGAAGACCACATCTGTCAGTTCCGGAGGTGCGCACCTTCTGTACGCAATGCGTGGAGAACCTTTGGCATGAGATGCTCCTACTAAACGGTTCGTCGCTGGAGCAACATGGAAGGCAAGGCTTAGAATACATGCCTGACAAAAGGCTCGAGCGGTGTCCCTAGCAATACGCCTGAGACTAAAATTCCCGTCTTAATTTGTGAAGACATACCTGATAGCGACCTCTTCTTCCGTCAACAAACTGTCCAGACTCAACGGATCCTGTGGTTCATGATAAGCTTGCTAGACTCTGACAGCGGCGTTCGGCTGCCAACGTACCTCCCAGTAAAACTTCGCATATGCTGACAGACATGGAAAGCGAAATCAATCATTCGTTGATCATTCAAGTTGTGGGCATGATGCATACTCGACTGCAAGCGTCTTGGGGTTGTTGCGCTCAGCTTCTCGAGACCTGCGGAACGAAGCGGTAATCGGGGGAACTTGACGAGCATGGTTGGACTTTGCGAGCACTGCAGCGCGAATTCGAAAAGCAAGAAGGAAAGAGCAACAGCACTTAGGAGGTGAAGGCCAGTGCTCAACCTGAGCGACCAGGTTCCGACTCGCCGAAAGCCTCAAGTGCGGGGCAGACCTGGGGCAGACGTGCCATCGGGAGCTGGATCTAGGCGCCTGTACCACGGGCGCTGGAATCTGTGCCGTACTTGGCCCGCGCCTCCGAGTCCTCCTCTGCGGCCAACCTGCCTTGCCCCCGCGACTGCCTGCATCCCCCACTTCCAGGGCAACGAGCGAGCAGGTGCGGGACGGACCTCACTCTGGCTTCTTGGGACGAGCTCTGAGTCGGACTGACCCACCGCGCTCTCTCTGGCTCGCTGACTGACCTCTTCACCGTCATGGGGCCACCAGAAGGCCCTCAAGCCCGGCAACTGCAAGGTTCCTAGTCTCGCCGCAAGACCCTTCAGTAGTTTCACGTGCGACGGGTTTGTGTCGAGCCTAGCAAGCATGCGCACCCGGCACTACCGCGGCTTCTTCGATCTCTTCGGCCGCGACACCGCTCTCAGTAAAGCATGCTGCATGTCCCCGAAGGTCCCCGAGCTCCCTCAGCGACAAGCCAACCGCCAGTGCGCACTAACTTACCTTGGTAACGAGCCGTGTGGCCGCGGCAACATTACCGATAACCTCGAGCAATTCTACCCTTGACGGTAGCTGCAAGGTAGCTGTCAACGTTGGCCTAATCCAACTACAGTAGTGGTGATGATCTTTGATTCATCCGTCGTAAGTCATTCCCAGTTACCCCAAAGGCGACACGGGTCGCAGGGACGCGTTGGGTGATGTGAGCGACCTGTCGAGTGACAAGTACGGCGAGCACCTGTCGAAGGAGGAGGTACGTGAGGCGTTAGCTTATATATGCGCAGGCCGACTTATCACTCCTCCTAGGTCGAGGCCTTTGTCGCACCCACGTCGAATAGGACTGCAGCTGTAACAGCATGGATGAATGAGAATTGGCCAAACGCCACTGCTACCTCTTCGGCCTCGGGACCAACGTCTCAGTTGCACAGGCCAACTCGCTCCTGTCCGCAAAGTATTCACTCTTCACGCACGATGGCACCGGCGCTGAGGCCATCCGCAGTACCCCAGCTGCGCGATTCGATCAATGAATTGAGAGCGGACGTGGGCTGGAACCTTGATGAACAGTACGCCGTAGGTCCTGCCATTGACATTCCCGCCCACTTCATTACTGTCGGCGGCTCCTTCGACGATGCCCTGCTCGACGCTGCAACTACCTCCTTAGCATGGACATCCCGCCGCAAGTCGTCTTAACCAACCACGGCGACAACGAAAAATCTCCTCTGTGAGAAGCTCGCAGTGGTTCTATGAATGAACACGCACCAATCGTTACTCAGTATCTATATGTATAGCTCCATTTGCAACGCCTACGCTCAGCTGGGTGCGCGGGGCGTCCCCATCCTCTATGCTTCTGGCGACGGCGGTGTCTCCGGCAACCAGGCATCCGACAATCGCACGGAATTTGTGCCTGTCTTCCCTGCGAGCTGTCCCTAGTACGTGCACCCCAGCTTTACCCTTCCTCCTCTGACCTCCCCTAGTGTGACCACCGTCGGCGCGACGACCGAGTAGCCCACCGAGATCGGAGCGAGCTTCTCCGGGGGCGGCCTCTCGAACTACTTCGCACAGCCCGCCTACCAGTCTGCCGCCGTCGCGTCGTACCTCAGCGCGCTCGGGTCGAACTCGAGCGGGCTCTTCAACGCGACCGGCCGCGCGTACCCGGACGTGTCGGCGTACGGAACACGGTACGACATCAAGGCCGGCGCGGTGTCGCTCATCGTGAGCGGGACGAGCTGCTCGACGCCGACGTTCGCGGCGATCGTCGCGCTGCTGAACGACCAGCTGCTCAGCGCGGGCAAGAGCGTACTCCAGTGTATAGCACCGCAGCGGGCACGGGCGCGCTGAATGATGTCGTGAGCGGGAACAACCCGCGTGCAACGGGGGTACGCCTGGGTTTTACGCCGCGCAGGGATGGGTTCCTGTAAGTGCGGTACGTGTCGTCTTGTGCGTGGTGGACTTCTGATGATGCTCTCGCAGGTTACGGGGCTCGGCACGCCGAACTTCACCCTACTCGCATCTGCCGCGGGCCTCTGAGCCGTGGAATATTGCATGAAACTTTGACTTTGCCCCTTGCATGTACCTTGCATCCAAGCTTATGTCGCTCATGTTGCATGTTCTCTACGGGACTTCCAGCTTACATACATGTTCTTCGTCACGGACACGGCTCGGACTGACACTTCCGTCTGCTTTACTCACGAGCTACTCTCATCTGTTGTTGTCATTGACCTTTAAAGGATCATCAACATAGTGATTTTTGACTACCTCGTGCGATAGCCACATCATGTTGTGACTGAGTGTTCGGTTTGAGAGAGGTACGGAGGTAATAGTCCACTGTAACCGAGCATAATCGCTGAGTGTTGGTACTTATCGCGAAGTAGCATCCACTGCTACATCGTGGCCGTCCGAGTCCCGCCGGTCACTGTGCCTTGACCTGGCAGCCGTCGTCGATGGTGCTAACAGTGCTCAGACCTGTGCGTGCAATGGACGGCGATGCACTTGCAAGGAGAGTGTCGGCGGAGACGCGCGACTCTGCTTACATAAGGCAATGCCGGGTGGCAGGTGGCATCTCCCTCGCGCCCTCGCGCCCTTGTCGCGCCCTCACGCTCGTCCCGAATCCTCATGTCGTCGCCAGCCCAGAGCCCTCTTCCGCTTGATTTGCCGTCTGAGGAGTACGCAATGTCTCTGGACAGTGATTTTGAGGGTTTTGTGAGTCGCGATAACATGGATGTTGAGGTTCAAGACCGTTGTCTTTCCGGTATGGTCCTGCCGTCACTCAGTCGTATCGCTGACAATTTGACGTCTGCGAAAGTTTCAGACGCCGAGCCGCCTGAGGAGGAGTCCATGTCTGAGGAGGATTCCATGTCTGAAGACAATGTGAGTGGTGGTGGCAGCCCTGTGACGAGTCACATTGATCTCAAGGATATCAAGTACACCGACTCTGATGTCGACGAGAACAGTCCGGAGTCTCAGCTGCAGAGTCTCGGTGGGATCCCTGTCACCGACACTCAGGAATTTCCACCTGGTAAGTCACATCAGCTCATGTCCATTGCCTTGGTAACATTGACACAGTTTACAATGTTGAAGATGGTTCAACTGGCTCGAGCCTCTCACCCAATTCAAACTTCTCAAGCTGTGTGTCCAGCAAGCTCAAACTCCTGGACATAGCTGTTGAGATCAATCCGCTGCACCATATCTTTGGGCACCTCCTCGACGATCCTCGCTGGCCCTACATTCCCGCGGTCGACAAGGTAAGCGTGCAAGACTACGGGTATTGCCAGTCACTAAGCATCGCATAGACCGTCGAAGCTACTCCAGAGGATTGGATAACCCTCTGTCACTGCATCCGACGCCATCCGGATACTTTCAGGCTTTGGAGGTGAGTGTGGCACGTCAGCCACGCCACAGATGCTGATTCACATGAAATGATAGTTTCACGTACGATCTTCAAAAGCAGACTATCCACATGTCTTCCCCCTCTCCAGCTCACAATCTCCTTGCGAGCAGTTTAAGCCTATTTCTCTACATGGCAGTAAGGGCAGGGATCATCACATTGGGCACATGGACAGTCGCGGTCATCTTGAACCCTTCCCAGGACTTGAAGGGACCGATACCCGACGCTACAGACGCGTATTGGGGAAGGCCGGCGGGACGTGCCACGAGTTCAGCCGCGGCAAAAAAAGAGAAGAACCTGGCAGCCAGGTTGATGCCCCCTGAGCAGAGGGCATTGGCGGCTGCAGAGGCCGCTAGGCTGAAAGCTGACGAGGCTGTAGCCAAGGTGGAGGCCAGGCAGCGGAAAGCCGACAAGATGGCTGAGGAGAAGGCAGAGAAGGAGGAGAAGGCGAAGGCGGAGAAGGCTAAGGCCAAGCGGCCGAAAGGCAAGGCGGAGAAGGCTAAGGCCAGGGAGGATGAAAAGGCTCAGGAGGGGTTGGATTCGCGCTCGAAGAAGAACAAGAGGAAGGATCGGCAGGCGGAGGCACGCAAGAGAAAGCGTTTGGAGGATCCCCTCTCCGACGTTGATGGCCCCTCCGTTGTTGGTGGCCCCTCCGACGTTGATGGCCCCTCCGTCGTTGATGGCCCCTCCGCTGTTGATGATCACGATCCTCACGCCGATGCCGACCCTCTCGCCGACGTTGACCCTCACGCTGACGCTGACCCTCGCACTGAAAGCTCTGGCGCTTCTGGAGCCAAGTCGTCCGCTCCTATCCAAGTCCCGTCGTTCCCTCTCAGTCACATCCCAGACACCATCATCTCACTGTTGTTCCCTTTAAACTATGCGACCATAAGCGTTGTGACAATTGAAATTGCCAAGGCCGAGAAGCCGGACCACCTTTCTTTCCGGGTAAGTATACACTCTTACCCGTCTGAAATGTCGGGAACACTAATGGCCCTTCTAGTTGGTTGAATACATGCGCGCCCCCGTCGACAACCCCTGGGGGATACGTAACCTGCTCGTCTTTGTGAATGTAGAAGAACAGAAGAAGTTCTCTGCTCCAAAATATTCCGACTACGTGAAGAAGTGCGCAAAGGAGAGTGTAGCCGTGAAAACGGAGAAGGAATGGGCGCAAGGTTGGATCGAGACCTGCAAGAAGGTGTGCCTCCAGGAGATGCAATTCGATGAGGGCGATGATCCGGGCCCAACACGCGACGAGCAGCCTTGGCTCACCCCTCAGTACCTCATTGACGGGCACATCTTCATGCACCGTCAGTGCGCATGGCTTACGTGCTCCGATCTCTCTGTGCCTGAGCACGTTGAGGAGCTGGAGCAATTGAGTCGCAGTAACACGGCTCGGACTCCGGCCACCTGGGAGGAGAAAGGGCTCGGGATCGTAGGTGCTCTTCGTTCTATGCTCCACACTTTACTGATTCTTGACGTGTCAGGCAATCCGAGACTCATACGACTCAGAGAAGACTGCCTCACGGCGCAACCTCTTTGAGATACGTTGGAGTGCTGCATTGCAGAACCTCTCGCAGCGTGTCTTTGATGTTTGCTCCATGGCCCTTATTAACGCAATCAAAGATGATCCGGATGTGTTCATGGCAAGGTACAACATCCGCCCAGAAGAGTTTGATGACGTGCTGGAACGATTCAAGCAAGGACCTGACGTGATGGGAGAAGAGTTCTCGCTGAACAAAATGCTTGAAGACCTGCGTCGAACTGTCCGGATGGGATCTATTCCGACAGCCACAGCACGCCTCAAGAACTTCGCCTATGAGCTCGCCTTCCTCCATGCGCTGGACCCACCGTTGGAGAATGCCCAGTATAAGCCCGATGCCCCGGTGCAGCAGCCTCCCGAGAGGGGGAACATCACGAGTTTAATACGTGCGGCGGTGAGCAAGCATGCAGCCAAGAAACAGCGGATTGACTAGGGCTGTTTCTTGCAACTGTTCGCTTGCGCATTTGCGTCGCCCACTGTGTACTCTCCACATCGCTTTTGTATCGCTTTTCGTATGTACATAGTGGATATCAGCCTTTCTTGTTGCGCTCACTGTATACATCTCGCTCTGACTACGCTATCTTGCGCTCTCGTACCCTTCTTGTGCTCTCGTACCCTCACTGTCGCCATATCTTGCAGTTGTCGTATCTCGCAGTCGTTCGTAGTGCCTTCGCTCATGTAGGGTATTGTCTCGGTATCGTCATTTGTACATTCTATCCGCCACGCAGGCTATATACAATCTTTGATGAAGCTATTACGTGTTCTAAGCATATGCAGATGCCCCGACCCCACCGCCAGACATGGGTGGCGGGGTCGGGGCACGATGCCTTACAATACGCGCAACGTCGCGGGTATTGCTACCCTCCTAGAGCAAGTGCCGTGCCGGCCCGCAGCGCGGCCCGCCGGGAGGGGGTGGCGTGGTTTTTTCCCCGATGCGCAACGCGTTGCGCATCGGGGAAAAAACCACGCCACCTTCACCCGGCGGGCCGCTGCTCGGAACGTTTCTGCCCTGCCCTTTTGCCTTGGCCCTGCAGAGAACGCTGGCAGGAGCGTTCAGCTGGTCTTGGACGGATGAAGATGAACCGTGAACCGTGAAGGACGTGTACGTCTCATGATCGATACCATCGACGCGCGCCCCAGGACCTTGGGTGACGCTTTAGGACCATAAAGCCTGCAGGGTTGCGTCAACGGTGGGCACAACAGAGTATGGGCCGCGCGCACCAGGCGATATAGGAACATGCGCGATGGGACGTGCACAGCGCA